GGCCCTTGTTCTAGAATTTTTGCAGACGCTAGGCCCCTGTTCTTGCAATTTTGCATACGCTAGGCCCTTGTTCTTGAATTTTTGCAGACGCTAGGCCCTTGTTCTTGAATGTTTGCAGATGCTAGGCCCTTGTTCTTGAATTTTTGCAGACGCTAGGCCCTTGTTCTTGCAGTTTTGCAGACGCTGGGCCCTTGTTCTTGAATTTTTGCAGACGCTAGGCCCTTGTTCTTAAAAATGTGCACTCTCTAGGCCCTTGATCTTGAATTTTTGCAGACGCTAGGCCCTTGTTCTTAAAATTTTTTGCAGATGTTAGGCCCTTGTTCTTGAATTTTTTGCAGATGCTAGGCCCTTGTTCTTGCAATTTTGCAGACGCTAGGCCCTTGTTCTTGAATTTTTGCAGACGCTAGGCCCTTGTTCATGCAATTTTGCAGACGCTAGGCCCTTGTTCTTGAAATTTTGCAGACGCTAGGCCCTTGTTCTTGAATTTTTGCAGATGCTAGGCCCTTGTTCTTGAATTTTTGCAGACGCTAGGCCCTTGTTCTTGAATTTTTGCAGACGCTAGGCCCTTGTTCTTGCAATTTTGCAGACGCTAGGCCCTTGTTCTTGAATTTTTTCAGACGCTAGGCCCTTGTTCTTGCAAATTTGCAGACGCGAGGCCCTTGTTCTTGAATTTTTGCAGAGGCTAGGCCCTTGTTCTTGAATTTTTACAGACGCTAGGCCCTTGTTCTTGAATTTTTTCAGACGCTAGGCCCTTGTTCTTGAATTTTTTCAGACGCTAGGCCCTTGTTCTTGGATTTTTGCAGACGCTAGGCCATTGTTCTTGAAATTTTGCAGACGCTAGGCCCTTGTTCTTGAATTTTTGCAGATGCTAGGCCCTTGTTCTTGAATTTTTGCAGACGCTAGGCCCTTGTTCTTGCAATTTTGCAGACGCTAGGCCCTTGTTCTTGAATTTTTTCAGACGCTAGGCCCTTGTTCTTGCAAATTTGCAGACGCGAGGCCCTTGTTCTTGAATTTTTGCAGAGGCTAGGCCCTTGTTCTTGAATTTTTACAGACGCTAGGCCCTTGTTCTTGAATTTTTTCAGACGCTAGGCCCTTGTTCTTGAATTTTTTCAGATGCTAGGCCCTTGTTCTTGGATTTTTGCAGACGCTAGGCCCTTGTTGTTGCAATTTTGCAGACGCTAGGCCCTTGTTCTTGAATTTTTGCAGACGCTAGGCCCTTGTTCTTGCAATTTTGCAGACGCTAGGCCCTTGTTCTTGATTTTTTGCAGACGCTATGCCCTTGTTCTTGAATTTTTGCAGACGCTAAGCCCTTGTTCTTGCAATTTTGCAGACGCTAGGCCCTTGTTCTTGAATTTTTGCAGATGCTAGGCCCTTGTTCTTGAATTTTTGCAGACTCTAGGCCCTTGTTCTTGAATTTTTGCAGACGCTAGGCCCTTGTTCTTGAATTTTTGCAGACGCTAGGCCCTTGTTCTTGAATTTTTGCAGACGCTAGGCCCTTGTTCTTGAATTTTTTGCAGATGCTAGGCCCTTGTTCTTGCAATTTTGCAGACGCTAGGCCCTTGTTCTTGAATTTTTGCAGACGCTAGGCCCTTGTTCATGCAATTTTGCAGACGCTAGGCCCTTGTTCTTGAAATTTTGCAGATGCTAGGCCCTTGTTCTTGAATTTTTGCAGATGCTAGGCCCTTGTTCTTGAATTTTTGCAGACGCTAGGCCCTTGTTCTTGAATTTTTGCAGATGCTAGGCCCTTGTTCTTGCAATTTTGCAGACGCTAGGCCCTTGTTCTTGAATTTTTTCAGACGCTAGGCCCTTGTTCTTGCAAATTTGCAGACGCGAGGCCCTTGTTCTTGAATTTTTGCAGAGGCTAGGCCCTTGTTCTTGAATTTTTACAGACGCTAGGCCCTTGTTCTTGAATTTTTTCAGACGCTAGGCCCTTGTTCTTGAATTTTTTCAGATGCTAGGCCCTTGTTCTTGGATTTTTGCAGACGCTAGGCCCTTGTTCTTACAATTTTGCAGACGCTAGGCCCTTGTTCTTGAATTTTTGCAGACGCTAGGCCCTTGTTCTTGCAATTTTGCAGACGCTAGGCCCTTGTTCTTGATTTTTTGCAGACGCTATGCCCTTGTTCTTGAATTTTTGCAGACGCTAAGCCCTTGTTCTTGCAATTTTGCAGACGCTAGGCCCTTGTTCTTGAATTTTTGCAGATGCTAGGCCCTTGTTCTTGAATTTTTGCAGACTCTAGGCCCTTGTTCTTGAATTTTTGCAGACGCTAGGCCCTTGTTCTTGAATTTTTGCAGACGCTAGGCCCTTGTTCTTGAATTTTTGCAGACGCTAGGCCCTTGTTCTTGTAATTTTGCAGACGCTAGGCCCTTGTTCTTGCAATTTTGCAGACGCTAGGCCCTTGTTCTTGAATTTTTGCAGACGCTAGGCCCTTGTTCTTGCAATTTTGCAGACGCTAGGCCCTTGTTCTTGAATTTTTGCAGACGCTAGGCCCTTGTTCTTGCAATTTTGCACACGATAGGCCCTTGTTCTTGCAATTTTGCACACGCTAGGTCCTTGTTTTTGCAATTTTTCACACGCTAGGCCCTTGTTCTTGCAATTTTGCACACTCTATGCCCTTGTTCTTGCAATTTTGCAGACGCTAGGCCCTTGTTCTTGCAATTTTGCACACGCTAGGCCCTTGTTCTTGCTATTTTGCACACGCTAGGCCCTTGTTCTTGCAATTTTACAGACGCTAGGCCCTTGTTCTTGCAATTTTGCAGACGCTAGGCCCTTGTTCTTGCAGTTTTGCAGACGCTATGCCCTTGTTCTTGCAATTTTGCACTCGCTAGGCCCTTGTTCTTGCAATTTTGCACACGCTAGGCCCTTGTTCTTGCAATTTTGCAGACGCTAGGCCCTTGTTCTTGCAATTTTGTAGACGCTAGGCCCTTGTTCTTGCAATTTTGCAGGCGCTAGGCCCTTGTTCTTGAATTTTTGCACTCGCTAGGCCCTTGTTTTTGCAATTTTGCACATGCTAGGCCCTTGTTCTTGCAATTTTTCACACAGTAGGCCCTTGTTCTTGCCATTTTGCACACGCTAGGCCCTTGTTCTTGCTATTTTGCACACGCTAGGCCCTTGTTCTTGCAATTTTGCACATGCTAGGCCCTTGTTCTTGCAATTTTGCACATGCTAGGCCCTTGTTCTTGCTATTTTGCACATGCTAGGCCCTTGTTCTTGCAATTTTGCACACGCTAGGCCCTTGTTCTTGCAATTTTGCACACGCTAGGCCCTTGTTCTTGTAATTTTGCAGACGCTAGGCCTTTGTTCTTGCAATTTTGCACACGATAGGCCCTTGTTCTTGCAATTTTGCACACGCTAAGCCCTTGTTCTTGAATTTTTGCACACGCTAGGCCCTTGTTCTTGCAATTTTGCACACTCTAGGCCCTTGTTCTTGCAATTTTGCAGACGCTAGGCCCTTGTTCTTACAATTTTGCAGACGCTAGGCCCTTGTTCTTGCAATTCTGCAGACGCTAGGCCCTTGTTCTTGCAATTCTGCAGACGCTAGGCCCTTGTTCTTGCAATTTTGCACACGCTAGGCCCTTTTTCTTGCAATTTTGCAGAAGCTAGGCCCTTGTTCTTGCTATTTTGCACACGCTAGGCCCTTGTTTTTGCTAATTGCACATGCTAGGCCCTTGTTCTTGCAATTTTGCACACGCTAGGCCCTTGTTCTTGCTATTTTGCACACGCTAGGCCCTTGTTCTTGCAATTTTGTAGACGCTAGGCCCTTGTTCGTGCTCTGTCCCGGATGATCTGCAAGCCAAGGTAGCTGCGCAGCTCACCCAGGTCAGTGCACGTGTGTCTCTTCTGCAGCTCCGTCTTCACCTGGGCGAGAGCCTCAGTGTCAGCAGTGGCAAAGACCAAGTCGTCGACGTATACGAGGATGTAGAACGGCGGCAGCGAAGTGTCGGTGCGCAGGAACAGCGACGGGTCAGCAGTCGAAGGAGCGAACCCAAGAGCCGCAAGCGTCGTCCTCAGTGTGTCGTGCCACTTACGAGGCGCCTGGCGGAGACCGTAGACTGGCCGCCGGAGACTCCACTGGGTACCAGGAGGAAACGACCCAGTGAAGCCAGGTGGACGGCGCAGCCAGGTCTCCTCGTGCAGGCTGCCCTGTAAGAAGGCTGTGCTGAAGTCAAGTGAGTGAAGCTCGTAGTCACGCTGAGCGGCAACGTGCAGCAGCACCCGAAGAGTGGTCATCTTCGGGTTGGGGGAGAAGGTCTGGAAGAAGTCAACTCCCTCTCGCTGACTGAAGCCTCGAGCAACGTAACGAGCCTTGAAGACAGGCGGAGAACCCGGCGGCCGCTTCACCCTGAAAATCCACATGCCATCGACGATGTTCGCCCCAGGAGGGGGAACCTCATCGACGTAGGTGCCTGTGGACTTCCAAGATGCCATCTCTGCGTCCATAGCTGTCTGCCACTGAGAGGAGTACTCACCCGCGATCGCCTCAGCGTAAGAGCGCGGGGTCGGGATGTCTGGTGCATCCGGGTCTCCCTCAGAGGCAAGCAGCATGGCCACGATATGAGGCGAAGCGGCTGCAAGACACTCAAGGTCCTCGTGCCTGTCCTCAAGGACGTCCGTGCTAAGAGCACACTCACCCCCGACGGACGGAGGACAGACAGACTCAGACTCAGCAACAAGACTAGCGGCGTAGTCTAGACAACAGGCAGCAGCAAAGTCAACAAGCTCAGCAACCAAGGCAGACGCAGCAGTAGACTCAAACGACGGGTCAGTGACAACAGTGGCTAACAGACGCGTGACAGTAGGGTGCTCAGCACGAAACCGGTCAGACTCAGGGTCGGGAACGTCAGGCAGAGAGGACGCAGGAGGAGACGGCAGAGGAACGGGCTGCGGAGCAGAGGAAGGACGACGGACTACGAGGTGTGCGCTGGGGACAGCCGGCTGACGCGAACGAGGAACACGACGACCGGTACGACCAGGACGAACAGGCTCACGACGCTCAGCAGGACTACCTGTCTGCTCAGTGTAAGGAGAAGGAGCAGGCAGCGGTGAGCCAGGCGGTAACGGAAGACCAGTAGACGACAGGAGAGTAAGAACCTGACGAAGAACAGAGTCAGGCGGCGGCAGAGACGACGGAGACGGCGGAGTGAAGAACAGTCGTGTCGGCGCAGCTGCACCAGCACCGGCAGCTCCAGCAGCTCCAGTACCTCCAGCAGCTCCAGCACCTCCAGCAGCTCCAGCACCCCCAGCAGCTCCAGAAGCTCCAGCCCCAGAACCGACACCTCCAGTCCCAGGGTCTCCAACCTCAGTGTCTCCAGCAGCGGCACCCCCAGAACCAGCACCTCCAGTCCCAGGGTCTCCAGCCTCAGTGTCTCCAGCAGCAGCACCTCCAGACGCAGCACCCCCAGCCCCAGTAGCTCCAGTACCTCCAGTACGAGCACCTCCGGGACCAGCGACTCCAGCACCTCCAGTAGACAAAGTACCAGCACCACTCCTAGCTCCAGGGACGTCAGCAGAAGTACCTCCAGCAGCAGAGCCCCGGGCTCCAGCAGCGCGACCCTGACGGCGACCGTACCAGTCGTGCAGCTGCTGTGAGGTGAGAGGCACACGTGGACGAAGGTGACTACTCCAAGGAGACCGCACAACAGCAGACTCAGAACCCTCAGCGCCAGCACCCTCAGCAGCCGCAGAGCCTCCAGTAGAAACAGCCCACTACAGGAGCAGAGTCACCAGCTCCAGCAGCGCGACCCTGACGGCCAAGGTACCACTCAACCAGCTGCAGGGAGGAGAGGGGGAGTCGACGACGAGAGGGCAGCGGCGAGGCACCAGCGGAGCGACTACGGAGACGGCCGCTCCAGGGAGACTGCTCACCAGACGCCTCAGCAACCCCAGGTGCAGCACCCCCAGACTCAGTACTGCCAAGCTCAGCACCCCCAGACCCCTCACACTCAGGCTCAGCACCTCCAGGCTCCACACCCTCAAGCTCCGCACCCCCAGGCTCAGTACCCCCAGTCTCAGCAACCCCAGGCTCCGCACCCCTAGGCTCAGCACCCCCAGGCTCAGCACCCCCAGGCTCAGCACCCCCAGAAGTAGCACCCCGAGCAGGACCACCCTCAGCAGGACCTGAGTCACCAGTGACCTCAACCGGCGCAGTCAAGGGAGGAGGGTCTACCTGAGACACACCTGAAGGAGCAGGACCGGGAGCGGGGAGGGGGTCTACCTGGGGAGCACCTGGAGCGAGGAAGAGAGGTGGGGGGGGGAGCGGGGCAGTGCGGTAGGGGAAGAGACGGTAAAAGGGAACCGACTCGTCGAACGTGACGTCCTGAGACGCAAAGACACGGCGCGAGGTGGGGTGGTAAAACTGCCAACCAGGCGCGTCAGGGACAAAGCCAAGGAAGACACAGGGAACAGCGCGGGCGGAGAGCTTGTCCGCGGTGGTATCGCGGACAAAGGCACGAGCACCCCAGACCCGGAAACGCGACGCATCGCCAACCTTCCCCGTCCACAGCAGTGTGGGCGAGGTCTCCGGCAAGGAGACACGGAGCCAGAGGTTGAGCTGATGCGCAGCGTACCGGACCGCAAACGGCCACAGAAAATGGGGGGCAGCCGCATGGATCATGGAGGTACGAGCGACCTCCATGACTAAGCCAATGCGGCGCTCTGCAACCCCATTCTGCTGCGGAGAGGCCGGAAGCGTGAACGTCTGGCGGATGCCGCGCTCCGCACAGTAGGCTGCCAAGAGGTCGGAGGAGAACTCACCACCTCTGTTAGAGTGCAGACGCAGGACAGGAAAGTCCGACCGGAACCGCTCGTGGAGCTGGAGACGAACAGCGCGGATCCAGGGGATCAAAACAGCAGGGACATCCGCCTTGCTCCGCAAGGGGAAGACCGTGGTGTAACGCGTGTAGTCGTCGACAACCAACAGGAAGTACCGCTCGTGGCCCTGTCCCTGGACGCGGGCTGGGCCCCACATGTCCAGGTGGAGCGTCTGCAGTGGAGCCTCTGTGGGAGGAAACGAGGAGGAGTGAGGAGCGGCGCGCTGCCTCCCCTCGACGCAAGGAATGCAGGGCGGCGCAGGCGAGGGAGGGAGGGCAGGCAGAGACCTGGGAAGACCAGAGACCAGGGAGCGAGAGTGCATGCTACGCAGGCGAGGCAAGGAGGGGTGACCAAGGCGGTGGTGCCACAGGAGAGTGTCGTGCGACAGGCGGCGACACTCACACTGGGTAGCTACCTGAGCAGACACGTGCAGCTGAGGAGACAAAGGGGCGTGACGCGACACAGCGGTGAGGGTGTACAGACTGGACCCAGGCGCACGTGTGAACGTGGCCAGGTGGCGGCCGGTCCGAGAGCACGTGCAGTGTGTCACCCGCTGTCCTCCAGGAGTAAAGGTGTCAACCCAGTGATCCTGAAGGACGGCGGTGCTCACCAGGTTCGTAGAGAACGAGGGGAGGTGGAGACCTGACAGCTCACCGGACGGGACCGCCGGACAGGGAAGCACAGTAGTGGACCGTGCAAGCACTGGGCCCCCAGAGGGGTCAGCCAGTGAGACAGGGACAGGCGCGGGGAGGGGAGTGACAGTGGTACTGTCGCGAAAGAAGCAGCGGGAAGCACCTGAGTCAAGGGTGAAAGTGAGCAAGGCCGGAGCAGACGCAGTACCAGAGAGAGCAGACTCAGTAGCACCTAGAGCAGGAGACGCACTAGCACCCAGAGCAGCAGCCTTTTCAGCACCTAGAGCAGGTGACGCACTAGCACCTAGAGCCGCAGCCTCACCAGCACCGAGAGCAGCAGGCTCTATACCAGGGTCAGGCGGTACGCACAGGTAACAGGCACGGTCAGCACTAGTAGGCAATGCATACATGGCAGTGAGAATAGCATCATAGTCAAGAGCAAAGATATCTACCCTCTGTCCAAGCAGCTCCAGCCAGGTGGGGAGCTCAGCCTCGTCGCCAAACACTGTACGCCAGGCGTCGCTCAGACGGGCGAAGCAGCGGGACTGTGTGTGACCAAGCATCCCGCAAGGCTGACCAGTCCTATCACCTGTGCGAATGACGTACGGGCAGCGAACTGTACGCGTAGACCTGCTACACTGAGCGTACCACTCATGGAGCTGCTGGGACGTAAGTGTCTCGCGTGGATGCCACTGCAGCTGCAGCTGGCCACTGCCAGACGCTCCCAACTGACCAGCTCCAGGGCGACAGCTACGACGGCTACCGCGACAACCCCAGCTAGTATACCACTCACTAAGCTGCTGGGGCGTGAGAGACTCGCGTGAACGTCGCTGGAGCTGCATCTAGCCACCTGCCAGTAGCAGTAGCAGCAGCAGTAGCGCGGGCAGGGCAGGCGCGGCAGGCAGGCAGGCAAGCAGGCAGGCAGGCAGGCCGACAGGCAGACAGGCCGGCAGGCAGACAGGCAGGCAGGCAGACAGACAGGCAGGCCGGCAGGCAGGCAGGCAGGCAGGCCGGCAGGCAGGCAGGCAGGCAGGCAGGTGCTCACCAAAGGCTGGAAGAGCAGGCGCTCGCCGGGCGAGCAGGGCCGGCGCTCGACGGGCGGCGGCCGAGTAGGCGCACGACAGCGGCGACGTCGGGGCCGCAACACCGGCTGCAGAGTAGGGCCGAAGCAGCTGCAGGGCGGGGCCGCTTCAGCGGCAGTTGCAGGGTGGGGCCGCATCAGCGGCAGGTCGGGGCCGTGGCAGCTGCAGGGCGGGGCCGCATCAGCGGCAGGTCAGGGCCGTGGCAGCTGCAGGGCGGGGCCGCATCAGCGGCAGGTCAGGGCCGAGGCAGAGGGCCGCGCGCGGCTCGGCGCGGGCTGTGCTGACAGCGCGCTGGGCTGCTGCAGGCCGCGCGCGGCCGCGCTAGGCAGTAGCGGGCCGCGCGCGGCTCGGCGCGGGCTGCTGCGGGCCGCGCGCGGGCCTCGCGAGGCCGTAGCAGGCCGCGCGCGGCTCGGCGCGGGCTGCGTGGGCTCGGCGCGGGCTGCGCGCGGCAGCAGCGGGCTGCGCGCGGCTCGGTGCGGGCAGCGCGCGGCAGCAGCGGGCTGCGCGCGGCTCGGCGCGGGCTGCGCGGGCTCGGTGCGGGCAGCGCGCGGCAGCAGCGGGCTGCGCGCGGCTCGGCGCGGGCTGCGCGGGCTCGGTGCGGGCAGCGCGCGGCAGCAGCGGGCTGCGCGCGGCTCGGCGCGGGCTGCGCGGGCTCGGTGCGGGCAGCGCGCGGCAGCAGGGGGCCTAACGGGTCTGTTCGCGGGCCTGAAGGGCGTTGAGGGGCGGCGCGCGGGCCTTATGGGCCTCTAGGGGCAGCGCGCTGGCCTAGGGCAGCAGGAGGCAGCGCTAGGGCTGCTTTGCAGCACGTCACAAGGCAAGGCAAGGCAGGCAGGTACGTGGGGTAGCGCGGTAACCGCAGCGGTAGGTGGGCCCGAAAAAAAAAAACGGTCCTACGGACCTTAGTGCTCTGAAACCATGTTAGAATCTAGCAGCAAGAATGAATGAACTAGCAGGATGATGGGTACAAGTAGGAAACCCTAATTTGGGTTGTACCCCATATGGGCTACCCCACTACAGCCTACACAATAAGCAGCATATATGTTTGACAGGGGTCTATAATGTTAGGAGCCATTTAGGGGCGTATAACTGATATGTACTCGAATAGAGTACCCGGGTCCGTATTATACCGTCATCGCCCGGATATAAGACATATATGTCTTATCTCGTACACGGGCAAAAATGCTTGAGTTATCTTGTAAACGGGATGGTTTAGGGTGTCTTATAAGTCTTATAAATGGAAACTTTTTAAGTTGACTGTAACAATTGCAAAGTGTGTAGAAAACACCCAGGTACCATATTCATTGAACCAGGCCGACCTCGGTGGTGTTGCATGCACCGCCCACACTTGCCACGTGAGGGATGCAGCAAAGCTGCCTCCGCTGGCAAGATTCCTCTGTGCTGGCAGCATCTAATGATGCTGCCAGCGTCGTTTTGCTGCCAGCAGCGCATGGCAGCTTCCAGAAGGCTGCTGGCAGCACGTTGGCAGCGTCAGAGCTGTCCTCTACGAGGAGATGCCTCGTAGAGGAGCGGCTCGGCACCTGTGGATGGGGCACTCTGGCTGGGGGGGGTAGTCGGGCTTTCACTTCATTTGGTGCTCATGGAGGTTGAACTCTCACCTCAACCTTGCTTTCGGCAGGCTCTCTAACCATGCGCAGCAAGGTACCCCTAGGCAAGTCCTCACCTCGTCCTAACGTGCAGGTGAATAACTACGGGCGAATTAACTCGCCCGGCGATGACATCCGCGTAGCCATGGCGAAGAACGCGAGCAAGGCGGGAAGTCCTACCGGACGAGAAGGCGCCTCCGTTGCGAGCTGTGACGGGGACGACGGAGACGAGGCACAAGGCGACGACGCGGAGGAGGATTGGCCGGAGAACGGCCACGACGACAGCGCTTCGGGCGATGAATTAGGAGCTGCCGACATTGAGGAGGACGAATGGTGGAATCAGCCGGTCGGGAGCGACGACGAGGTGGAGGAGTGGCGGGCTGGTGATTCCGACAACGACGGAGGTGAAGATGCTGGCGGTGAAGACGCGGAGGCACAGGATGCGGCGGTGGCTGCCGACGAGGCGGAGGCGGAACGCGAGACAGAGGCGCCTGCGGATGCGGACGCGGTGGCGGAGGCGGACAAGGTGGGGGCGGATGCCGTCTTATTTGACGGCGAGGGCTCCGACAACGACCCGTGGAGCCTTGGGACAGACGACGACGTACCGCTACTGAAGCGGAGGCTGCGCCATCGCCTGCAGTCCACGACGAAGCGCGCCCGCGTGGTGCTTTCTGACGACGACAGTCCTGGGGAGGACCGTCTCCCCCTACTCACCGCTGCGGAGAAAGGAAAGGCAAAGGTCGTGGAAGCCCCTGCTAAGTCCCCTGCTAAGGCCCCTGCAAAGGCCCCTGCTCGTCGCCGCACAAGCAACAAGAAGCGCAAGGACGACGGTGACCCTGGATCCAGTAAGGGTGCGGCTAAGAAAAAAGCGAAGAAAGCGCCGAATCCTGACGACATCGTCAACGAGGCGTTGGGCAGCGACGATGAGTACGCGGCGGCGGCGGGCCCGATTCCCACGTTCCCTGAGAAGGAGGCGCCGAACGACCCCACCCTCTCTAATCCCAACACCCGCCCACCTTCCCCTCGCAGCAAAGAAACCACGAAGAAGCGCCGCGGCTGGACCGTGCGTGAGAAGCTTAAGTGGGCGCGCCGCTATAAGGAGCTCGGCTCCTTGAAGAAAAGACAAGCTTGGAGTCCAGCGCGAGCGTCGCCTGCATCAGACGCTGGAGCTTGGAGGCGGCTGCGGGCATCTACAAGGGCGCGGCTAACTGCCGCAAGCAGATGCACGGGGGGGGCCGCCACGCACACTACCCCGACATGGAGGCAGCGCTGTACCGCTACATCTGCCTTCAGCGCGCTAACGGGGTGGCCATCTCGGTGAAGGACACCCAGAAGTGGAGCCGCGAGTGGATGAAGAAGCATCACCCCGGCAAGAACTGGAACGCGAGCTCTCACTGGAGCCAGCGTTTCCGTGACCGCTGGAACCTGGTGATGCGGGTGAAAACGAAGGTCGAACAACGTCTGTCGGCAAGTGCGTGGATAAGGAGTTCGTTTAAAGCACGGCCCACTGTATGCATGTCTTACCTTGCTCGTTGTCTAACCGCCCCTCCACGCTTCTGTTCCTGTCCGGTCTGCAGAGTGCGCGAAGGACTGCGAGTCCTTCTGGAAGTTCGTGCGCATCAACAGGGCGCGCCACAACATCGACCTGGCCTGCATCATCAACACGGACCAGACGCCACTGTTCGTGGAGATGCCGGCCGAGAGGACGATCGAGCACCGTGGCGCGCGCTCGGTCCCAATCCGCACTGCAGGCTACCAGAAGACGCGCTTGACGGTGATGCTAGGTGCACCGCATCCGGGGAGAAACTGCGGTTGTGGGTGTGGTTCAAGATGAAGAACGTCCCCAACTGTGAGATTCCTGACGGTAAGCGCCATGAATTCAACCGTGCCCTTTCCGTGCGAGCGTGCCCACGTTGATGATGCCCGTCTGTCCCTTGTGTGCCTGGCAGGAATCGTGGTCCAAGCACAGGACAACGGGTGGATGGACGAGAGCGCTGTGCAGACCTGGCTGTCCAAGGAGGTGCTGCCCCATCTGAACCCCCAGCGCGGCCAGAGCGCGAGGCGTGCGATGCTGGTGTTGGACTCCTACCGCGGCCACATCACCCAGACCATGCTTCAGTCGTACCGCACGCACAGCATCACCCCTGCAGTCATTCCAGCGGGTTGTACGAGCCAGATTCAACCCCTGGACGTCTCCATCAACCGGTGCTTCAAGGCTGCCGTGCGAGCGCGCTACGCCAGGTGGTTCATGCGTGAAGGGAATCACCTGAAGACGAAGAAGGGTGAGTTGGCTGTTCGCTTCGAATTCCTGCTCTGTTTCGTGTCCTTGTCGTTAACATCTCGCTGCTGTGTCCTCTGTCCCACCCGTCAGGGAACCTGCGGAGGCCTCCGCACCCCGTGGTGCTGCAGTGGATCGCGGAGGCTTGGGATCAAGTCCCCAGGCAGATCATCATCGACGCGTTCCGCCACTGTGGGATCTCCAGCAAGCTGGACGGAACGGAGAACCACCTGGTGATGTCTCACCTGCGCGCCAGGAGCACCACCGATGTCTCCGAGGACATGTCCCTCGGGGGGACCACAGGCGACAACACGCGCCTGCTCGGGAAGGCTCCAGACGAGGAGGACGAGGAGGATGAGGAGCCGATGCAAGCGGAGGGCGTGCGGGAGGTGGCCGTGGCAACTGGCCTGGAGGTGCTGTACCAGGAGACCCCCAACTACCGCGGAGCGGCGGCCGAGGCTGACCGCATGATCGAGCCTAGGGAGACGGCTAGGCATGCCTGGCGAGTGCCAGACCTTAGTGTAGAGCCTGTTGCTAGTGCTCCAGAGGAGGCGGTGACCGAGGGGGGTTAGGTAGAAGTAGAGATTCATGCATGTATGGATGTACCCCCCTAAAGTAAGAAAGGTTCATTTAGAAGACACCCCCCCCTTTATAAGAAAACCCCTAAACCCCGATTCTGATTATAAGACATATGTCTTATCTCGTACACACAAATAGGTGTCGTATAAAAAGGCTAGCCTGTTTATAAGAGACACCCGTATAGTAGACAACCCCTGTCTACTATTCAACACTGTCTTATATCCGGGCGATGACGGTAGACCCGGGGGTCTACAACTGGGGAGGGTCCTTCCTACGGTATATACGGGGGATTACGGTATCAGAAAGTATTTCTTTTCTCAACTAGCAGCTATTGAGCATGTATCGTACCTATTTCTGGAAAAGACATACATCTATCAACCTGCGTACAAGGATAGTCGTAGCTGGAAGGAATCAGAAACTGGAATCTGAGCCACCAAACAAAGTATTTGCAAGCCAGGCCTTCCACGGAGCATCTTGTTGGTGTTTGAGCCACGATAGCCAAGCGCTGTCTAGCAGGCAGAAGAAGTTGACAAAGAGCAGCTGGTGCTGCACGGGCACGAGCTTGAAGTTGACAGTCTGGATCACGGGCCACACTGTGGCCTCCGTCAGGAACCCCGGGAGGAAGTCGCGGGCGAGGTCGGTGCGGATCTGGTGCAGGGAGTGGCCGGCCACGAGCCCCGTGTACGTGAAGAAGGCCGCCAGGTGCACCGGGCCAAACGCAAACGTGTCCAGAAACAGCTTCGCCGCCACAAACCGCATCGTCGACGGCCGCAGCCCCAGGCGGTTCCTCACAAAGCTCTCCAGCCCCTCGTACCTGCCACACCAAGGAACGTGCCGCGCGCCAAGAGCCGTGATCAACGAGGGCAAGCTTGAAACATTGTGCTGCGTGTTAGGGCTTGCTAACACAGAGAGACAGAGATGTGACACAGCAGTTTCAAAGTGTTGCAGGCAAACAGGGTGGTGAGGGACGGTGAGGGGTGGACACAAGGGGGAGGAGGTGAGAGAGACTGCATGATTGAGGTGAAAGAGTGGTGACGACGAAAAGAAAGGGTGGTGGGAGAAAAGCGAGGGAGGGCGCACCAGTAGTGACCCAGCGGGCCCACGAAGCCTGCTCCGAAAAGCGCTGTCGTCACCACGCGCCGGTAGTTGAGCTGCTCGCCCGCCCGCGCTGCCACTGCCCCCGCGCCTGACTCACGGCCACCCGCCACAGGCCCACGCACGCAGTCCTGCGAAAAAGGGGGGTGCTGTGAGCGGTATGCGCGACACTCATGTGTGCGCGAGCAGTGGGAGGATGCAGGCCCGGATAGCTACAGCGCCTACGGCACCTTGGGGAAACGCCCGAGGCGAGAGGGCGTGCGCGGCCCGCAGTAAGGGCGGGAATGATACGCGAGACCCTCCGGCATTCAGTGGTGCGCAACGCGCACGAGCGCGAAACGCGGCCGGGCGCAACACGCACGGGCGCGCAAGACGCACGAGTGCGCAAATCGCAGGGCCCCCCAAGAGCACGACCTATCAGGCCAACACACCCGGGCATGGTCGGGCGACGCAGCTCCATCTGCCTGCCGCGACCCCACGTTGACTCGCGCTGCCACGTGTGCATCCGCCACGTGTGCGTCGCCCGCGTGTCGGTCAGCCATGTGTCGGTCGATCTGCTGCGCGATAACGTCACCCGACCCCCACAGCACGGTGGAGGTGACCACCTGCGTGCGGACCGGCCGCCGCGACAGCTGCTGCTGGTACCACCCCCAGCACCCGCGCAACCCGCGCCACGACATGCCGCCCACGCGGCTGCGGATCGTGCTGCGGGCGAGAGCAGCCGATGCGTGGCGGTCGCGCTAGCAGCGAGGGCGTCCCATCCAGCCCGCTCCGCAGTCACCCCCCGCCGCGCACCCTACAGCAGTCCTAAATGCACTTGCACCCTAACCAGCCTCGCGATCAGCGGTTCGCGATGGGATGTGCGATGATGAGTGACGAAGGAGACTGGCGAGCGAATAACGAGAGGGTATGGGCGATATATTAGGCGAGATGAGCAACGTGAGTGGCGGAAAGCAAGAGCAGGTATCAGCGCGGAAGCAGAGGAGGAGCTTGCGGCAAGTGGTGGTGAGACGCATCACAACTCCAGGTTGCTCGGGAAGATCTCGAGGTGTGCTGGCTATTGGCTACGCACAGAAAGAGGCTGGTATCGTTCTGCAGGCATCACGGAGGGAAGGGGAGGGAAAATAGGAAGCTGCGCGCCTCTGCTGTGTATGTAGACTTGGACACCAGTTGCAGTGCTGTGCTGCGCCTCCTTGGGTTCAGATGGGTTTGAATGTTCTAATCTTCGAGTGTGCGTGCACGCTGAGAAAATTAGTACAGCCATACACATAAGAGACCATTGCAGGATGCAGTAACATAATTAATTCATACAACAAATATTTTCTAGCCTTCAGCCATGTTTAGACTAGCAAGCCAGTCCTTTTACCCTTCCTTGAGAAATGGAGCTCCCACGTCTCTGACGAACTCCTAATAGAGCAACTGGTCTCTTACGATTGCTAGACTATTAGAGGTGCAGTGCCAGTCCGCCTAGATGGAAGATGAGGCATTGCTAGACAAAGGAAGAATCTCATCAGGCCTTTGCAGTGGCACGGTGCTTGATCATCATTTGCACAAAGTCATGGAACACTGCACACCGCACAGGCAATGCAGAGAGGCAATGCATGGAGCAGAGAGGCAAGTGAGCAGCTGTGCATGTGCATGTGGCATGCAGGACACGCGAGCAACCAATGCAGCTTGGCGTTCAGCCAAAGGTGGTGCAACGATCTGCAGTGGTGGTGTATCAGCGCTAGTATGATGCATGGGCTGTGCGGTGTGCTGCATGGCTGGTGCTTGGGTGGGCAAGGGTGGTGCACAGTTGGTGCAGAGTGGTGCAGAGTGGAGGCAGTCTGACCTGGGTCGGCGTCATGGGGGCCAGGGGAGGACTCGGGGTGGTACTGAATGCTGATCACGTTGAGAGCGGGGTATGCCAGCCCCGCACACGTGCCGTCGTTCAGGTTTATGTGCGTCACCTGCACGCCCTCCGGCAGACTCTCCGGGTCCACCGCGTAGTTGTGGTTCTGCCACCGCACAGCACCACACCACACAGAGGAATGACAACTTCAGATGCATCCAGTACATGGCTGCCTGCATGCGCCAGGGGGAAAGCTTGTATTTCCAATCTCACACACACCTGCATGTACATGCCTGTACCTCACACCCTACCCACACCCCCTCAATCCCACCCTCCGTTCACCAGTCGCAACCCCCCCATTCCCCCGGCACGGACCTGCGCGCTGATCTCGACGCGGCCGGAGGCGAGGTGGCGCACGGGGTGGTTGCCGCCGTGGTGGCCGAACTTGAGCTTGAAGGTGCGCCCGCCCAGTGCCTGCCCCAGCAGCTGGTGCCCCATGCAGATGCCCAGCGCCGGCACCGTCCCCACCACCGCCCGCACACTCTCCACCGCGTACGGCACCGCTGACGGGTCGCCCGGCCCGTTGCTGCAGGGGTTGGCAGGGGGGCGGAGAGGGCAGCGGAGGTGGAGGGAGGAGGGCGGGGGAGAGTGGAGGGAACGGGGGAGGTTGGGTTGAGAGTGACGACGAATGTGAGTTGGAGAGGGGAAGGAACAGAGGGTAGAGGGAGATGAAGAGCACAGATACAAGGGAGGGACATGCAGGTGGTAGAGGAAGCAGTTAGCTGACCTGAAGAGGACGCCGTCGGGGTTGAGCTTGGCGAGGTCCTGGGGCGGGTAGGTGGAGGGCACGACTGTGATGCGACAGCCGTACGACGCGAGGCGGCGCAGAATGTTGTGCTTTATGCCATAGTCGTACGCCACCACCTGGGGGGGTGGCGGGGGGGAGGTGGGGTGTGATGCATGAAGGGGATGAGCTGACTCACATGCAAGGCGTTGACTTGACTCACATGCAAGGCGTTGACTTGACTCACATGCAAGGCGTTGACTTGACTCACATGCAAGGCGTTGACTTGACTCACATGCAAGGCGTTGACTTGACTCACATGCAAGGCCTTGACTTGACTCACATGCAAGGCCTTGACTTGACTCACATGCAAGGCGTTGACTTGACTCACATGCAAGGCGTTGACTTGACTCACATGCAAGGCGTTGACTTGACTCACATGCAAGGCGTTGACTTGACTCACATGCAAGGCGTTGACTCGCATAGAAAGCGTTGACTCACGTGGAATGCGTTGACCCACATGGTATGCGTTGACTCACATGGAAGGCGTTGACTTGACTCACATGGAAGGCGTTGACTTGACTCACATGGAAGGCGTTGACTTGACTCACATGGAAGGCGTTGACTTGACTCACATGGAAGGCGTTGACCTGACTCACATGGAAGGCGTTGACTTGACTCACATGGAAGGCGTTGACTTGACTCACATGGAAGGCGTTGACTTGACTCACATGGAAGGCGTTGACTCACATGGAAGGCGTTGACTCACATGGAAGGCGTTGACTTGACTCACATGGAAGGCGTTGGCCATGGAGACCTCCTTGGCGTCGCTGCTGAACTCCCATTCGCCCGTGGGGTCCACCCACACGTATGGCTTCTCACACGTCACCCCCGTTATCAGATCCTTGCCTGTCAGCCCATGCCCGCACACATGCACGCACCAAAGCACAGAGGGAGCACATTGCACTCAGTTGTTCCATGCGAGTGGTGAATGCTTCGTATGCCCTGTGCCACGAGTGCATGCTGCCACGAGTGCATGCTGCCACGAGTGCATGCAGCAATCACCATCAGTATCAGCAGCATGGGCGGCTCACCAACGATGCTGTATGCGCGAGCCATCTCCACCAGCTCCTCGTCTGACTTCTTGCGATCCGTTGAAATCACACCTGCCACCGCCACCACGCACATGGTGAGGCGCACATTGAGGGCGTATTGTGATACGGCACCACAATGCAAGCATGCCCATCATGCACACAGCACCACCAAACCTTATGCTTCACGCACCACACACCATACATGTGTTGCAGTCTTGCATTCTGTGCATCATGCACCAATAACCCTCCATTCTGCCCCCCCTAACATTTCAAGCTGCCCCTCACTGCTCAAGCTGCCCCTCTCACCGTTCAAGCTGCCCTTGTCGCGCAGTCGCTTGGTGATGGCGCGGGTATCAATATCCGCTGGACCACGGGGGTGGGGGTTGGGGGATGGGGAGGGGAGCGGGGATAATGGAAGCGGAAGGTGAGATGTGTGTTTGGGGACACGTGGCACGTGATGGCGCGGGCGTCGAGGGATGAATATGATGGTTGGGAGGCGTGGAGATATATGACGGTAACGGACGGTGAGGTGTGGTTGTGGCAAGTGGCACGTGATAACGGGTGCTGTGCTGTCCCTCATCCCCCTCTTCCTCCCTCATCCCCCTCTTCCTCCCTCACACCCCTCTTCCCCCCTCACTCCCCTCGCCATCACTCACAGATGCCCATCATGTTGTGTTGTCGCAGGTAGTCGGGCAGAGTCTGCGTCGACCGCCAGTTCGACACGCTGGGGGGCGCCGGGGGGATGAGCGCGGGAGGGGCAAGGGGAACAGGGGGCGGGGCGGGAGCACAAGGCGTCGGTCCGCTGCATTGGGTCGTACAACGGCAAATGCGACTGTGGGCGTGCGATTATGAGGCTGCGCCTGCATTTAAATGTGCGCCTGCGAGAGTGCGCCTGTGGAAATCTGCCTGTCGGCTTGTGACTGGGGGAATGTGACTGTGGAAATGTGACTGTGGGAATGTGACTGTGGGAATGCGACTGTGGGAATGTGACTGGGGGAATGTGACTGTAGGAATGTGACTGGGGGAATGTGACTGTAGGAATGTGATTGGGGGAATGTGACTGGGAGAGTGCACTGCACTAATATGGGTAGCTTCAAACGCGCGCGCGCACACACACCCCCACACACACACACACATTCCCCCCCCCCTCCCCCTCCCCCCTCTCCCCCCCCCCCCCCCGCAACACCCCAACACAGCACAGCGGCGACGGCGCGGCACGGGGAAGGCGGCTCACCAGTTGCTGATGCTGCGCACGACGAGCCCCGACGTGAAGCACGTGCGCGACTCCTCGTCCTCTGCGCGCCGCCGCGGCGATGGGGGAAGGAGGAGGGGGGAAGGGAGAGGACAGGGGAGAAGGGAGTGTAAGGGGGCGGGACGCGGGATGTGCGCGATGATCGCCGGCGCAGTGACGACACGGGCGAGCGAGGGGCAGCGGGGGAAAGGTAGACAGGCAGGGACGGGTGGGGGAGGAGCAGGAGCAGAAAAACTGTTGGGGGGCGCGGGGAGCGGGCGGACCTTGGTTGATGCCGGTGTTGCCGATGTGCGGGCACGTCATGAGCACGATCTGGCCCGCGTAGCTGGGGTCGGTGATGATCTCCTGGTACCCCGTCAGCGACGTGTTGAACACCACCTCCGCCGCCACAGTCCCGCGCGCGCCGAACGACGACCCCTTCCACACCGACCCGTCCTCCAGCGCCAGCCGCGCGTCCGCCGCCCGCCACGGCCGCTCCACGTCCGCCGCTGCCTCCGGGCACGGGGGGGGAAGGGGGAGCGGGTGGGGGGAAGGTGAGCACGCAGGAGGAGAGGAGGTCCAATGGCGGTGGAAAGGGGGTGATGACGCTCGCGGGCAAGGGAGCATGTTGGGACCCGCGGTGGTATCGTCGGGGATGGCAGCGCGCATCGAGGATGGCTGTCATGCCCCCTCGCGAAGGTCGGCCAGCAATGCGGCCGCGATCTTTAGGCGCGCGCGCCGCTTATGATTAGGCGGCTGAAGGTGCAACGAGCAAGAAGCAGCGAACGATGAGTCAATGATGCTGGCGGAGATGGAGGTGCAAAGGCCTGTTCTCGTGGATCGCAGCGACTCACCGGCGCTGGCGCGAACGACGGCCGCTGAAGCCGCGCGCTTGGATGGCGCAGCGACGCCCTTCGATTTGGCGGCGACCCCCAGGGACTGCCCCAGCTGCGCGGAGGCGCACCACCCCAGCGCCGCCTGCTTGCCGCCACATTCGCTGGCCTTGACGGCGTCCCCCGCCCTGGCGACGGGCGCGAGGCCCGGCTGCGCCACGTGCAGCGCGCTTAGTCTGACGGCCGCCATGGCGCGGATCGGATCGGTTCGAGCGACGAGGAGGATAGGAAGACGAGGGCGAGTGAAGGTATTCGCACACTGCGCGCCCTTGAGTTGCTGCGGCGATTGCAGGAAGGAATATGATGATGTGCGTCGTGATCACGCCACAAGCAGCTCTTCGAGCAATGGTGGGAGGTTCTACACACAAATGCTCTAGTTGAGGGCGACGGAGCTGCATGTGAGGGAAAAAATGCAGGTTTTGGGGGGACTTCTGCGCTCACCGACTAACCACGTGACGCTGTTTTGGCAGTGCTGACTAGGAAACGGCGCCGGTTGGTCCCTTGGATGGAATCTGAGGTAAGTGCAAGGCCGCAGAAAGCAACGCGTGGCAGTGCACCAAAATTAAACAGCCAATCATATGCGATGGGCAGCCGAACTGTGAGGTGTGTCTCGGGCAAAGGGAAAAGTGGCGCAATACACCGCCGCAAAAACATTTTCCCTTCCCCTGAAACTGAGGGCAGGGCAGGAGTGCCCGTAGTTCCCCTTTGCCACAATTTCAGGTGTGAAGCGAATTGAGGTGTGAACCATCAAAGCTACACAAAGCGAGCGACGTCTCCACAATGTTACACTCAACCTGCAAGTCGTCACTTTCGCTACACGTTACAGCGCCTTTCGCCGTAGTAGCACACGCGAACTTGATGTGCTTGGGACGGGTCCCTAGCCCACCAGCTGTACGCATAGGTCTGGAGGAGTTGCGAGGTGTAAGAACTTATCGAGTTATGTGTACATCTTGTTGTTACATCCTTGTGGATTTTATCGAGTATAACTTAAAGTAGGAACTGTTAGTAGCCACCCTTATCCGCAAAACTGTTGTGGGCAAGCAGATAGAACAAATCTCGAAGGCGCGTAAACGCCAGCAGCTGCGACAGGTGTCTCGGAGCGATGCGGGAAGTGGTGACGCTTCAGTTCGGCAGCTACGCCAACTTCGTCGGCGCTCACTTCTGGAACCTGCAGGTGCGCCTTCCGCCATGCGCCTTCCGCCATGCACCTTCCGCCATGCGCCTTCCGCCATGCGCCTTCCGCCATGCGCCATGCCTCGCCGAATTCCTGAAGCCCCGCCGTCGGCGCATCGACACGCCCTCCATGCGTTCCTCCCTCCGTCCCCCATATTCCTTTAAGCCCCGCCCAGGCCCTCTTTCCCCAACTCCCCTTCCTCGCGCGCCTCTCGCTCGGCCTCCCCGTGTGCGCCGTATCCGCGCGAGCATCGTCGTCCAACCCCCCAATCTCACACCCCGCGCCCCCTTCCCCCACGTGCCTCCGTCCTAGATAGCTGCGTCGCCGTGCGCAAGTGACCTCGGAGAACCGACCGCACCTTCTCCCCTCGCCCTCCGCCTCCCCGTCCCCCTCCCCCTCCGCTTCCGGCCTGCCCCCTCGCCCCACTCCTTGCGTCGCGTCCAAGCCTGCAGTTAACTTTCGTTCCCTTATCAAGGCACCGCTTTCCTCCCCCGCGCCACTTGCTCTTCTTTCCCCCTCCTTGCAGGATGAGGCGGTGGGGCGGCAGGGCGAGGGGGGCGCGGAGCAGCGGGGGGCGGGCGTGGAGGAGGGCGTGGTGATGCAGTGGCGCGAGACGCCAGGGCCTGCCGTACGCCGTGGGTGGGCGGGCGCAGGGGGGTCGCGCCATGGGGGGTGGTGGGCATGGAGGGAGGGGAGGGTGGTGGGGGTGTGGATAGGCAAAGGGGCATATGACGGCGTAGGACTTGCTAAGGCGCTTTGCTCTTTGCACTCCTGCTTCTCTGTCAATCCGCTCTCTAATCGCCTAACCAACGCCCTCTCCCGTCTCTCCATCCCATTCGCTCTGTATTCCCCATGCTGCTCTCACGCCTTCACTCCCATGCCCTCACTCGTGTCCCACACCCATCCACCCCTCCCTCACCCCTCCCCCCCAGGCCACGCCATACTGCACGCCGCGCCTGCTCGCCATCGACTATAAAGGTGCGCTCCAACCCCATCTGCATCAGGCATTTTCCCACACTGCCGTGCCCATCCTTCTTCCGACCATTCTTCTTTCTGTCCTTCCACATATCCCGCGTGTGCCTGCCTTCTCGTTTCTGTCCATTACTTTCCACCTGCCCATCAACTTTCGTCACACCACCCATCCTGCCCCACGCAACGCTCTCCTCCTGCGCTCCGCGTCTCTGCGGTGTGCTGCAGGCTGCCTTGGCCCCGTCTCCCTCCAATCGCCACTTGGGCCCGTCACCCCTGCAGCACCGTCTGCCCTGCCCACATGGTGTGCCCCCTGCCATGCCCGCCTGCCTCGCCCTGTCTATGCTGCTCTTTCCCCATGCATGTGCATCCCTGTCATGCCCCCTGCAACCACACGCCCCCACCCACCTCCCTTCACCATCTCCTTCTCTCGCACCGCCTCTCCCCCCTTTTCTTACTTACGCCCCCCATTCCCACACCCCTGCTGCCACCCGTTCCCCTCACCCCACAACCCTCGATCGCCCGTCTCCTTCCTTCCAACAGGTCTGGCCCGTCCCATGTCTCATCGGCCGCGCCTCTCCCCCTCAACCCCTTCCTGCGCCGCCTGCTGCACCCGCCCCCACCCGCTGCTCACACCGCCTCCTCTGCACCTGGCTCCCAGGCTAGGGGGGAGGATTGGCACGGGGCTGCAGGCAGGCACGGTGGGAGGGACACGGCAGAGGAGGCGGAGGGGGAGGCGGAAAGGGGGGAAGACGACGAGGAGGGGGAGGTGGCGCGGGGGTTGGAGGGCGGAGTGGGGTACTGGACGGAGTACCTTAAAGCCCACGTGCGTCCCGCCAGTGTGCTGCAGGTGCCGGGCGGGTGGTGGCAGGGCGCGCTCTCCCCCCTGGACGCGGGGGGGTATGGCGACTGGCGCGAGGTGGGGGGCGGGCGGGAGGGCGAGGAGGAGGTGGAGGAGGGCGTGAGGCGGGTGGCAGAGGAGTGTGACGCACTGCAGGGCTTCTCGCTGCTGCTGCACGCCGCCTCGCCCTTTGCATCCCTCGCCACGCGCACAGCCCTGCACCTGGCGGCGGAGTTCCCAAGGGCGCCCAAGCTGCTCTTCTCCCTGCGGCCCCCCGACGCCCTGCTCCCGCCCGCCACCCTCGCCCCTGGCCCTCATGCCCTGCCCGGCACGCCCTCACTGCACGACCTCTCCTCTGCCGTCTCCCTCGCCTCGCTGCTGCCCCTCACCTCCCTCATCCTGCCCCTCGGCCTGCCCTCCCTCTCCGGTGCGTGCCCCTGCTGGCCTGCTGCCATGCTGGTTGGTTTGTGTCTGCTGCGCTTTCCGCCGCAGCTGCGTGCTGTTATTCCGACTTCACAACACATTCTCCCCACTCACTCATTCTCTGTCCGAGATGTCACATGTCGTGTCATATGTAGAGCACTCACCCCTGCAGCCTGTCCCTTTCCTCCTCCCCCCCACCAGCCGTGCTGCCCCACGTGCACCCCAGCGACACCTCTCTCTTCCACTCCTCCGCTCTGCTCGCCACTGCCATCGACGCCCTCTCCACGCCCTTCCGCCTCGCCCCGCGCGCCCCCTCCTGCGCCTCCTCCCCCGTGGGCGCCGTGTCCCTGAGGGACCTCTGCTCGCTGCTCTCCCTCTCCTCGCCACATGGCAGCCTCGCATTCGCCTCCTTGGCCCTGCCAGCTCAGCCGCTGCACGAGGCAGGGGAGCAGGAGGCGGCGAGTGGAAGCCCGCCATGTGGCATGGCTGTGCTGACGTCAGACGTGTGCAGCAGCAGCAGAGAGGGGCGGGGAGGGAGGGGAGGAGGCAGCAGGGGAGGCCAGCGAGGGGCAGTGGGGCGGCAGCAGGGGGAGGAGGAGGAGGATTTGGAAGCAGGCATTCGAGCACAGGTGGTGGTGGCACGCGGTGCTGTGGGGCAGCAAGCAACAGGTGCAGTGGGTGGGTGGGAGAGTGGGGCATGCGAGGGAGAGAGGGTAGGAGAAGGGCTGGTGAGGGTGGGTGATGGGTGGGTGGAAATGAGGAGAGGTTAATAGCGATGAGAGAAGAATGAAGAACGATGGGGGGAGGGGAGTGAGAGCAAGTGTGGGTGGTGTATGGGCAGGGTGCATGAGTGCACTGTGCATCCCTCTCTCACTGCAGAACTCCCGTCATTCACTGCGTATCCCTCCTTCCATTCCCTCAACCCCCTCGCCCATGTGCCTGCAGGTCCCACCAGCACCGCCCCCTCACCACTACCGCCAGCCACAGCAGCAGCAGCCATCCACCGGGCCCTCCTGGCCGCGCGCCCTCGCCTCGCCCCGCCCTGCATCGCCCACATCGCCGCCGCCCAGCAGCCCCTCGCCATCCCCCTGCCCTTCCCCCGCTTCTTCTCCGCTGACATCAGCAAATACGGCCTCATCCTGCCGCCCTCCCGTCGCCCTGGCAGCCATGTTGCTTCCCTGGCAGGCGGGGCAGCAGCAGCAGCAGCACCAGCAACTACAGCAGCGGTGGGGGGAGGTGGGAGTGCGGTGGGAATGGGTCCAGATGTGGAGTGGGCGCCGGTGGTGGCGCGCGCAGCAGCGGGGCGGGGTGGGGCGCGGCATGCGGAGGTGCTTGCTGGTGCTCTGGAGTGGGTGGGGGGGCCTCGAGGGGGGGCGGGCAGGCAGGTGGTGGCGGCGTGGGGGGTGGAGGGCGAGGAGGTGCATGAGATGAGGGAGCGCGTGTTGGATGTGTGTGCGCGGTTGAGGGGGGAGAGCTATGCGGATGACAGTGACTGAGGCATCGCGTTGTGTGTGCCACATGCTGGGTGCATGTGCTGGGGCGCACATGGCACCACACATAACATGAGTGCAGCTGTGTGCTCAATGATATGCAATGCAAGGATTCATTGCTGTTGTGTGTGTTTGTGAACTCTCATGTGCAAGCATAGCCCATGCTTTCGTGGTCTCAACACATATGGTTCTAGCAATGTAGAGTGGTCAGAACTCAGCAATACTCCTACAGGCTATTGCCAATAAATCTCGTCTGCTATTGCACACGTGCACTGCCTCTTGCCGCCACAGCAGCCGCTGTGTCCTCCTGCCTGCCCCACCTGTCCCCCTCCCCACCTGTCTCCTGCCCCACCACAGTGGCCCCCTCCCTCCACCTGCACCTCCTCTCACAGCCCCCCGTCACACCCAGTCGGCCACGTCAATCTCTTCGTCCTCCACCTCGCAGTCAGGTGGCAGCAGCGCCAGCACCACTCGCCCCACCACAGCCTCCCCCGCCCCCGACCCATACCGCTCCGCCACCTCCCCCCCCGCCACCACCAGCAGCCCCCTCTCCCCACCCCTCTCCTCATCCCTCACCACATAGTAGTGCCCGCCCTCCACCACACTGCCCTCCCCCCACGCGCCCTGCACCACCACCAGCACGGCGCCATCCCCCTGCCGGGCCTGCAGGGGTGGCAGCAGGGAGGGCGAGGGCAGCAGCAGCGCCAGCAGCGCGGGCACGCCCCTCAGGGCCGGCCACGACGGCAGCGCCACCCACGCCACCCCGGGCGTGGGGGAGAAGAGGCGGAACGGGCCCTGCGGGGGGGGCAGCGCAGGCAGGTGCTGCAGGTCCGCGGCGCAGGTGACCACGGGCATGGGCGTGGCCTGGGTCTCACTGCTGCGCAGCCGCACCACCGGCAGGGAGGGAGTGGCCGGGGCGGTGGCACCGGCGCCAGTGGCGTCGGCGGGCGGCGTGGCGTCGGGTTTGCGGCAGCGGTGCAGAGCGGTGGCGAGGAAGGCGCGGGCGGCGTCGGATGTGGCGACCTGCTCCGCCCTGACCAGCGCTGCCTCTCGCTCCGCTCGGCTGCGCGCCTCCCCGCTCTGACGGTACGCTGCGAACGCCAGACAGTCCCCCGGCTCCGCACTGTGGCGCAGGAATTGGGGAGGGGGAAGGGGGAGTTGGGAAGGGGAGGGGAGATGGACAAGTGCGAAAGGGAGGGGAGGGGAAGTGTTGAGAGACGGGAGGTGAAAGCGGGGGTGGGAGAGGACGAGGTGAAGGAAGGTGCGCGTGAACAAGGGCGGATAACGCCATGCGGGGGGTTGGCGCCAGGATGGGGTGTACGCATCAGCAGCAAGGGCAGCAAGGGCAGCCCACCCCACCTGAAGTGGCTGCGGTCCGCCTCGCGCTTGCGCCGCTCGTACTCCTTGATGGCGCGCGCCACGTCCCGTGCGCCCTTCCCGTCCAGCCCCTCGCGCGCAACGTACTCCGCCGCCTCCTTCCGCTGCGCGCCCGCCAGCACGCGCAGCTCGTAGAGCGCCTCCGCGCCGCCCACGTCGAAGAAGGCGAGCAGCGCGGGGTCCATCTGCGCGGCGCTCAGCGTCGCGCGCACCTGCGCCGCCGTCGTGACGGCGCTCTGCTCCACGCCCGTCATGCCCGTCGCCTCCGCGATCGCCGCCGGTGACAGCCCCTGCCGCGCCAGCGCGCCGATGGCGGGCGCGTACTCATGCCACAGCCCGCGCCGCTCGCGCACGATCTCTAGCAGCTCCTCTATCGACCCCAGCCCCTCCTCCGCCGCGCGCTCCGCCGGCTTTAGGAACGGCAGGTACATCCCGCCGCCGCCGCCGCCGCCGCCGGTACCGCCGGGGCTGGACGAGGATAGAGGCTGGCCGTTGAGGCCGATGAGGCCTTGACCCTTGGGAAAGCCGCCGCCGCCGCCGCCGCCTGACGCGCGAGCGCGGAGGGGCGGAAGACGATGCGCGCGGCGGGAGGTGGCGTTGACACGACCGACAGGCGCGCGCGTTAGGGGCGCGGGGCTGAGGGAGTGGCGCACTAAGTGCGGCCTGAGCGCTGCGGCGTCCATCGCGGGCGGCGACGGGCGAGGCGCGGGGAATGCGGGCGCGAAAATGGGATGGGAGGCGAGAGTAAATAAGACGCGTTGAATGAGAGACGAGTGATGAGCGACGATGGATGGATGGTACTGATAAGAGAAATCGTAGTGCGTGTCTGATTCTGCACCTGTAGGTGTGTGTTGCAAACAAACTCGTGTAGATCCAAGGGGGTTGAGGGTTAGGGCGGGTCCAACTCATCACACCTCAGCTCAATTTGGCCCTTTTCTGTAGGGTAACCGCGTCAAATTTTGAAATCAAACTGGACGACGCGATCGGTTTCCCTAATTGCAAAACGAGTCCCGTGCCAGATCACATTTCTCACTCGTAAATTTTTCGAAATTAGTGCAAACTGGCCAGCTTTGACATTCCTAATCCGCAGCCTCACTTGCCGGTAACAGGGTTTACCTGCTTCGAGCAAGTGATGTTCTGTTCGTCGATTGAAACGACTGGTTCTCAATACTCAAGTTACCCTAGTGACGACTTCCGTTTTCGCGATTCCAATGTGTTCTGTTCAATTCAGTTTGTGTGGGCGGGATGCTGGGTCCGCGTAGAGCCTCCAGGACGTGGAACGTATTTGGGTTCAGATTGACTGATTGTCACCCGAAAAGTTGGGATTTTGTTACAGAGGTGTGAAACCGTCAAAACGAAATGAGTTTGACCGGCCCTTATGTACAAATGTGACCAGGTCCAAGACACATCCACATCATTTTCAAATTCTCTCACCACCTCCTCGCACCAAGGTTGTAGTGTAATCCGCGTTATTTTTCGTGCTCTTCTCGCTCTCTTCCCCCCGGCCAGTGCGCTCTATTCGTTCGTGGCCTTATTCCGCCCGCTGTGTGTGCTGCGACGAGCGCGTGTCTCGCTGCCCCTGCCCTGCGCGCCCGTATCCATCCGCCCCGCCGCCTCCTGCCTCCACTGCTCCTCTGCGCGGGCCTCCGCGCATCTCTCCCGCGAATTACCGCGTCCGTCCGCGCATGTCCGCGCAACCCCCGGGCGGCAGCATGAGCACCAAGCGGCCCCGCACAGGTCGGTCCGCTGTCGCGCTGCTTTTCCTCGCCGCTCCGCTTCCGCGCGTTCCGCACAAGACCATTCCCTGCGCGTGCTTTTCCCTGCTCACCCTCTTCCGCCTGTTGCCTCTCCCGCGCGCGTGACTGCGCAGACGCCGCGAGCGGGGACGGCGACTGGACGTGCCCCGCGTGCGGCAACGTCAACTTCTCCTTCCGCACGTCCTGCAACATGCGCAAGTGCGGCGCGCCCAAACCCGCGCCCGGCCCCTCGCTGATGCAGCCGCTACCGCAATACGCGGTGAGCCGCCCTCGTGATCCGCGCGCCTTCCTTGTTCCTGCACGCACGCCGTCCTGTACCGCTTGCCCCCAGTCCCCGCGTCGTGCGCCGTCCCTCTGCCCTGCTCCCGCTCGAGCTCGTCCTCCTTGCCCTATCGTCCCTCTCAAACCCTTCCGTCCCTCTCTGTGGCCCCGCCCTCTTCCCCCCCTCCCCCGTCTCCCCCGTCTCCCCCGCAGCACGCGCCGTCGGGGGCAACGGCCCCCATGTCGGGGGATGCGGGCGCGCCCATGCACGCCATGCACGCGATGCCGCCCATGCAGCCGCTCGGCGCGCCCTACATGCCCGCCATGCCCCCCGCGCACTACGCCCCATACCCCCCCATGCCCTCCCCCGCGCCCATGTACGGGGGGCCCGCCATGCCTCCGCCCTATGACCCCTCGGCGCACCTCGCTCCGCCATACATGCCGCAAGCCATGCCCCACATGCCCATGCCGCCAGGTGAGATTCCCCTTCCGCCCTGCCCTGCTTTCTCTCGTTACTCTCGCGTCGTCAAGTGCTTTCTTCAAGCGCCTTTCTACCGCCTCCGCCTCCCCTGTCTCACATTCTCTCCCCCCCCTGCCCCCCCCGCCCGCTCCCCCTTTCCCCCTGTGCGCGGGGCCCGCAGCGCACGCGTTCGCGCCCTTCCCCATGGACCCCTACCGCCCCATGCCGCCTGTGAGCCGCCCTCGCTACCTCTCCGCGCCCCCTTGTTGTCTTTCTCTGCCCTGCCCTCTCGGCTCGCCCTGCCCTCCCTGCCCTCCCTGCCCTCCCTGCCCTCCCTGCCCTCCCTGCCCTCCCTGCCCTCCCTGCCCTCCCTGCCCTCCCTGCCCTCCCTGCCCTCCCTGCCCTCCCTGCCCTCCCTGCCCTCCCTGCCCTCCCTGCCCTCCCTGCCCTCCCTGCCCTCCCTGCCCTCCCTGCCCTCCCTGCCCTCCCTGCCCTCCCTGCCCTCCCTGCCCTCCCTGCCCTCTCTGCCCGCGCTCTCGCTCGCCCGCCCCCTGTCCTCTACGCCATCAAATCAAATGCCGCTACTTGTTTTCCACGTGCATCGATCCCTGAAAGCCAAGCACACGTGCGTTCCTCCTCCCTTCCCCGTCCGCTTCCCTTTCTTCTTCCCCCTCCTCCCCCTACCCCCTTGGCAGCCGGGCATGCAGCAGCAGCGGCAGGGGGAGGGGGCGGACGGGCGGAAGCGGAGGGGGGGGCCGGAGGGGAGTGGGGAGGGGGACTGGGTGTGCGTCAAGTGCGGCAACACCAACTTCTCCTTCCGCACTCACTGCAACATGCGCAAATGCAACGAGCCAAGGCCCCCTGCCCCGCCCCTGCCGCCCACTCTCTATGTGCGCACACCACCTCTCCTCCGCTCCCTCTCGCTCGCCTTCCTTTCTCTCCTCTACTCCTTTGTGTCTCTCTCGTCTCATCTCCTCTCCTCCCTCCCCTCCACTTTTTTCCCCTTCTCTCCTCCTCCCCTCCTCCATCCTGCCCCTCTCTCCTTCCATCATCACTGCCCGCACACCCACCTGTGTTCCGCCACTCCTCCATGCCTCGCAACAAGCAATCCTCATTGTAGTAGCACCCGCATGCTTCTCATCCGCCTTCACAATTGCACTCCCATTCTTATTCTTCCATTCCTCCCTTCCCCTCCCCACACCTGCCGTGCCGTGCCCTACCCACCAACCGCGCCTCCTCGAACCGGTCGGCGCCGTGCATCTGCCTGCCTGCCATGCCCACAGCTGCACCCCGTTGCTCCTGCGCCTCTGCCCGCGCAGCCGCCGCGTGAGTCTCCCTGCTGCGCCCCTCCCCTTGCAGCCTCCCTCTTCCCCCCATCGCACCGTGCAGCTGCCATGGCTTCCTTTCACCACCTCCTCCACTATGACGCGCCTCTCTCTCTCCATCCGTGCATGTCTCTTTCTCTCGCTCTCTCCAGCCTTGCACCATCCTCCTCACCTCCTGCATCTGCCCCTCCGTCCACCCCGCTACCCCACGTCCCATGTGCCGTGCATGGGAGAGGGCAGGTGTGCAGGCAGCAGCACCGGAGGGCAGTTGGGAGTGCAGTGAGTGCGGCAACGTCAACTACCCCTTCCGCTCGCACTGCAACCGCCGCCACTGCGGCCGCCCACGGCCCACACACGGCGCCTCTGCTGCTGCCGGCACAGGAGGGGGAGACGCTGCTGCCGCCCCCCCTGCAGGTGTTAAACAGGAGGTATGGCCCCTGTGGTTATAATCTAGAGCCTTTTTCCATGGGGTGATGTGACCAGGGTTCCTGTTTCCACTCGTCATAGTTGCCACCAACAGTAGCTCCCTCCTTGCAGTGAGGAGCGACGGCAAGTCTAGTCATGTCTGGGAACTGCCTCTTGTGCTTTTTTATTAAAGTGTGTGCTGCCTCTCCTTCGGGACCTCCTTCACGCTCCTTAAGGCTGTCGTATAGGCTTCTCTATTAAAGCACTATGCTTTTCTGCTGCCACTGGGGCTTTCCATTCGTCCAACTTTTTCTCATTTGTGCAGTAACGGCGGCAGCATCAGGCAGTCTGAAGATTCGCAGACGATGTGAGTGTGTCTCCGTGAATCGGCCTGTTTTCCTTGTCATTGGTCGGCCAGGTAGTAGGTACGCCCCCCTTTCTCACTTGCTGGTGAGTGCAGTTGATTATCCATCCATGCCCCATGCCTGCGCTGTCCATTGCTGCTGTGCTTCACCCCTTCACCCCACCCTGACGGCCATGCCCTTGGTCTTGTCGTCTGTCTGTCTGTCTGTCCACTGCCGGTGTGCCGTCTGTCTGTCTTCCTGTCCGTCAGTCTGTCTGTCTGTCTGTCTGTCTGTCTGTCTGTCTCAAAGGGTCACCCGCTGCTATCTTGCCATCAGCCACCTCGAGTCTTGCTGTGCTGTCACGCGCAGCCATGGCATGGCGCCAAGGGCCTCTGGTAATGCCATTCTGTCATGGCCTTGCACATAGCATATTGTCACAGTCGCAGTTGCCTCATCCTGCATTTGGGTTCTTGGTAGTTTTGTCAGTGGCAGCATGGTTGACAATTGTGTATTGTGGATGAGCGTCTTTATTAGACACAGAGTGTTTCTGCTGCTCAAAGTGAGTAGCCACTTGTCCAATAAGCCCCCATTGAAGCAATAATTATTTAGGATTGAACTATATGCTCATGATCAAATTCCTCTTGCATATTGGTGTTACAAAAACCGTTTTTGCCAAAACAGTGTCGGTAGCGCGCAAGTGGCCTGGAGCCTCAGTGCAAGACTGTGATGTGATGAGTGTTTGCTGTTCTGCCCTCCCCGAGAGTGCGATGTGATTGGATGGAAGATCTGAACATCGATGACGTTCAAGAGCGAGGTCTGCGCTGGTTGGCTGCTCGGCTCAAATAGCCTCGAACAGAGCTGTCGATGGCAGTTTTCACGGAACGACGTGTTTCCTTATTGGTCGGAGCTAGGGCCAAAAGCTACTGCAACTAGCAAGCTGGCCTGGTTTGGGGAGTTGGTTGGCTTGGCGTGTATGCTAATGGGGTTGATCGGGACAAAGGGAGTGGGTGGATGCGCGATGAGGTTCGTTGCAATTGCAACCAGACGATGTGATGCGGATGGGGTTGCGCCGATGATCATGGTCCTTCGTTGCAATCCCCTGCGGCGGATGATGATGGCCCGCAACCCACCGCTACAATCCCCTGCAATCGGCAGGGCTCGGTAGGGTTCGGCCGACCAACCTTTGCGCGAATAAAATTACAGCTGGACCTGGCACTGAACAGCTCCGAACGGGACAGAACAGAACAGAAGAGGAAGAGAGCAACAGATGTTTTCAAATTCATAGACACCCGACTGACTGGTGTAACGTTTCGACGAGGAACGAGGCTTCGATAGAAATTTTCCTCATGTGGCGAACTTGCAACGCAAGTTGAGATTTGGAACCACGTCAGTGGGTGGGGGGGTGGTCAGGCTGTGTAGGTTCAGCACTCCACTTGTGCTTCAGATGGAACAATCGCGGGTTTTGCGTTTTGCGTAGGCAGAACAGCAACTGTGGCGTGGAACATGGATTGGAACTGGGAGGTCACGCACAGCCTGCCTGTACGCAGATGCACCTGAAGGGAGCATGAAACCTGTGTTACACAGTGAAATGCGCTCGATCTTATTTGAGTAGGCGAGACTAGTGTAACATGTGTTCGATTTTTTAGGAGCATTCACTCTCTACGCCATCACATTCAAAGTGAGTGGGGGAGACATCAGGTTTCCAGTGGACATGACTAAACGTCGTGTTTCACAAGGATTTTGAATGCACGCTCAGGGACTTCGGTCAAGACATCCGGATTGAGTCTGTAAATTATAAGGGGGAGATGTTTGTGGACAGAAATGGTCAGGATGGAAAATTATCGCGCACCAAGTAGACATTTGAAGTCCATCTCAGTCCATTTCTGTGAGGGTAGGTTGCACTCACAAAGAGCCCTAAAATCTAAGTTTTTTCCCCAAGCAACATCATTCATGGTTTGTCGTGGTGCTAGTGTACGAACGAGGGTAACTGAGATATCCCCAGCAGACTCTGAGTTGAGCTATCTTCGGATTGACGGTGATGTGGTGAAGCTTGAAACTGAAGCGTATGGGAAGCTTGAAGTTATAAACCAATTGCACTCAAACGTTGAAACCTTAAACGTCGCCGCCGGCTTGAATAATTTATGCACACTTAGAAGCTTTTTTTTTTTCCTTACCAGCCTCGTCGATGGCGGCCCGTCCGCTGTCTTCGGACGACGAGGAGAGTGCACCGGCGCTGCGGGTGCAGATAGCGATGAACATGGACGCCATGGTGTCGCAGCTGCGCCACGACGATGCCCTCTCGCGCCTCCCCGACGATGCCCTGCTCCAACAGTCCGTCGCCGCCGCTCGCTTCACGGAATTAATGGCCGCCGCTTCGATGAGTGCGCATGGCCCAGAAATACCAATAGATACCAATTTGCAAGGGCCGCCGCCATGGGAGCAAGGCAGGCAAGGGGTACGTAGGGTAGATCCGCAGCATGATCCCCAGGCTGTACGCACTAGCGACGACCCGTTGCGCGCTGCACAGAATTTCTCCGCACGAGCGACGAGCGTGATTAGCAGGAATGGTGCGGCTGACCATCGTTTTGCAGAATGCAGAGGCGTGATCATGGGCCCAAGTGAAATGGCCGTGGCGAGTTCTCCTGCGATGGTGCCGCACAACGCGAGTGGGACTGGCGATGCGGCGCGATTCAACCAAATGCTCCTGGCGCAGAGGCAATGGCAGCAGCAGCAGCAGGCGCAGCAGCAGCAGCAGCAGCAGCGGCGACAAGAGCAAGAGCAGCAGGAAAGGAATATAGAGCAGCTCTTACTTTTGCAGCAGCAGCAGCAATGGCAGCAATTATTGCTCTCACAGAATGAAATGGTTCAACATGAACAGGCCATATTGCGACACATGACAGCTGGACATCAGATGACAGCTCTGCATCAAATGAGAAGTGGACAGCAAATAACAGCTGGACATCAAATGACAGCTGAAAACCAGATGACAGCTGGACATCAAATGACAGCTGGACTTCAGATGACAGCTGGACTCCAAATGAGAGCTCAACAGCAAATGACAAGTGGACAGCAAATGACAGCTGGAAATCAAATGACTTCTGGACACCAAGCAACAGCAGGACACCCAATGCGCGCCGTGGCACCGCATGCGGCCTCGCCTGCCCTGCAGTCTGCCCCCCTTGCCCGCCCTGACCCCGCCCTCTCTCCGCAGCAGTCCCCCGCCCAGCCACCCGCACCGCAGGCGGCGCACCCCGCAGAGGCTGGGGGGAATGATGCTGCGGGGATAGACGCGGAGGAGGGGGGAATGGACGACGAGGGGAGGGATGGGGATGAGGGGATGGGTCATGAAGGGGGTGAAGAAGGGGAGGGTGGGGGAGAGGGGCAGGGGGAGGGCGGGGATGCACGGCAGAGGATGCGGAGGCGAGTGCAGGTGGAGCGAGTGAGGCGCCAGAGAGTCAGGTACCTGCCCGCCTCTCCACCTGCCACCCACCTGTGCCCCGCTCAATCGCCTCGGCTGTCACTGCTTGTGTTGAACTCTCCCTCGGTCCCTTCCCCCTTCCCTCCATACTTTCCCCCTTCCCTCCATCCCTTCCTCCTTCCCTCCATCCCTTCGTCCTGTCCTTCCCTCTCTCTCCTTCCTTTCCTTCCTCCCTACTCCCCTTTCTTTTTCCCTACTTCCCTTCCTTTCTCCCTCCTTCCCTTCCTTTTCCATTCCCCTCTCTTTCTCCTTTTCTCCCTCTTTCCCTTCCTCCATCCTTCCCTCCCTTCTTCTCCCTCGCTTATTCTTCTTTCCTGTCTCCCTCCTCCCCTCCCTCGTTTCCTCTCTCGCTTGTTACCTTTCTCCCTCCTTCCCTTGCTACTTCGCTCCCTTGTTCCCTCTCTTCTTCCCTTCCTCCCACTTTCCCTTCCTTCTTCGCTCTTCCGTACCTCTATCCTTTTCTCACTTTCGCATTCTCTTCCTGTTTCCCTTTTTCCATCTTTCCATCCATTCTTACCTATCTCCCTTGTTCGTTCTCCCTCTCCCTTCCTCTCCTTCACTCCTCCATTCCTCCCTCCTTCCCTCTACCCGTCCTTTCCTTTCTCCTTCCTTCCCTCTCTTCCTCCTTCCCCCACCTCTCCGCTTCCTTCCCTCTCTGCCGCCATCCCCCTCGCCATCCTTTCCTTCTATCCCCCCCTGTATCCCCGCGAGCAGGGAGGGGCTACAGCAGCTACAGCACAGCATACCATACGCGCCGGGCAACGAGGAGACTGCCTCCATGCTCGACAACGTTGTCTCATACATCCGCCAGCTGCAGGTGCGCCTCATACATCCGCCAGCTGCAGGTGCGCCTCATACATCCGCCAGCTGCAGGTGCATTATCCCGTGAGCCAGGTACAGGCAGGTGCACCCAGGTGCAGACAGGTGAAGACAAGTGCATGTGAGGCAGGTGCATGTGAGGCATGTGCATGTGAGGCAGGTGCATGTGAGGCAGGTGCATGTGAGGCAGGTGCATGTGAGGCAGGTGCATGTGAGGCAGGTGCATGTGAGGCAGGTGCATGTGAGGCATGTGCATGTGAGGCAGGTGCATGTGAAGCAGGTGCATGTGAGGCAGGTGCATGAGTGGAAGCCATCTGGTCTCCCATGCCTGCTACTCTCTCACATTGTAAACCTGCTTCTACCACGGCTCACATTTGCTCGAGATTCGCCTCCTTGTTCTGCTGTCCTGTCCGCTGAGCTCGTTTCACTCGCCCTCTCCCCCCCTCCCCACGTGTCAACGAGCAGGACGACTGCAGTGGGCTTGAGCACATACTCCTCTCCTCCACGCCCTCCTCCTCTGCTGCTCTGCCCTCTGCACCTGCTCATCTTGCCACTGCCGCCGCTGCTGCTGCTGCTGCTGCCGCTGCTACTCCTGCTGGTGTTGCCCCTGCTTCCCTGCTGCCGCTACCTCCCAGCAGCACCAGCATGCCGCTGCCACCGGGCCTGTTCCCTCCATTTCTGCCGCCTCCACACCCCCGACCGCCCTAGCAGTGCCCCTGTCCCAGAGAGCAAGTTATCACCACCACTGTGATGTGCTGCCGCTCAGTTGTTGCTGCCTGTGCGCCGTAGGTGTGTTGTTGTGAGGCATGCGCAAATGCATGTAGGCATTGCTACCATGCCTCGTCTCTTTCCTTGGTTTGTAGAAACTTTCTTCTCGCTAGTGATGTGATGCGTGAAGTTGCAATGGCGATCTTGTTTGATGAGAGAGAGCCGTGCCTGCTGCCAAAGGAGAACCTTTGGAGAACCACCCCCTGAATCAAGGGCTGCAGCAAACGTGGTATTGAGCATCTGCTGTGCCAGGTGCTCCTGCCGTCGAAACAAGAGGGACACATCCCCAGGGATCTATACACCACATGATCAATCAAGGCTCTTCATTCAGTACTTGTTGCCAGCACACCTCATAAGCAGTGGGCCTATTCACCAATCTCTCTGGCAACACATGGTTACCACCATGCCTATGCGCACCGCCCACCACCCGTGCCCTCCCTGGCACTCGCACTAGCGCCTCTACGCCATACATCACAGAAACGACAATTGATACAGACCCCAGCAGCACGGCCTGCAGCCTATCGGGGTCGCCTTTGAAGGCAAGTAGTGCAGCAAGAGCAGCAAGGGTGGCGCACACACTCAAGCGCAGCACCCCCACTGCTGCCCTCACCAGCCGCCCATCCGATACCAGCTGTGGGCCCGAGGGGGGCAGCAGAGAAACTGGTTGAGATGCTGTTGGGTGCGGTGCAGCGTGGTGGTGGTGGTGGTGGTGCGGTCGAGCGCGGTAGAGGAAGAGGAAGTTGTATTTATCAACGAGGAGGCGGTAGGAGAAGAAGAGCAGCCCGGCGGGCAGCATGAGGGGGGCGAGGGGCGCGTGGAAGAGCATGAGGCAGAGCGCCGTGGTGTTGTACGCGTAGTACTGCGCGTAGTCAAACTGCAGCATGCCCTTTCGCTTCCTGGACGGCTCCTGTGCCTCCGGCCCCACTGCTGCTGCTGCCTCGCCCCCCCCTGGTGGTGCCTCTTGTGTGTGGGATGCGCATGCTGATGGCTGCTGTGCTGCTGCTGTGCCATTTGCTTGCGCTGCTGCTGGTGTTGGCTCTGGTATGCATGCAGCAGCAGGCGGATGGAAGGTGCCGAGTGGCGTGACGGCGGGTGGGTGGGTGGAGTGAGGGGGGAGGGATATGTGTTTTGCGGCGGGGGAGGCGGGTGAGAGGAAAGCGGTGTGAGAGGAAGGCGAGAGGAGGTGAGAGTGGACGGCTGCCTCTGCTTCTGCCTCTTCCAGCAGGGACAGCAACCCAAGGTCACTCTCACTGCTGCACACACTCTCCCCCTCACTCCCTCCCTCCTCATTGTCACTCTCCCCATCACCACCTTCAGCCATGTCGTCCAATGGTTGTCCGCCACGTGTCTCAGCATCACCATCCCCACAACGACCCTCAACAGCATCCCCTGGCAGCGGCACATAAGCACCGCTCTGCACCGCTCCAACTCCTCCAATACGCGCCCTCCTGGCCACCACATCTCCCACCCAGCCTCCCATCACCCCGACTCCACTGCTCGCATTCCCCACCCCCACACCCTCTCCACCTGCCGCCACCCCGCTCACGGCATTGCCTGCCCTTGCAGTGCGGCGCCAGTGCAGTGAGAGGCACTGACAGAATTGGCTAACGGAGAGCAGCATGTGGCGCAGGGAGAGGCGGCGCAGGGAGTGGCGCAGGCGGTGCAAGCGAGGAGTGAGCCAGGCGAGGGGCGCGAGTAGGTCAAAGGAGACGCCGAGCAGCGCGGAGGTGAGCAGGAAGCAGAGCGCGGAGAGCGAGGAGGCGGGGATGAGCGACGCGTTGAGCCAGCGCAGCACGGAGGGGCAGTGGGGGGAGAGCAGCGAGCAGCGCTCCGCGTGTAGCAGTGCCGCCTGCAGCAACGCCTCCAGCAGTGCCTGGTGGGGGAGAGGAAGGGAGGGGGGCGGGTGAAGTGGGAAGGACAGTAAGACTGGCGTTTCTGCATTACCTGGCCAGTGAATGCATGGCAGCAAATAACGGGAAGGAATGGCCGCAGACGTTCCACTACAAATTTGCACACAGGCAGTGAATGTGATGAGCAGAGCGACTAGAGGAAGCAGTGGGCAGCAGCATGTGGGGGCAGGGGGGACGGCACCTGGAGCACGTAGAGGTTGAAGAGGTAGAGCGCCGTGAGCTTGAGCAGCAGCGCAGCCTGCTGGCGCGACGTGGTGATGTGCCCCTCAAACAGCACCAGGCGCTGCAGCGCTGCTGGCATGACGCCGTACATGGCCGTGAATGACAGCACGTTGGGGAGAAACTGCAGCACCACTGCTGCCGTGCCGCTGTTGCTCTGATGTGCAGGGGGGGCATGGGGAGGGGGACATGGATGTGGGGAAAGTGAAGAAAGGAGAGGGAATGATAACGGACTAGAATGGGAGGGGACGGACGGAGAAGGATGGATTGTTGAACATGAGCCCTACAGCACCGCACTGCACCCCCCTCTCCATCCACCTCCTTCACTCGCCTGCGCTGCGCTGCATGCCACTCCATCCCCCTCCACCCCTCCCCTCCCCCTGCTCTACTGCTCCGCCATCCTCTCTGCCCCAAATCCCCCTCCAACCCCCGTTCCCCCAACTCACGCGCGCCCATGTGAGCCAGGCGTTGAGGTGGGAGAGGGCGGCAGTATCAGCGGTGTGAGCGGCAGACGAAACAGCAGAGAGCAGGGCGAGGGGGCACGACCACGCACACAGCGCCGCCACCACCACCACGTTCACCACCCACGTGCGGACACGCCTGGCCACCCGGCTGCCACCCACGTTGCGCCAGATGATGCTGGCCGCGGGCGGCGCTCGCTCCACACGCCAGGAGGCCGTGGCGAGGGGGGCCAGGCGCCACCTGGGGGAGGCCCACAGCGCGTCCCTTAAAGCCCGGGTGGCCGTGTAGGCATCGCGGAACACCACCAGCGCCACCCCCGCCCCGCCCCCCCTGCCCCTGCGCAGCAGCTGCGCCTCCCCCTCTGCCTGACGCACCTGCTCCTCCAGCCTCCGCGCCTCCTCCCCCCAGTCGCGCACCCCCATGCTCCACAGCCATGCGGGGGACGTGGGGGGGAGGAGAGCGCGCAGGGGGGCGAGGAGGTGCGAGAGGGAAAGGGAGAGCGAGTGCAGGGCGGTGATGGGCGGCAGGCAGAGGCAGTGCAGTGCAGAGCGGGCAGTGTGCGGCGGCAGGAACAGGCGGCGGCACGCAAGCAGAGGGGATGCCACGGACCCTGCTGGCCCGCCCGCGCCACTGCCACCACCCCCTCTCCCCAGCTCCCCTCCCTCCCCATCCTCTTCCCCCTCCTCCAGCTCCCCTCCTCCGCCTCCTCCCATCCCCTCCCCTCTCCTCCCATCCAATCGCTGCATGCCAGCTGGACCCTGCCGGCCACTCCATGCGATGAGCGGCTCGTGCACAGACGCCACGTCAGCACCACCATTTCCATGCACGCGTGCTTGCGCCCCCGCGCCTGCACCTGTCTCCACACCTGCGGTGCCCTGCAGGGCGGCCCTGGCGTGTGCCTGTGCAAGGCGTGCTGTGAGGGCCGCCACGTGTCGCCTGGCTGCCAACGCTGCTGCCACGTCTGGCGGCTGCAGCACCCGAGCCACCCTCCCCGGGTACAGGCGGTCCCAGTACTCCAACAGTAGCTGGGGAAGAGAGGAGGGGAGAGAGCAGGGGTCGGAATTGCAGGACAGGCAGTGGAGGCGGGAGGGGTGTGACGATGGGAAGCAGGTGAATGGATGTCTGTGAGGGAGTGCATGCGTGAGTGAATGAGAGAGCGAGAGAATGAGGAGGGCAAGCGGCAAGCACAGCAAGAGGGCGGGGGCAGCAAGAGGGCACCTTCGGGCAGGCTGACAGGCCTCTAGGCACTCCACGAATGAGAATCGTGTACTCTGCCACGTCATGCGCTGTCATGTCCACGTCATCATCGCCATCAACACCATCATCAGCACCATCAGCACTCCCATCACCATCAGTGCCATTGGCGCCATCAGCAGCGCCATGGCGCGCAACGCAGTGCAGGGCAGCATACCCTTCCCGCGGACTCTCCCCATCTCCGCTGCCCTGCCCCCCGTTTGTCCCCCAACCCCACGCCCTTCCCGGACCCCCTGCGCTCCCTGCGTCCCCGTCCCTGCCCTGCGCCACCGCCCTGGCGCGCACGCGCTGGCGGCGGAAGGCGCGGATGGCGAGGTGCACGGCGGGGGGCAGCAGCAGCGCGAAGAGCGCGTGCAGCCAGAGCGCGGGCGCGGCGGGCGCGACGTGCGCGATGGTGGCGGCCGCCAGGTAGTCGCACACCGCGGAGTCCGCTCCGCGCAGGTTGGCGGGGAGCAGCAGCGCCATCGCCGGCACCAGCAGCGCCGCGATGAGCGCGCACGTGCAGCGCTGGCAGATGAATTGGGGGGATGGGGGGAACAGGGGAAAGGAGACGGAAGGGGAAACGGGAAGGGGAGAGGGCGGGGGGAACAGGTTCAGGAGACGGAAGCGGAAGGGGGGCGGCCGGGGGGAAGAAAGGGGAAGAAGGAGCGAGTGGGGGCGAGGCGCGGGGCGCACGAGGAGGATGAGGTAGTCGGCGGCGTCCGCTCCGCACAGCGTGACGATCTGCGCGTCCGTCACGTGCCACACCGCGCGCAGCTTGCGCCACGCGTGGCGCGCGGACGGCAGGCGGTGATCGGCGCGCAGCTTGACGGCGGCGAAGAGCGCCACGCAGCACACGCCGGCCGGCGCGCTCACGTTCCACAGGTACTGCAGCCCCCACGCCGCGCCCGCCCCGCCCGCCCCGCCCCCATCGCCGCCCCCGCACGTGCTGTTGGCGGGCGGCGGTGGCGCGAACGACATGTGCGGAAGGAGCGGCGGACGCGGAGGGAGATGGACGGGGATGGGCAGCGCGCGCGGCAGCGAATACTAGTGCGCGGTGGCATCAGGCGGAGAGCGAAGGTGCGGGGTGGGCGCGAGTGGAAGGCGCGGGGAAGAAGGTACGATGGCGCGGAAGCAGTGGCGACGCGGAGAACAGGCAAGGAACGACCATGGCTAGTGGCGCTACGCTGGCAGCGGCGGCGGCGGCGGCGGCATACGAGGTCTACGTTTGTTAAGATCGCGTCGCGCTGCCGGTCAGGTGATTAGGATTGGAGAGATCGGCGCGCAACGGCGCGTGTGCGCCTAGGGAGGTTATTGGGAATTGGAGGTATGTAGCTTGGGGAGGGGATTCGATGTGTGTCAGAGAGGACACCCAGCGAGGCAGCGCGGGCGCTGAGGGTTGTGTGGTGTGAAACATGGATTCGGTAATTCCAGAATAGGAATATACTAACCGCATGTGTGCATTTGTGCATGCGATTGCAATAGCGAACCTGTTACTGTCGGCGTGTTTCGGAGTCCATCTCCCTCCATCCCTCGCGTCCCCCTCATTCGCTAATTCCAATCACATCCATCCGCGTGCGCGCACTCTGCAGCGACGCGCGCAGCGACCGTCGGGTGCGCGCGCCGGCCTCACCGCGGATGAATTCCGCCGCGCGTCTCTCCCCGCGGTGACCTGCCCGCGTTGGTTCTTCCCCTCGCCCGCTATCCGCCCTTTTCGCGCGATCGCCAGCATGCCTCGTCCGCATCCTCGCAGCACACTCGCCGTTGCGCGCCGATTCGTCGCAGCTGTCGCGGATGCGCGCAGCGACATCACCCCGGGCAGCGCGCGGTCGCCCGCGCTTATTGAGCTCTCTGCGCCCCCGCCTCCCGCCCCCTTGGCTGCTACTCCCGCGCATTCCTTTCGCATCAGCGCGTTCCCCGCGCTCAGGGGCGCAGCAGAGGGGGATTCTTCTCGCCGCGCCCTCCCAACACATGCTGGCGCAGTGCTTTCCGCCGCTGTGGCGGCTATTTCCGCCGCGGTAGTGGCGGGGGAGGGATCAGCGGCGCACACGGAGTGCGAGGGCGCGGAGAGGGTAAAGGGCGGAAGCGCGGGCGAGGAAGAGCAGGAGAATGGTGGAGGAGCAGAGGGCGCGGAGGAAGCGGGAAAGGGGGCGGTAAATGGGGAGGGCGTGGCAGAGCACGCGGCGGCAGTGAGCGCGCTGAGCGCGGAGGTGCGCGCGGGGCTGGTGGCGGCGGTGGGCGAGGAGGGCGTGGAGGAGGGCGAGTCGGAGAGGCAGAGCCACGCCAAGCCGTGGAACAGCTACCACCAAGTCGCTGCCCTGCCCGCCGCTGTTGTCTACCCCAGGTGATTCTCCTCACGCCAAGCCGTGGAACAGCTACCACCAAGTAGCTGCCCCGCCCGCTGCTGTGGTGTACCCCAGGTAATTCTCGTCCACCCTGCTGCCCCATTGCTGTTTCTGCCCGCCTCATGCCCCACCATACACCCTCACTTCTTTCAAGCCCTCCTGTCATGTGCGGCGTGGATGATGATTGATGCATTCATGATGGCATGGCATGGCATGGCATGGCATGGCATCAGGAGCACGGAGCAGGTGGCAGCGGTGGTGAGGGTGTGTGCGCAGCATGGCGTGGCGGTGGTGGCGTATGGGGGAGGCACGTCGCTGGAGGGGCACACCACCACGCCCATGGGGGGAGTCAGCATCAACATGACTCGCATGAACGTGAGTGATTGCATGTCATGCTCCCTCGCCTCGCCACCTCACTGCCCTGCGTGCTGCCTGCTGCTCTCAGCCACCATCACGGCAATGCCCCAACTGTCTTCCAACTCGTACTTAAAACGGTCCCGCTGACCTCTCGCCCTCTGCCCATACCCCACTCGCCCCATGGGCCTGCTGCCATCCCCCCCTTAAATCCCTTCCCCCAGCAAGTGCTAGCAGTGCACTCAGGGGACATGGACGCGCCGCTCACCCGCTGTATCTGCTGCCATTCCTGCCATCCCTCCCCCCCCACCCAACCCCAGCAAGTGCTAGCAGTGCACGAGGGCGACATGGACGCGGTGGTGCAGCCGGGCATCACGTGGGGCGACCTCAACGCGCGCCTGGCCCCGCTGGGGCTCTTCTTCCCCCTCGACCCTGGCCCCGGCGCCACGCTGGGCGGCATGGCTGCCACGCGCTGCAGTGGGTCGCTGGCCGTGCGCTACAGCACCATGCGGGACAATGTCATCGCACTGCAGGTGAAGAGAGACCTCACTGGTACTGCGTCTGATAGCTCTCTCAGGTCATACGCCGAGACTTCCACCATTCTGCAGTCTGCCGTTGCCACCATTCTGCCTTGCGCCACTTCCACTGCTCCCACCACCGCCACCACACCTCTCTCTCCGCTTCTTCCCTTCCCCACGCTCACCCTCCCCCCGCCAATAGGCAGTGCTGGCGAACGGCGAGGTGGTGCGAACGGCAGCGAGGGCGCGCAAGAGTGCAGCGGGGTACGACCTGACACGGCTGCTGGTGGGGTCTGAGGGCACGCTGGCCATCATTACGGAGCTCACCGTGCGCCTGCACCGCATCCCACCGCTCTCCGCCGTCGCCATGTGCCCCTTCCCCTCCATCCGTGCTGCTGCTGACGCTGCCATCGCTACTGTTCACAGTGGCGTGCAGGTGTGTGAGGTTGGGGGGGTGGGGTGAGAGGGGAGGAAAGAGAGAGGGAGCGGAGGACAGGAGGGAGGAGGTGATGATGGGAGATTTCGGGTGCTAACGTTGGGAGGGGCGGTGAGGATGAGAGAGGGGGTGGAGGAAACATGGCAGTGGGGAGATGAGCATTGGGGACCATGGGCTATTGCCAACATGCTTTCCACCATCCCCCACCACTTTGCAACCTCCCTCTCACCCCCCCCCTTCCCCTCCAGGCATCTCGGTTAGAGATGTTGGACGAGGTGATGGAGATGTTCAACAGCGCCCGCCAACGAGTAGACGTGTTGAGGCACCTCAACGCACCCCCTCTTCCCCCCTCCAGGCATCGCGGTTAGAGATGTTGGACGAGGTGATGGTGGGCGCGTTCAATGCTGCCAACGGGTAGACGCGTGTTGAGGCCCCTAAAAGCACCCCCTCTTCTCCCCTCCAGGCATCGCGGTTGGAGATGTTGGACGAGGTGATGGTGGGGGCGTTCAACAGCGCCAACGGGTACTCGTACCCGCACCGCCCCACGCTCATGCTCGAGGTCACGGCCGACACCCCGCAGCACCTGCAGCAGCAGCTGGCGGCAGTGCGGGCGGTGGCGCAGCGGCACGGGGCGGAGGAGATGCGGTTTGCGGAGGGCGAGGAGGAGAAGCGCGAGCTGTGGCGCGCACGCAAGGAGGCGCTGTGGGCCGCCTACTCCCTGCGCCCCGGCACTGAGCCTCTTATCACCGTGCGTGCCTGCCATGCGCTTGTGCACTGTACCTGTCGTCCCTGTCTACACCCTTTACAAAGAAGCATGTGTATTAGCCATGTTGCCAATCCGCTCCCTTTTTCTCTTTCATCCTTCTTCCTCTTGCCCCCACCTCCCTCACCCCTCCCTCCCCTCCTGTTTCACCCCGTGTCGAGCGGGCAGGACGTGTGTGTGCCGCTGTCACGCCTGGCAGAGTGCATGGACGCCACAAAGGCCGACGTGCAGCGCTCCTCGCTGCCGTGCCCCATGCTGGCGCATGCAGGCGACGGCAACTTCCACGTGTGCATCTTCTTCGACCCTACCAGTCCCGAGGAGACTGCCGAGGCCAAGGCGCTGTCCGCTGCCATCACTCTCAGGGCACTCGCCATGGATGGTGCGTTCGGCAGGAGGAGTGGGGGAGGTGGTATGGGAAGTGCAGTATGGAAGTAGCAGCACAGCAGCGCATGCTGTGGTGTGGTAATGATGTGTGCTGGTGATACATGGCAACCACCAACCTTTTCTTAGAATGTCGCACCCTTACTCACGACATTGTGTGGTGCGTTACTCGCTCCCCTTCCCACACCCTTCTCCCATCACCCCATCCCCCTCACAATCCAGTAACCCCCTCGCCGCACTTCCCTCCCCCCCCATTACCATGCAGGCACGTGCACGGGGGAGCACGGGGTGGGCGTGGGCAAGACACAGTACCTGGAGAAAGAAGTGGGGGCGGGGGCAGTGGCGGCGATGCAGGCAGTGAAGGATGCTCTGGACCCACAGGGCATACTCAACCCGGGCAAGGTGCTGCCACCCCGCCCGCCCTGCCTCTCCTGACTCCTCACCCCTCACACACCTCCTCGTTCATATCACCACCCCTGCTACACCCTGCTGCCAACGCTGCCACCCCGGTAGGCACACTGATGCATCCTCAAGACAAGGGAGGGATGTTTGAGTTAATGAGCACACGGCCTCTGTGTGCTGCATGTAGTGATCCGTTTCCCAATTACCTTGGCCGGCATTCCCAGGCATTTAAATAGCACCTCTGGAGATGTAAATCGAAGCGTCAGACACGATATTGGTGAAGGCGCAATGAACAAGACAAAGCAATTAGTCAAACTCGTTTGACCATGTCAATTCCAAAGCAGTCAACAAGACAAGTCAGCAGCAGTAGGCTCCTTGCACCAGGGTCTACAATTTGGAAAGCTGGTGGTACCGCACTGGAAAGCTGCACGCGCCTGTTGCGATGATGAGAGCCTTCACCCAGCAGAGCGGTCATTTGCCACACACTGCATGCCACACATCAGTTGGGCCACATTGAGGCGCCTAGAAAAAAAAGATAAATACGGCATGCTAAGTGGAAGCGGAGGGGAGAGACGGAAGGGGTGAGGAGAGAAGGGTGAAGGAGGTAGCAGGAGGGAGCGCGGCAGAGGGAGAGGCAGGCAGGTCTGCATCTGCGGATTGCTGTTGGTGGGTGAGGGACACGGAGCGCGAGGGAGGGAGCGAAGAGGACGGCGTGCGGGGTACGGGGAGATGCGGCACGAGGGGGAATGGAGGGGGCAGCAGCAGCTGTGCTGCCAGGGCAGCGTCACTCTCCCGTTGCTCCGCCGCTGCCTCTGCTGCTTCTGCAGCTTGCTCTGGTTCGGCCTGGGTGTGAGCAGCGAGAGGAGTGCTAGTGATGTCAATGCTGAAGTGGTCCGAGGCACCTGGGCTGCCCAAAAGAGTCTCGCCTGCTTCCACCGCCACCAGTGCCCCTGATCCTGCTCCTGCTGCTCCTGCGCTTGTACCTGCTGCTGCAGTTGGCAGTAGCAGCACAGGAGCACTGCAAGCAGCAACATGCGGGCAGGGAGTGCAAGTGCTGTCAACAGCTGCCTGACTGGTTGAACCGTCCGCTGCCACTGCTGCTTCCTCCTGCTGCTGCCGCTGCTGCGCCACCTGTTGTGACTCACAGCCCTGCTCCTGCCCGTTCACATCAATGCCTACATCAACCCCTGCTGCCTCCCCCCTCTGAAACTGCTGCGGCGGCTGCGGCTGCTCACTATTAGGTTGGGAGGAGGAGGGCAGGCTGTGCGGCTGCTGCATGTGGTGGTGGTGGCAGTGGTGGTGGTGGTGCTGCTGCTGCTGCTGCTGCAGACCATGCTCGTGCTCCTGCTTCTCATGCTCATGGCAGTGGTGATGGTGGAGGTGATGGTGGTGGTGGTGAGGGTGGTGGTGGTGAGGGTGGTGGTGGGGATGGTGGTGGTGGGGGTGATGGTGGTGGTGCATGGGAACATCTCTATCTCCCTGCTCCCCACCTACCTGCAGTCCATTACCACCACTTTCCACTATCACCGCCACCTGCTGCTGCTGCCACCCCTCCTGAACCTCCACAGCCCCTGCCCTCTCCACCCGCTCCTCCACACCACCACGTCCCACTTCCACCTGCCCATCCTGCTGCCTCTGCTCCGCTGCCTGCTCCTGCCACTCCTGCCGCTGCTGCCGCTGCAGCCGTCGCTGCGAGCGCACCTCCTGCCGCCGCCGTCTCTCCCGCTGCACCTCCCTCAGCACCTGCTGCCGCTGTGCGCGCTCCTGTGCGAGGCGCTGCTGCTGCTGCAGGTGGTGCAGGCGCAGGGCGTGCAGGCGCACCAGCTCCGCGTACCACGGCCGCCCGCGCAGCTGGAAGCGGCTCAAAGGGGCGTGGCGGAACATGGCTGACAGCGTGCCCGGAAATATGCCCAGACGCTGGGGGGAAGGGGGGTGAGGGAGAGGGGAATCTCCTTGTGAGCGGCCATGCATGCAAGGGGAGGCCCGTGAGGACGTGGCATAAGCGGAACATGGCTGACAGAGTGCCCGGAAATATGCCCAGACGCTGGGGGGAGAGGGAGAGGGGGGCAAGGAGAACCGGCGAAGGGCACCACGGGAGCGCAGAGGGGGTCAGGGAGGGAGAGATGTTTCCAGTGCGTGCACATGCATGTGAGGGGGGGATAAGGAAGTGGGGGGAAGAGAGGGGGCGAATAAGAAAGCGTGGGGAAAGATGGTGGAACGGGAGCAGAGTAAGGAAACGGGGAGTGCAGATGGAGTGGAGGGGAGGGCTTACCGCGAGCCAGGTGCGTCGGTTGGGGGGAGGCATGGGGCGCCCCATGAGGCGCGAGAAGAGACGCCTCTCCGCATCCTCCACCTGGCGGGGCGCAGGGGGGCACACAGCAAACCCGTTGCCAATTGACGGGGCGACGCATGGACGAGAGGATTGGTGGAGGAGGGGCTGGGGAGAAAGGGAGGGGCGAGGAGGGCGGAGGGCAACACAAGTGAACGGAGGGTACAGGGACGGGGTCGCCCAGGCAAGCAGGTAGGTGAGCAGCGCTAGGCTGTTGGAGGTCAAGGGAGGGCTGACCTTGAGGAGGGGCAGTGCACGCACCTTGAGGGCGCAGTGGCAGGCAGGCACGCACCTTGAGGGCGCAGTAGCGCAGGCGCAGGGCGAGGAGGATGACGAGGAGGCGGAAGAGCAGGAAGGGGCGCAGCGCCTCAAGGGCCGAGATGAAGGTGATGATCAGCTCCACTACTATGTACAGCGTCAACAGACTCTGCGCCGCAGGGGGGGGGGAGGGTGGGGGGGGAGAGAGGGATGAACGTGAGGTGAATGTGATGATCAGCTCCACCACTATGTACAGCGTCAGTAGACTCTGCGCGGCACGGGGAGGGTGGGGAAGGGATGAGGGAGGGAAGGAATTGCGTGTGGGAAATGGAGGTCTGTTGTTGGCATCGCTTTGGCAGGGGTGCACAAGGGGCAGGCGGTGCGTTGGGCAGGCAGAACAAGGGCAGGGGTAGAGCGTAGCGTGTGAAAGACGCAAATGGTTGGGGGCGTGGAGTAAATCAGTGGTGCACTCACCACGTTCTCAAGCATGGCTCCTGCGAAGCCAATCATGTCCAGTGAGAGGTACAGCACGCTGTGGGCGACGAGCAGGGAACGGGTGGGGGGGAGGAAGCGGAGGCGGGAGGGAATCGAGGGGGGAAACGAACGGGAGAGAGGAAGGTGAAGATATGTTTTGGTTGAATGGGATCATGCAGCAAAATGAGCCACACAGCTGGAGTGGGGGATCAGGTAGTAAATCAAGTACGCAGGAGGAGGTGGTGATAAGAGAAAGGTGGTGAGAGAGAGGGGGGAGGAAGAGAAGAGTGACTGACAGGTAGGCCATGGCGACCCAGATATTGGAGGAGGTGAGCATGGCGTGCGACACATAGTCAAAGTTGGTGTCCAGCCCCCCCGTGCTCCCCTGCGCCGCCGCCTGCCCCTGCCCCGCCGCACCCGCGTCCACCGCCACCACCTCCACGCTCTTGCCCCGGTTCGCCATCACCCCCGCTGCCGTCAGTATGGGGTGGATGGAGGAGGGTGCAGGGAGGATGGTGCAGGGTGGTGGGCAAACGGATGAGGGGTGGTGGTTTGTGCGCCGTGGTACGATATGCTCGTTCCATCCTACCTACCTCAACAGTCAGCAAGGCAGCTCCCTGGCGCAACCGCTGAGAGCGACGCATGGCATGGAACAGCAGCAGTGCCGAGAGGGTGCATTGCGTCACGCAGGCAGGGAATTGTGCCACGAGGGTTAAAAACACTAAATGAGCAACTGAAATTCGTTGTAACCGAATGTGATTTCCGTGAAACAATGTGCAACCGTCATCCGGCAGGCGAAGTGGGTTGGGCAGGGCAGGGGGCAGGGCGTGGCACGCACCGATGAAGGAGACGATGTAGAAGATGGAGCCGAGCAGCAGCAGCGCGATGAAGAGGCGCTTGACGCGCTGGAACCACTTGACACAGCGCGGATCGAATATCGCCTCCATGCCCGCCACGTCCACTCCCTCCCACCCTCCCCGCGCACTCGCGGGCGGCGGGGGCAGCACCACGTGCACTGCCTCCACCCACATGTCGCCCTCTGCCTGCCCGGATGCCTCTCGCAGTGGAGCTGGCGCAGGCAGGAAGAAGGGAGGGGGGAGGGAGTGGGGGGGTGTAACAGGGTGGCGGGGTGTGTTGAGGATGAGAGGCTTAACAGTGGGCCTATGGAAGGAGGGAAACGAGAAGAGGAGCAGCAAGCAGAGGGTATGACGAACGGACAGCACGGCCGGTGTTGGCGGCTGTACTTTGGAAAGAAGGTGGTGCAAACGGCCCCCTGAGCGCAGAGCAGGCTTACCGAATTGGAAATCGAGCAGCGCTGCCTCTGCACCGTCGCCCTCGTTGTCCGCACTCGCCTTGCTCTCCCCCGCACTGCTCTGGCTGTACCCGCTGCTGTCGCTCACAGCGCTGCTATCGCTCTCCGCCCCGCGCTCCTGTTCATCCCCTTCCCCATCCCCCTTGACACTCCCATGTGCGCACCCGTGCTGCCTGTCCCGCTCCTGCTCCCCCGCCTCTGCTCCTCGCTCCCCATTACCGCTGCTCCGACATTCCATACAATACCCCTCGTTTCCGTCACGATCATCATAGGGCGACCAGCCCCCTTCTCTGTCCTCCAAATCACGCTCGTCATAGTCACTATCAGCATCGCCAGAGTCAGAACTACCTCCACCTCTTGCCGCTGACGTGCCCGCGCCACCGCGAGCCAACCCTCTGGTCCACCTCAGGTGCTGTCGCCTGCGGCGTCCCCACCTTACCACGGCATCCACCCCGCCTCTGCACCGATCCATCAACACCTCTATTCTCCTCCTCCCTCTCCTCCTCGGCCCCTCTCCGTCCTGCTCCATTTCACTGCTGTCGTACTCGCTGTTGCCATAATCGTCACTGTAGTTGTCTTCTCCGCTATCTGCGCCATCCACCTGCGCGCTCTCAGTTCCCCGCCTTGATTCTCCAGGAGCCCCGCGGTCGCCCTGTGCCCCCGCGTTTCCCCTCGCGCCCTCTGCGCGCGCGCGAGCGCCAGCGGCGATTAGCTCCGTTCCCACAAAGAAGGACGCACCGGGACCGTGAATCACGACAGACAGTGGACGACGGTTTTCAGGACCTTCCTCTTCCACTTCGCCGCTTTCGACTTCCATCGCACTATCCTCTGCTTCCCTTGCCGCATCTGCCCTCCGCCTCCTCCTACCGCCTCTCCTCCTCGGGCCTTGAGGTGCGGAGTTGCCCTGCTGCGCGGAACCCGCGCCTCCCCCTATCAGTCCGCACGCGCGCATTAGACCGCGGCCACCCTCCGCCGTGCCCGCTCCAGGACTCGACTCCCCCGCTAAAGAAGTTTCCGTTTCAAACAAAGGATTTCCTGCGCTTTCCACCCGTTCAACTTCCGCCGGGTTTTCGCGCTCCTGGCTGCTACCGGCGACTCCTGTGCCATTTCCCCTGGCAAATCCCCCCATGCACGTGAAGGCGCTGCACAACGAGGGCGACAATGGATGGCGATCGATGTCGCGTAGCGACGGCGACGACTCGTCCAGGATGACGTCAGCGGTTGATGGTGGTATTGTGACCGGCAGTCCACTGGAGCTTGACGCAGGGGCGTCGACGCCGGGAAATGAGGCGGATAATAACGAAGCCTTAGTTTCGCCATCACGCACCTGATTAGCAACTCTATCGCGCTGCGAAGGACCGGGTGGAAGAGGACTGTTCACCTCGTTGTAGTCACATTCGGCCCTCGTGTTGCCTGTCGTGGTAATAGTGCTGGAATCTCCTGCGATAAAGCCCATGCCCCAACCAGTGCTGCTGCTGTTCTCCTTGCCATAAGTCGTCCCGCTGATGCTGCTCTCTGGACCGTCGATTGTAATCTCAACGGCGTCCGTTGATCTTGTAGCATGACTAGCCTGAAGAGCAATCGCACGACTGTCAGCTAACTCGACCTCCTGGCACGCGCGCTTGTACGACCCTGACTGTAGCAGCGGCCAGCCCTCGCCGGCCGGGTCAGGCGTCGGTACACTCGTTTCTGCAGCTCCGGTCAGAATTCCCCGGATATCGCTTTCCTCCTTCATGCCACCTCTCGCCACGGAAACCGCGCAATCACCCATCTCCAAAGCGCTAGAACCGCTAATTGATGAGCAGTCCAGATCGATCAGGACATTCTCGAGGGAACAGAACTTGTCGAAACTGTCATAGAAATGATATTATAGCTGTTATTAGCAAAGCCGGGTTATGCTGAAACAATCACGGATCAGCGACTGATAGCAAGAGGCAGATAAATCAATAAAAGAAGTCACTGATGAAAACCGTCACACTAGCTAAGCAGAGCAGTGCGAATAATTGTTGTTACTGGAAACTACTGATAGATACGTTGTTTGGCGTCTCGCCACACCGATTGCACCTCTCATGATCAAGCAACCACCATGGAAAGTAGTGGAGTGGAGCGAGACCACTGTTGGATGGGGATAGGAGCAGAGTGGCGGAGTTCTCTAGGCAAGAAAGTGGCACTGGCTTTTGTCAGCGAGTGTATTGTACACAGGGTATGCCAGCAGCTGCTGAAGGGCCAGCACCAAACATGGTTGGGGAATATGCTGCAAATCTACCTAGGTTGATTTCTCAGCGACAGACGAAGCTTGATGCGAATTGTTCGCACAGCGATAATGCACCTTGCATTGGTGGCGATCTCCCCTCGGCAAAATCCCCAGGCGCGGTCGCTCTTTGGATCACTGCCTCGCGTGGCTCGCCGAATCGCTGTCTTAGGAAGGAGAGCCTGCGACTGCCAGCAATGCTGGTGTCCCTCGCAGCAGAATTTCGCAGTAAGGTGCTGCGGTCGCCAGGGGGAATCCAATTGTCGCACATCCATACGCTATAGATGATAAAGGAGCTAAAGTATGGCGAGGAATCCAGCAGCTGTATTTAGGTCTCTTTGCTTCTGCTTTTATGAAGGACTCTACCAACACAAGCTTGGAGATTTTAGCCACTAAAAATGCATGCATTAATGTGATCAATTTATCAACATATCCATTATTTTGCGTTTGAACAGCAGTACAGACGGTATGTCATATATAGTATACACGCCTATTTATATGTCATGCATAGCGTTGGCAGCATGAGTCAGCTTTCATCGAAACCTTCGGAGCTGCTTCAGCTTTCTCGAATCCTCATCAAAATTGCGAGGCTCGCCAGTTGCATGGATCTTCATCCTGGAGCACGTTTCCCCGTTCGCGAAATATTTGCGAAATAATTTGGCGGCTGTTCGCGGTGTCGACATAACGTGAGTTCGCAAGTTCCCGCCACTATTCCCAGTGCCGCGACCTTGTCTGGTGGCAGTATCACATTCTTGCAACCTCTCTCCGTTCTTGCTGACCATATAATCCCAGGGTTCTCGCATTGCCTGATTATTCTCAAGTTAGCAATACCTGACGCTAGTCCCTGTAATCCGGCAGCGTCCTGCCATACTTCGATGCGAAAGGCTTTTTGAATCTGGGGCTTAATCTGCCTTTTCTCCCTGAAACATATCTCCTCGAGTCGTCTTCGCATGGTCTGCCGTGACGTGGTCAGAGCGGCTTCTCACGGAAACGCAAAATTGGACCATACACGGTCAGGGGGGTTGCTGCTTGTGTTCGAGGATCGTGTTTAGTCGACACACAGGGTAGATTCAGCGGAGGGAGCCGCATCCGACCAGCATCAGGGAGGTTTAAGAGTGAGGCGTCGCGGCTGAAGCTGGATCGCAACCCGGGCCCGACCACACCCGGGCCTTGTGCACGCGGAAGCGGACGAGCAGTGACAAACAGGGGAGCAGATCATCGGTCGTTCACCCCGTTATAGCAGATCTACCAGCGGTTTTCGTTCAAGGATCTGCCCATCTTCTTCCCCATTGCACCTGGCTTCCCTTCATCAGGTGGCAAAACCTCATCAACTCGTTCGGTACTACTACCGGTCCCGCCTTCGCAGATGTCGCCGATAGGTCTTTTGTGACATTCGCTCTCCACTCTTCCCCGGGGGTTTTTCCACAGCGCCTCGTATGGGGTAGCACACTCTTGCATCCCTTGGCGGGATCCAGGGCCAGAGGGGTGCAGCACCGCGAGGGGGAAAGGGAGGGAGAGGGAGGGGGAGTGAAAGGTGCAGACGTGGGAATAAGAGCAGCAACCAGTCAACGGCAGCAGAGCCGCAGGGAGCACCATACACGTAGACACGATCGGGTTACCACCAGGGGGGATGGATGATCTCGAGCGGGCCATTCTCTTCAGCTTCGACCAATCAGGAGCCGTCGACGTCTCGCTCCGCGCACGCGCGCACGCGTTCTGCGCGGAGGCGCGGCGCTCCCCGCAGCTATGGCGCGTGTGTATCGAGCGGCTCATCTCGTCGCGCTACCCCGAGGTGCAGTTCTGGTGCCTGCAGGCGCTCGAAGAGCTCCTGCTGCGCCAGCGACTGCGCGCGGACGGCCACCCGCAGCCCGCGGGGGGAGCATCTTCCGCGCCAGGCGACGGCGGCGCTGGCGCAGGGGCGGAGGGTGAGTTTCTTCCGCCCGAGGCGCTGGCGGAGCTCCGCGAAACCCTAATGGCGGTAGCCTTCAGGTGTCCCGTGGGATCAGGGCTGATGCCAGGGGCAGGTGATGCGCAGGCGGGGGGGGCAGCGGGCGCGGGGGTGCCGCTGTGCGCGTCGTGGCCGGCGTTCATCCGCAACAAGGTGGCGCAGGTCATCGTGCTGCTCATCCGCCTCCACTACCCCACACCGTGGCACACCGCATTCGACCCCATCGTCTCCGCCCTCATGGCGGTCGGCGCAGCGGCCAACCCCCAAACCTCCGCCGCCGCCAGCACCACTGGCGCCATGGCGCAAGCGGGTGGCGGAGACGGCGCGGGCGCGTGGAGTCTGGTGAGTCTGGACATGGCGTGCCGCGTGCTGGCGGCGCTGGATCAGGAGGTGCTGAGCATCGAGTACGCGCGCACGGCGGAGGAGTCGGCCGCCGCCATGCGCGTCAAGGACGGCATGCGCGAGGGCTGCATCGCGCCGCTCGTGCACGCCTGGTACTGCGCCGCCGTCGCGCTGCTAACGGCGCTGGGGGCGGGGGGAGCAGCGGGGGCGGGGGCGCAGCAGGGTGGGATGCCGGGAAGTAACGGCGTGGGCGGGGAAGGGGGGGAGGTGGTGTTGCGGGACGGGAGGGGGAGTCCTGTGAGCAGAGACGACGCGGCGGCGTCTGTAGCGGCGCTGCTGGAAACGCTACAGCCGTACGTGGCGTGGATAGACATAGGGCTCGTCGCGGACTCGCGCTGGCTGCCCCTCCTCTTCGGCCTGCTAGCCGCGCACACCAGCGACGTGCGCCTGCGCTCCGCGGCGTGCGGGTGCATCCTCGCTATAGTGAACAAGCGCATGGACGCGGTGAGCAAGGTGGCGCTGCTGCAGCGCGTGCAGATCGCGCAGGTGGCGGGCGTGCGCGTGGTGGAGGAGATTGCGCGCGCGGACGAGGGGCTCACGCTGCGCCTGGCGGAGCTGCTCACGGGCGCCGCCACCGAGATCATGGAGTGCATCAAGAAACTCGAGGCGGGGGGGGGCGGGGGCGGCGCAGGCGGACGGGCGGAGGCAGCTGCGCAGGGGTTTGGGATGGAGGACGGGAAGGGCGAGGGGAACGGGGGAGGCGGGGAGGCGTCAGAGTCTGTAGCAGTGGCGGCGACGGCGGCGGCGCAGGGCATGCTGGATGCCATACTACCAGCCATATTCTTCCTGGCACAGAGGCACCCCGACGAGGACGTGTCCGCCAACTGCTTCCAGTTCCTGCTCTTCTTCGTTGCTGACATGCGCCGGGTGGGCGGCGCCAGCAGCCGAGGCGCCGCCGCGCTCGCCGCCACCGCAGCCGCCGCCGGAGCAGCAGACGCGGCGGCGGTGGCTGTGAGAGAGCGGCAGGAGCAGCAGCTGCGGCAGGTGCTGCTGGTAGTGGGGGAGCGCATGCGGTACCCTGAGAGCAGCTGTGAGGCGCTAGATTTACCAACCAAGGAGGGCGAGGAAGAGGAGGAGCGTGTGGGCGAGCAGCGTAAGGACCTTTTTGTGCTGCTGCGCTCCGCCGCCAAGGTCAACCCCTCCGTCGTCCGCGCGTTCGTTCATGAAACCCTAGCAGCAGCGCTCGCCCGCGGGCCGCACGCGACGTTTGCAGAGACAGAGGCAGCAGTGCAGCTGTTTTACCAGCTAGGCGAGGGCGTCACAGAGGAGGCGCTCAAGCCCGGCAGCGGCGCGCTGGGGGAGATGACTGCGCTGCTCCTCTCCTCCCCCTCCTCTGCCTCCTCCGCGGCCTCCCAGCAGCAGGGGGCGGGCGGGGCGGCAGGGGGGGCAGCGGGAGGGGGGCTGAGGTACAGAGGGCATCGGCTGGTGGCGGTGGCGTGGCTGGAGGTGATCGTGCGGTACGTGCGGTTCGTGCAGCAGCACCCTCACTACATCCCCGCTGCGCTCGACGCGTTCCTGGGCCCGTGGGGTGTGGGGCACAGTAATAGCGCGGTGTCAGGCAGGGCAGCATACCTGCTGATGCGCGTGGTGAAGGTGCTGAGACAGCAGCTGCTGCCGCTGCTCGACTCCATCCTCATGGTATGGCACGGTGTGGCATGGTATGGTGGCGTATGCTCGCATGGGTGGGGAGGTGATGGTGTGGCATGGAGAGGGGAGGGAGGGGAAGGGGATGCTCCAGCAGGCGGTGCCACGGGACTGCTCATTGATTTCAGCTGACAATTGTGATGCATGTTGCCTGTGCCATGCCTGCATTTGAGCATTGTTTGTTGCCCGCATAACCTCATCTCATGCCTCCCCTCCACCACACCCCCTCCTTTTCCCCGCCCGTCTCCAACACACCCTCCCCCTTTTGGTGCTCCCAGGGTCTGCAGCGCATGTTAGAAGCCATCACCTCTGCGCCACCAGCAGCAGCAGGCAAGGCGGCGGGCGGACAGGGCAGAGCAGGGGGACCGTTTGGGCGAGGCGAGGGCGCTTTTGACGACCGCATCTATGCATACGAGGTGAGAAAACTGTGCTGGTGAGTGTGCTATCACTCTAATGCCAATTGCCCTCATCAGCTCAACCTGTAACCTCTGACATCATTATAGCAGCTAGATCTCTGTCTTCCCTGCACTGCTCCCTCCCTTCCCTCCTAACTCTCTCACAGGCAGTGGGTCTACTGCTGGCGCAGGAAGAGGTGCCAACTCAGCAGCAGGCAGCGTGCTTGTCAGCGCTGCTCACACCGCTTATTGCACGGGTGAGTGGGCATGGAACATGTGAGGGCTTTGATTTTGGCGCACTGCTGTCAAACGAGGGAGCCGTGGCTCCCGCAATGGCCGGACTGGCAGCATGATATGCATCCCTAAGGGACCTGCTCCATTCCCTTGCATATCTCCATTGCTCACCTGCTCATACGTGCCATCGCCTGCGGCCCGTGCCTTCCAGGCAGATGCGTTAGCACAAGAAGCACAGGCGGCAGAAGCAGCAGGGGGGGGAGCGGAGGTGGCAGCGGGCATGGTGGCGGCGCTGCAGCAGGTGATCATGGCGATGAGCTACCTGTCCAAGGGCTTTGCGGCGCACATGGTGACCACCACGCGCCCAGAGCTGGCGCAGCTGTTCAAGGGCGCCGTGGAGTGTGTGCTGCGCGTGCTGCTCGCCCTGCCCCGCAGCCGCCCCACCCGCTCCAAGGTATCCCGCCCTGCATGCAGCAGCGAGTGCTATCAGATGTAGACATTCAAGCAGGGAGGCTGTCCATCCATCACACGCATCCCGCGTTCCTTGCTTCACTGGGGCTATTCCCACTCGAATGCTCACCACTCTCTCTCTCCTCCTCCCTCCCCCCCCACCAGGTGACATCCTTTCTGCACCGCATGGCAGACTGCCTGGGTCCGCACATCATCCCCTTCCTGCCTCAAGCACTGCCGCTCCTCCTCAACCACTGTGAGGTACACCTCTTCTCCACGTGCTTGTTCGCTGTGTCTCCACGTTACCCTCATCATCTCCCCATCTCTCATCGTCTCTGCCATTTCAAAGTCTTACCATGTTGAACCCTCACTCCCTCGCACTCTACTGCGCGCTCCCCCCGTTCCTCCTCCCTTCGTTCCCCCCTCCCTGCAGGCGAGGGACATGGTGGAGTGTCTGCAGCTGATCTCACTGCTCACGGCCAAGCACCGTGCACACATGGCGCCCATCGTTGACGCCCTGCTCGCCCCGCTCTTCACGCGCCTCTCCGTCCTGCTGCCCTCCTCGCTCCCCTCGCTCATGGGCCCCCCCAACACTACCTCTGACGCCTCTGGCACCCCCGAGGTGTGTGTGTGCGTGAGAGTGGGGATGCTGGGAAAGGGAAAGAAGGGTGCATGCGTGTGTGCTTGAGCATGAGAGTATGGTTCCCTGCTGGCAAAGCAAACAAGCACCTTCGACTGAGACTCACTTCGCTCCCAAGACAAGGTGCTGTTTACAGGCACATGGAGGCAGACGGTTTGAGAATGATATTTTTCTGTTGGCACTTATCCTCTCATGCCCGTCTCCTCGTTGCACTCATCCATCCATTCCCTCTCGTGTTCCCTCCCGCACAACTGGGCCACAACAGGAGGTGAGGGAGCAGAGGGAGGTGTTGAGAGCGGTGCTGATGCTGCTACACGGCATCACCATGGCAGACCTGCACGCCACCTTCCTCTCCCCCGCCAACGCCTCGCAAGTCCTTCCGCGCATCATCACTCTCTTGCTAGACACCGCTGCCCTGCATGCCGACATTGCCCTGCGCAAGGTGGCCGTCGCCTGCTTCATCCGCTTCGCCTCCGACTGGTGCTCCTGCGACCCTGAGAAGGTAGTGCACCTTTTTGGGCAGCTTGAAAATGGGTGTATTACCTGTAGGGATACCAGTCAACCTATAGACATGATGCAATTTATCATCTGGCGAAATGTGCCACAGTTAACACTGTGGTCTTCTTCTTTTCCCCCAAAACCCCGTCCTCGTGCGTGTTTCCAGGCGCCGGGCTTCAGGGCGTTTTTGTTGGAGCAGTTTCTGCCGACGGCATGCCTGCTGCCATGCCTGCAGCCGTCCTTCTCCCTGCAGGATGCCAATTCTGTGAGCCACCTCCGCCCTGCTCTTGTACTGCTTGCCTGTGCCCTCCCACCCTCGTGCCCTGCTGCTTCCTGCTGCCTCCTGTCAGAGCACAGCTGAATGCAAGCCTGACTGCTTCCAACTCACCAATTCCCCAACCTTGTCTCTTCCACTTGGCAACCCAACCCTCCACCCTTCCCCCCACCCACCCCACTCCCCCCATTTCCATGGCAGGCGCTGCTAGTGAACGACATCTCGCTCGCCCTGCTGGCGCTGCACCACACGTGTGGCCAGCTGCTCTCTGACCGCCTCCTCTCCTCCCTGCTGCCCTCCCTCAACTGCCCACCCACGTTAGCCGCCAACTTTTGTACGCAGCTCCAGGTGCGTGCAGCCCTGATGTTGTCAGCTTACTTGAGGGTGCGAACGTATTGTTGCGTATACTGTATGTTTTGTCACTTTTTGTTTAAATGCAGATGATTTCACTGACCTTTCTGTGCACCTGACAGGGTCCCAGTCTGGTGCTTTTATGTTTGAAGCCAGTGTGTGACTTCGGTGTTTTCTTCGGGTTGTCTTTCATTGCAATTGTGCTTGCAGAGAGGAGACGCAAAAATTGCACGCGATGCATTTAGAGAGTTTTTGGTTCAGCTGCGAGCACAGCATGCACCCTCACAAGGCAACATCGCAATGGTTCCTAGAGGTTTTGGTTAGGGTTGACTGGCCTGTCAATTTTTGTTAATATTGCCATTTTATTAATATAACGAATGTCTCCAGCGTAGTGTTTTCCTATTTTCAAACGTGTTATTGTACATGTCTCTGTCTGCGTTCTCTACACTAATATCGAGAATTGGCGAATGCGGTGATTGGATTGATTCGTTGGCAGGATCCAACGGGCCAAATGAGGCGCCCAGGTGTTTCAATCTGGTGTTGGGGTGGCAGATCCACCGTCCCTGTCCTTCCGCATCTTACTAGCAAGAGGGAAATGACTGATACTGTAGTGGGGACCCGACGTCATCACCTAAACTCCCCCAACCGTAAACCGTCTTCTCTGTACCGCACGGCATCCAGTCGTAAGGGGGGGTACCTTGGGACACTGGCGGTACAATGCGACCGCACTGAGTCAGTTGAATAGAGGGGCCTGGATTGCAAGATTACCAGAATTAGTCATTGAAGGAGAATTCCCATTTGCTTGGTTTAGCATCAGTCATTATTCCCCCCTAGATGCCGCCGCCTTTGCCGCTTACTCAACCTTGCTGGTGCTGAGCTGGCCAAGCGTGACGTGCCTGTTGCTCCTGGCGAGCATTCCATGGTCAGCTAGTCATTCAAGTTATTGATGGACATGGCCGACTGACAAAAGTTATTTAGCAATAGGATCTCATACGGGCTGACTGGGAGAGGCTCACAATCTGAATACATATCCAGCAGGAAGAGAAGGTCAGCAGAGTACCCAAGAAGGCCTGGTCCGATCTGGACCTTCTGGGGTGACCTGAGATGAGACCCCCGCTCGAAACTTGCCAAAGTTGCGGCGGCCCGTTGGGTGTTCCAAATATTGAATGAATTTTCTCTAACTCTCGTGCTAATTTTGTCAGTTACAATCGCCTCGCCGCATCTGTATTGGCTTGGCAATCTCCGTTATCATAGCCCAATGGTCGTTCAAGAATGCTAAGAGCTGTAGCCCTTGGGAGTGATGATGAGCCAATCTGTAGGCATGTTGGCCCGTGGACGGGTTCACTTTTCAGCCTCAGTTCCATTACTCCCACACAGGCGAAAGCCTCACATGCTTATCGCCCGCGTGCTCTCAGCCCAGCCATTTCCCCATCGCTCGCGTCTTAAGTTGTTGCTTTTGGAGCGCTCCACGCCCGGTAAAGCACTTCCTTATTTTCCAATCGGCTCGTGACATCGTCCTCGCCGCAAGCACTTCTATGAATTTTCTCGTCCCAGCTAATCCAAGGCTTCCTCCACCGCTGCACCGAGATGGCGCGTTTGGAGTGCAACGATCAGGAACTCGCGTACTTGACGTACCTATTGGGGAACGACCTGCTTGATCTGGATCTCCCTGCCGCACCCGTCGCTCAGCCTCGACCTCAAAGGTCGTTGCGAGCTCCCGAGGTACAGCACAGAGCTTTGTCGGTAGAGCCGGTGCTGGCGCCTGGTGCTCCCACCAATGGCAGACTGATTGAAAGCACCATCTTCACGCACGTTGGCGTGCCGCAATTGCGAAACTTCCCGCAGGCCAGGAACACGCTGCGGGGAGCTGGGCCGTTTCACGGGAGAAGCTTGTCTGCGCCATCCAACGAATTGGCCGGCTCCCCATCAGCAGCTCCTATGGCTTTCGGTTCCATGGTTGAGCCAGCCACTTTGTTGTCCTGGCGCCCCCCATTGGAGCCTGGTCCGCTTGCTGGTGGTGCAGCAGCCCCTGCTCCCGACCCTGCTGGGTGTTGCCCCACAGCAAATGCCGCTGCAACGGCGTTGGCTGCCTGTGACTTAGGGGCAAAACAGCAGGGTGGAAAGCCGAGTCAGGTTCTACGAAATCCCCCTGAAGCTCCTGAAATGCGGAGGGACAGAGTATCGTCCCGTGCCCTGTCAGACGCCCCAGGCCACAGCACCCTGAGTCCGGTGAAGTCTCAAAAGCAGAGCCATAGCTTTCACTCGAGAGCTGGAGGTGGTGGCATTACTAAGAAGAGTTCGACTGAAAAGAACAGGAGAGCTCGTGTCAGGTATGGGTGTCCTGTTTTGGCAAGTACTGCATCCGAACATGCCACACAGAATATCTGACGTCTGAGTTTACTGTGTGTTGTTGCTTATGGCAGTCAGGGATTCTCAAATTTGCGTGAAGTCATACCAAGGGAGTTTCTTAGCAGCCACATTCAGAAGACGAGAGGGTTTACTCAAAGGGCTGACTTGTGTACATTGCTAAATGCAGCATCAGACTACATCAAGTACATGAAGGTAGAACTATTTGGGTTGGGCCAACGCTCATCCAGATGCAAACTTGGTGGGATATTAACATCTCTCGTGTCGTGTGAAAACTGTATTTTACAGGGTTACAAGGCAGATCTGGAGGCACAGCTTTTACTAAGCGGTCCGACATGTTAAGTTGTAATGTGTTATTTATATGTAGGTAGGCTGTAGTGGGGTAGCCAATACAGGGTACAAACCCAACTAGGGTTAGCTACTTGTACCCAACTGTTTCTTTCAATGCATCATTCTTGCCTAGTTCTGTTAACATGGTATTCAGAGCAGGAGGTCCCTAGGACCTACCGACCGTTTTTTTTTAAGGGCCCACCACCGCTCGCATGCGGTTACCACGCTACCCCGTGCCCTAGCCTCGTAGCGCCCTCGTGCGCCCTCGTTAGCGCCCTCGTGCGCCCTCGTTAGCGCCCTCGCGCGCCCTCGTTAGCGCCCTCGCGCGCCCTCGTTAGCGCCCTCGCGCGCCTCTCGTTAGCGCCCTCGCGCGCCCTCGCTAGCGCCCTCGCGCCCCCTTGTTAGCGCCCTCGTGCGCCTCTCGTTAGCGCCCTCGCGCGCCCCTCGCAGCGTCGCCCGCCCGCCGAGCCGCCCGCTCGCAGCGTCGCCCGCCTACCGCGCTGCCCGTTTCGCAGCCCGCCCGCCGCGCTGCCCGCTCGCAGCGTCGCCCGCCCGCCTCGCTGCCCGCTTGCAGCGTCGCCCGCCCGCCCGCTGCCCGCTTGCAGCGTCGCCCGCCCGCCCGCTGCCCGCTTCGCAGCCCGCCCGCCGCGCTGCCCGCTCGCCGCGTCGCCCGCCCGCCCCGCTGCCCGCTTCGCAGCCCGCCCGCCGCACTTCCCGCCTGCAGCACCGCGCTGCCCGCTTCGCAGCCCGCCCCCCGCACTGCCCGCTCGCCGCGTCGCCCGCCCGCCGCGCTTCCCGCCGAGCTACCTACCTGCAGCGCTGCGGCAGCTTCCTTTGCTCAGTCGCACTGTCGCTATGGCTTCCATCCGCGTGCTGTCGTTCGATGCTGAGGGCCGCCCTGTGAAGTTCGCCACTTGGCTGGATGACCTGCAGCTGTTCCTTCTGAGCGATAGCAAGGAGCATGTGTCGCTCTATGATTACGCGTCTGGTGCTGCACCTGCCCCTCCTGCCACAGCTGAGCTTAGTGTTCGTTCCCACTGGCAGACTCGTGACGCAGCTGCTCGCCTAGCCATTCGCAGTCACCTGCCGCTAGCTGAGCTCGAGCATTTTGGCGACTGCAAATCCGCTAAGGCCCTGTACGATGCTGTCGTTGCTCGCTACTCCTCGCCTGCCACAGCCGAGCTTAGCCGCCTCATGCTGCCGTACCTGTTCCCTGAGCTGTCCACCTTTGCTACAGTCGCCGATCTTATCACTCACCTTCGCACTAGTGATGCTCGCCTGCGTGCCGCCCTTCCCACCGAGTTCTGCGCTAAGAACCCCCCTCCACTGTACTGGACACTCCACTTCATAGTCACCCGTCTCCCTGACACCCTCAGCTCAGTTCGAGACCACTTCCTTGCTCGCTGTCCCACTGAGCTCACAGTCGCCCTCCTAGAGGAGCAGCTGCTAGCGGCCGAAAAGAGCATTGTAGCTGTCGGTGCTGCTCGTGGCGCTCCTCGCACCCCCATCTTTGAGGGGTGTTCTCCCTCTCCCCTCGCTCCCTCCTACGCTACTGCTGCTGCTGTTGACTTCCTTGGTGCTGAGTCTGCTGGCGCTGCTTCTGCTCCTGGTGGGAGGCGCCGCACCGGCAAGGGCAAGGGGGGCAAGGGTGGCGGGGGTGGCGCTGGGGGGGGAGGAGGTGGGGGAGGTGGGGGGGGAGGCGGTGCTGGAGGGAGCGGTGGCGGGAGCGCTGGTGGGAGTGGGGTCGGCGGTGGAGGCGGGGGCGGCGGAGGAAGCAGTGGCAGTAGTGGCGGCGGCGGCGGTGGCGGCGGTGGCGGTGGTGGCGGTGGTGGCGGTGGCGGTCGGAGCGGTGGTAGTGGTGGCGGCGGAGGTCGGAGTGGAGGCACTGGCTCGGGCCAGAGCTCCCAGCAGCAGCAGCGTCCCCAGACGACCCAACAGCTTCGTGAGTGGCTTGCTCAGCGTGGGACGTCGGGGGGCAGTGGCCGCTGTTCCTATGTCATTCGCACAGGTGACCGCAAGGGACAGACGTGTGGGAGGTTCCACACCCCGTACCGCTGCTTCTCCCGCCTTGACGACGCTTGGCGTGAGGAGATGGGCGAGGATGTTGAGCGTCCCCGCTGGCCTGAGCTCATGAGGGCTGGTGTTGATATCTTTGCTCTTGACTATGATGCTATTATTGCTGCCATGTATGCATTGACTGTTAGTGCCGAGGGAGACTGTTACTTGTGTGTGCCGCCTGACCCAGGTATAGAGCCCGCTGCCCTGGGTACTAGTGAGTCTGCTCTCTCTGGTATGGTGCCCCCTGTACTTGCTCCCTCCAGTGCTGTCCCGGCTGTTTGCGAGTCTGCTCTCTCAGGTACAGCACCCACAGAGACTGCTCTCTCAGGTACCGCACCGGCTGAGGCCTGTCACACCTTCACCCTTGACTCAGGTGCTTCCCGCTGTTTCTTTCGTGACAGTACTGAGCTCACACCGCTTCCTGCACCGGTCCCAGTCTCCTTGGCTGACCCCTCTGGGGGCCCAGTCCTTGCCCAGTCCACCACTGTGCTCCCTTGTCCGGCGGTTCCGTCTGGCTCGTTGTCGGGTTTCCACCTCCCCTCGTTCTCGACGAACCTGGTGAGCAACGCTGTCATCCAGGATCAGTGGGTTGACACCTTTACCCCTGGAGGACAGCGTGTGGCGATCTGCACGTGCTCCAGGACCGGCCGTCACCTGGCTACGTTTACCCGTCGGCCGGGGTCGAGTCTCTACACACTGACCACTGCGTCTCCTCAGGTTGCTGCTGTCGGTCAGGTGTCCGCGTCAGGTCTGGTGGCCCACGCCTGTGAGTGTCGTTCCCTGTCGCACCAGACTCTTCTCTGGCACCACCGCCTGGGTCACCCCTCCTTGCCACGCCTCCGTGGCATGCACCGTCGCTGCCTTGTGTCTGGTCTTCCCAGGTCCCTCCCTCCCCTCCCTGCCTCGCCTGCGCCGCCTTGCCTTCCTTGCGTCGAGGGGCGGCAGCGCGCCGCTCCTCACTCCTCCTCGTTCCCCCCGACAGAGGCTCCTCTGCAGACCCTCCACCTGGACGTGTGGGGCCCAGCCCGCGTTCGTGGCCAGGGCGGTGAGCGGTACTTTTTGCTGGTTGTCGACGACTACTCGCGTTACACCACGGTCTTCCCCTTGCGCACCAAGGGTGAGGTCCCTGCTGTTCTGATCCCTTGGATCCGCACAGTTCGTCTCCAGCTCCGCCGCCGTTTCCGGACGGATCTTCCTGTCCTGCGTCTGCACTCTGACAGAGGTGGTGAGTTTTCCTCCGATCTCTTGAGGACCTTCTGTCAGGCGGAGGGCATCGAGCAGACCTTCACGCTTCCGGACTCCCCACAGCAGAATGGGGTTGCTGAGCGCCGCATTGGCCTGGTCATGGAGGTCGCTCGTACCTCCTTGGTCCACGCGGCGGCTCCCCATTTTCTGTGGCCGTTTGCTGTCCGGTACGCCGCGCATCAGCTCAACCTCTGGCCCCGTGTCTCCTTGCCGGAGACCTCGCCCACACTGCATTGGACGGGGGAGGTTGGCGATGCGTCGCGCTTCCGGGTGTGGGGTGCTCGTGCCCTTGTCCGCGATACGTCCGCGGACAAGCTCTCCTCCCGCACGCTTCCCTGTGTCTTCCTTGGCTTTGTCCCTGACGCGCCGGGCTGGCAGTTTTACCACCCCACCTCGCGCCGGGTCTTCGCCTCTCAGGACGTCACCTTTGACGAGTCGGTCCCTTTTTACCGTCTCTTCCCCTACCGCACTGCCCCCCTCCCTCCCCCGCCGCTTTTCCTTGCTCCTGGTCCCCCTCCGGTAGACCCCCTTCCCCCTCAGGGTCCTGCTCCTTCAGGTGTCTCTCAGGTAGACCCTCCTCCCGTCGCTGAGCCTGTCGAGGTCACAGGTGACTCAGGTGCTGCTGCAGGTGGTGCTGCTGGGAGTGCTGAGCCTGGGGGTGCTGAGCCTGCGGGTGCTGGGCCTGGGAGTGCTGGGACTGCGGGTGCTGGAGCTGAGGGTACTGTGCCTGGGAGTTCGGCGCCTGGGGGTGCTGAGCCTGGGGGTGCTACGACTGGGGGTGCTGAGCCTGCGTGTACGGAGTCTGGGGGTGCCGAGCCTGGGGGTACTGCGCCTGAGGGTACTGAGCCTGGGGGTGCTGCTACTGAGCCTACGGAGCCTGGGGTTGCTGCGTCTGGGGGTGCTCTTCCTGGCGGTACTGGAGCTGCTGGAGCTGACGACGCTGGAGCTGACGGTTCTGGACACGGTGGTCCTGCTGGTTCTGGAGGTGCTGGCGAGGGGAGGTCTGACGCTGCTGGGGCCTCTGGTGCTGACGTCGCCGACTCGGGGGGTGCTGCGGCGGAGGGTGCTGGTCCAGGTGCTTCTGGTGCTCCGGGTGCTGGAGGTGCTGGCGGAGCTCCGCCGTCGCGCCTGTTCTTCGCTCCTCCGTCGCCGTCGGCTTTGCCGCCGCCTGACACGGTGCTTCGCCAGGTTCTTTCCCTCCCGTCTTCCACTGGCCTTCCCCTTCAGCCTGGCTCCCCCCTCCCTGCTCCTGTGCCTTATAAGGCGCAGCCGGACTCGCTTACGGAGCGTCGTGAGCCTGCGTCTCGTCCTGCCTCGCCGGTTCGCGCTGCTCGCACTGCTCGCACTGGTCCCACTAGCCGTCGTGTCGCGCGTCCGCGTCCTCCTCCTGTTCCTGGCACGCACATTATGGCACTTCGTCCTTCCACTGGTCCACAGCGTGTCCCCCTACCGTCTCCTCCTGCGTCTTCTCTTCCTGACGTTCCCGACCCTGAGTCTGACAGTGTTCGTGCTGCCCACCCTACTGTCACGCGTCTTCTCGCCACTGTTGTCACTGACCCGTCGTTTGAGTCTTCTGCTGCGTCTGCCCTGGTCGCTGAGCTTGTCGACTTTGCTGCTGCCTGTCGCCTCGACTACGCCGCCAGTCTTGTTGCTGAGTCTGAGTCTGTCTGTCCTCCGTCCGTCGGGGGTGAGTGTGCTCTTGGCACGGACGTCCTTGAGGACAGGCAGGAGGACTTTGACTCTCTCGCGGCTGCTGTACCTCATCTCGTGGCCTGGTTGCTTGCCCCTGAGGGAGACCCGGATGCACTAGACATCCCCACTCCGCGCACTTACGCAGAGGCGATCTCGGGTCCCTACTCCTCTCAGTGGCAGACAGCCATGGACGCAGAGATGGCATCCTGGAAGTCCACAGGCACCTACGTCGACGAGGTTCCCCCTCCTGGGGCGAACATCGTCGATGGCATGTGGATTTTCAGGGTGAAGCGGCCGCCAGGTTCTCCGCCTGTCTTCAAGGCTCGTTACGTTGCTAGAGGCTTCAGTCAGCGTCAGGGGGTCGACTTCTTCCAGACCTTCTCCCCCACCCCGAAGATGACCACTCTTCGGGTTCTGCTGCACGTTGCTGCTCAGCGTGACTACGAGCTTCACTCTCTTGACTTCAGCACAGCGTTCCTGCAGGGCAGCCTGCACGAGGAGATCTGGCTGCGCCGCCCACCTGGCTTTACTGGGTCGTTTCCTCCTGGTACCCAGTGGAGCCTCTGCCGGCCAGTCTACGGTCTCCGCCAGGCGCCACGTGAGTGGCACGACACACTGAGGACTACACTTGCGGCTCTTGGGTTTGCGCCGTCTACTGCTGACCCGTCGCTGTTTCTGCGCACAGACACGTCGCTGCCGCCGTTCTACATTCTCGTGTACGTCGACGACTTGGTCTTTGCTACTGCTGACACTGAGGCACTCGCTCGTGTGAAGTCGGAGCTGCAGAAGAGACACACCTGCACTGACCTGGGTGAACTGCGTAGCTACCTTGGCTTGCAGATCACCCGGGACAGAGCTCGCCGCACCATCACCCTGACTCAGTCACACATGGTGCAGCAGGTCCTTCAGCGCTTCGGCTTCCAGTTCTCCTCACCACAGGCCACACCTCTGGCTACCAGCCACTCGCTCTCAGCTCCACCTTCGGACGAGTCCGTAGAGCCGAGTGGCCCGTACCCAGAGCTTGTAGGCTGCCTCATGTACCTGATGACTTGCACGCGACCTGACCTCGCGTACCCACTTAGCATCCTTGCTCGCTACGTTGCGCCTGGGAGACACAGGCGAGAGCACTGGGAGGCTGCTAAGAGGGTGCTGCGTTACTTGTGCAGTACATCAGGCATGGGGCTGGTGCTTGGAGGACGCGACAGAGTTGTCCTCACTGGTCACTCGGACGCTTCTTGGGTGGACGACCTGGCTACGCAGCGGTCGTCACAGGGTTACACCTTCAGCCTTGGCTCTGGTTCTGTCTCGTGGCGGTCCACCCGCTCTTCTTCTGTTCTCGGCTCTAGTTGTGAGGCTGAGATCTACGCCACAGCCATGGCTGCACAGGAGTTACGCTGGCTCACGTACCTGCTGACTGACTTGGGAGAGCGGCCTAGTTCTCCTCCAGTTCTGTACGGTGACAACAAGGCGGCTCTTGCCTTGTGTCAGGAGCACAGACTGGAGCACAGGACGAAGCACATTGCTCTTCGCTACTTTCTTGCTCGAGAGCTTCAGCAGCGCGGTCAGCTTCGGCTTGTGTACGTGGACTCGAAGGCCAACACTGCTGATATCTTCACCAAGGCGCTCCCGCCTAGTGATCATCAGCGGCACTGTACTTCTTTAGGCCTTGTGTCCACGTTTCCTCACTTGCTCACTGCTTGACATTCTTTGTACTGTACTTTATATTTGTCTTGCTGCTTGTCCTGTTCTATATCTAGCACTACATGTGAACTGGCCTTGTGGCCTTTGTTTGTGCTCGGAGTGTGGTGACGTTGTGATCCACCCTGGGCTTGTTTTTGCTTTGCTGGACTGGTCTTGTGACCCTTTGCTCTCCCCCACTTTGCCTATGGGGGTGTGTTAAGTTGTAATGTGTTATTTATATGTAGGTAGGCTGTAGTGGGGTAGCCAATACAGGGTACAAACCCAACTAGGGTTAGCTACTTGTACCCAACTGTTTCTTTCAATGCATCATTCTTGCCTAGTTCTCTTAACACGACATTGATGAAATCAGACGTATAGATTAGGTCTAGGGAGATGGATAAGTTCTGGCATGTTTCTATCTCAATATCATCGCTTGATTGTTTGTGCTGTGATACTTCGGTGCAATCACATATTTGAGCCCAATTTGAGCCCAATTGCATTTGACCTGACGCGGCGCAACTGCTTCAAGAACCACCAATGACGTTGCACCTCGAGGCTGCCCTGCTGTCGCCTGAACAACGCCGCTCCTGTCGCCCAACCGTCCTACATTCCCTGTGCGACTAAAAATCCCGAAGCGCACCTATATGTGACGCGGAGAGATGGAGCGAATTTGTAACCAAATGGTTCGGCGACGTCGCCAGCGGCGAAAGAAGTGTGAGTTGGTGGTCAGAAGAAGCCAGAGTGCTGTCAGGCACAGGTTCTGATTCCGGACCTGAGCATGAGCAGCACGACTACTCTAGTGGCATCAGAAGCACGAAGTTATGTGCTTTTAGTATCCTGTTAGGTGTTTGCTCGTACTTGGTAGGGTTCTGAATAGCTCTGGTCCTCCATGGTAACTCAGTAGCATCTTAGTTTGAGGATTCGCAACACTGGATATTCTTATTGGAGGACAAGCTATCCAGTTCCACCTAGCGGCACGAGTAAACTATGGTGTACGTCGAGTGCTGAAGGCTCCACCTAGTATGACTTCCTAGTGGCTGTAGCGAGCAGCGTAAGAATTAGTAGGTATACGAAGTAGGGCATTCGCAAGCATCTAGAGTTGAACATCGCTATTCTGAAAAAGGTAGTTATCATGTGGATGTTCTACGCCATCGCGCTGCCGGTCACACTAGGCATGGTGATATGGACGCTTATCTACTACGCATCGCCACGCGTGTTGCAGCACGTGCGGATCATCGTCGCGTACACGTGGTTCGTCAACGTCTCCATCGTCATCCTCGTCCCCGTCGACGTCTGGACGGTGCGTGTCGCGGGAACATGGACGTCGTTTTCGTCGCATCTAGTTCCGCAGTGGTTTTTTTGGCAAAGGTCATTATACCGCTAAGAGTTCGTAGGGACAGTGGATTCTTACTGGTGATTTAGCAGCAGGTTCGTACTGGATGATCATTGTGTGGATAAGGCGACCGAGGTGAATTCCGCGATTCCTCCACTCAGTATCATAAATTCCATCCTTTGAGCACGCATCCGCGAGCAGCACCCGACTTAAGCCAGGGAGCTTGACTCGTTCTCGCAGCCTCCTGTGTCTGTCGATGCGCATCGAGCCTGGCAGACGCGTCAAATGCTACGCTGCATGGTTTGCGTGCGGATATCACGGACTGATGTGTGCTATGGTCGTGTTTCATGGCTACATGGATGTCATGGCTACATGGATGTCATGGCTACATGGATGTCATGGCTACATGGATGTCATGGCTACATGGATGTCATGGCTACATGGATGTCATAGCTACATGGATGTCATGGCTACATGGATGTCATGGCTACATGGATGTCATGGCTACATGGATGTCATGGCTACATGGATGTCATGGCTACATGGATGTCATGGCTACATGGATGTCATGGCTGCATGGTTGTCATTATTGCCTGGGTATGATGGATGCATGTGTGTCATGGCTGCATGGGTATCATGGTTGCATGAGTATCGTGGTTGCATGGGTGTGTGGTCGCTCGCCTTTCGATGCATGTGTTACACGAATGCATGACTCTCCTCTATGCGTGCGTTGCGTGCATGGATGTGCTTTACGGATGTCCTTAACGGACGCGTGGTGCGATGTGGTTACGGTCTTTGCATGCAGGCGATATGTCTGGAGGGCGAGGCGGGCCCCACGGGGATGGCGGCGGGGCTGTCAGCGGCGGTGTGCGGCTCCAAGCTGTCCGTGCAGTTCATGTGGAGCTTCTCCTACTGGAGTGCTTACTTCCTCACCTGGTCAGCCTGCTCGCATTCCCACATCATCACACTGCCTCCCTCCTCCCACGATCATGGACTCACGTCCGCCATTCTCTAATTGTGGTTGCTGATTGCTGGTGCTACCTGCAGTCGTTGCCATTCCTCGCCTGTCCCGCTCCTTTCGTCCACTCCTCTTGTTCTCCTTTGCTCTTCAACACCCGCCCCCCACTCACCTGCTGGACTGCTCATCCCCCATTGTTCATTGCTGTTAGGACGGTGAGAGTCCTTACATTCTGACGTCAGTGCGTCCCTTGCACCACCCCAGGGTGATCAACCCCATCATGCAGGAGTATGAGGATTCGGGGCACTTTTAGTCAACTCAATACTTGTCAGGGTGCATGAGATCTCTAGCAGTCTCATATATCAACGTTGCCCCCCTTGCACCACCCCAGGGTGATCATCCCCATCATGCAGGGCTACGAGGACGCGGGGGACTTCACGGCAAAGGAGAGGCTGCGCACGAGTGTGAGGACGAACCTCATGCTCATTGGCATCGTGGGTGCTGTGGCCGTGGTGGGCATTATCATCCTGCTCGCCACCAAGGAGATGGCCTGGTCAGTGCCACCCATGCGAGGAAAGATTAGTTTTGTGGGGTGAGGCGGTTTGACTGAGAGCCAGGGGTTGGAGATTTGTGGTACTGTTTGGGTTCACTTCTTCTTCTCGCTTATCGTCCAACTCCCTCCCTGCTCTCCCTTCGCTTGCTCCTCTTGCTTCCCGTCCATGCAACCCGTCCCTTGCTCTTCCCTTCCCCCACCCCACCCCATCCCCTCCCCAACACTTTACCGCCCCTTCAGGGACAACATAGTGTCGCTGGCCATAGGAGCATCAAACGCGTTTGCGCTGATAACGGGCGCGCTGCTGCTGGGGTACGGGCTGGTGGAGATCCCAAGGGGCCTCTGGAGCCACGCTGACCTGGCGGAGCGCCACAAGTGGCTGTCGGTGCGCGTGGCCCGGGCGGCGCAGAGGCTGGACCAGGCGCACCAGGAGCTCAGCACCGCCATCGTGGTCAGTGCTGCTGGCATACTACCTCCCTCTGTTGTGTCGCACCCCCTGTAGTTCATTCCCGCCTGTCTACCATCCTTCCTCACTTACCCTTCCTCCTGTCTCCCCTCTGTGCGTGCCTCTCAGATTGCTCAAGCAACCTCACTGCAGATGCCTAGACATGATCCCCTGCGACCCATGATGGAGATCATTGATGCCATGGTGAGATCACGTGCATAACCCATTGCAATGGCATCATGTTTGATGCATATGCCCGCACATGATCCCCCATTTACCAAATTGACACTATTTCATGAGAGATGAAACCACAGAAGCGAGCCAGAATGGCTTGCAGTGACTTGCAACAAGGCGGCACTTAAAATCCTCCTTCTTCTATGACACCGTCCTTGCCTTCGTCCTCCATTCCGCGTCTTTGGAAGCCCCTACCCCAGTCTGACTGTGCCTTGGTCGCACCCCCAACTTGCCATATGCACGAATGCCCGTTTGCCTTGGTGTGTGGCACTGCGGGCAGGCGAGTGAGGATGCGGGGTTCAAGCCATCGGGAGGGCAGATAGGCGAGAACGACATGGACTATGATGCCGACGCCAAGAGCATGGCCGCTCTCCGGCGCCGCCTGCGCAACGCCCAGGACAATTACTCGCGCTGCAAGACGTGAGAAGAGGGGAAGATGGAGTAGAGAAGGAAGGGGGCGTGTTTGAGAAGGAATTGAACATGGTGGTGGGAGAAGATTCAGAGGGGCGTGGGAGTGTGGAAGGTGTGAGGCGCAGGGGCTCGGTGATGGGAGAGGTTGAGTGAGTGGAACATCACACACCCCCATGGCCTCACCCCCCATAGCCACACCCCCACACCTTCATGGACTGGGCCCACGCCCTCACTTCGCCCTTCACAACTGCCATGGTCTCAACCCCCCCCATGGTCCCATGGCCTTCATGGTCTGTAATTGACTCGGCAGGGAGTACTGCACGGTGGTGTGGGAGGCGCTGCAGCTGGAGGAGACGCTGCACAACTGCTACCAGGGCACGGGGCGCTACACATCCTACCTGCGCGCACCCAGAAAAGGCTTCTTTGCCCCATTCCTCGATGTTGTCGGTGCGTCTTGTGATTCAGCAGAAATGCATTGCACCTCGGCATGCCTTTCTGCTTCAAATCCCTGCACGTCGCCTTTCCCTGATGTGGTGCTGCATCTGCTTGCACATTTCTCCCCCTGCCCCATCCCCACACTCCTCTAGACTAAGCCCGTCCTCGTCATATGAGTACCTGTGCAGAGGGAAGGTAGACAGTGCTGCATCATCTGCATGCACATCCGATCCGACACCAGCACGCATCTCATCATCTCTCTCTCCCCTTCCCACGTCTCCCCCCCTCTGCCCCACTCCGCCCCACAGAGTGGTGGTGGCGCTGTGCCATCCGCAGCCATGTGGTGCGGGCCTTCGCACTGCTGCTCGGCCTCATCTCCCTCGCCATCCTCTTCGCAGAGGCCACCCTCCTCTCCCAGAAGTGGGTCGACCTCTCGCTCTTCTCCGTGCTGGTGCGCGCCGCCGCGCTGCACGGGGAGGCGGTGCAGCTGATAGTGTTTGTGCCGCTGGTGTACCTGTGCGTGTGCACCTACTTCTCACTCTTCAAGCTCGGCATGTTCTCCTTCTACTACCTCGTGCCCGGTCACACCGACTCCGTCTCGCTGCTCATCAACTGCTCGTAAGCCCCACTGCGCCGCGTTCAACCTCATGTTCTCCTGCCCGTGTCGCATGTCACAATCTGAATCTGCCACTCCGTGCTTGTCCGAGTTCAAGTTATCAATCTCAGAAGCTGTCTGTCAAGCCATACTACCACCATGTGCATTCGTCTGTTGATCCACTCTGGCCCAGCGTTCCTCTCTATTATCCTAGTTTCTCCCGATGTCTCACCCCTTGTTCACCCCTCTGTGTTGCAACAGCATGGTGTCGCGATACGCCGCCCCCATGTGCTACAACTTCCTGAGTCTCATCCACCTGCGCCACTACAACTATGTCACTGGCTCCGTTGAGCCCCTCGTCACTGTCTTTGAAAAGGTGCACCCTCGTGCCCTGCATGCCCTGCTCCTCATGGCCTGCATGCTGCTCTGGTCCACTTCTTTCACCTCCATGCGGCTGCTTCACAAGTCGCTTCACCGCGCGTACCTTTGTTCTACCCATGCTCCCCAGGGGCCGTTCGTACCTACTCTAATCACTCCCCTCACGCCCTTCTCTCCCGTGCACCCACACACCCACTCACACCCGTCCACACCAGCGCATGGGCGTGCTGCCCAAGTCGTTTGACCGCGTGTACCCGCTGTGCATGGTGGCGTGGTCGCTGCTCATCGCGCTCAACGTGCACCACCGCCTCTTTGACTCTGTCACGCACCTCCTCTCGCACTGCCGCGGCCTCTACAGCCGCACCTGGCGCCGCCTGCGCTTCGACGATGACGATGAGGGGGAGGATGTGGGTGTGGATGGGCGCAGGGTGGTGGTCAAGGGCCACATGATACTGCAACGAGGTGCGTGCGTGCATGAGGGGGGGGGGAAGTGAGGGAAGGGCTGGGGGGTAGCAGTGGGTCTGCTTGCGAGTCAAGCTGTAGCAGTGCGGTTGATCAGGATGGCATGGGTGGTCTTTTTCTACCCTGTCACAGCCCTCTTCCTCCAGTCCCCTGCCACCCCGTGCTGCACCAGGCATCATTGGATCGCTACCCCTGTGCATGTGCGTGTGCGTCCCTAAACCCTGTGCCCTACCAGAGCGGGCAACCATAGAGCGCGGTCTGCCAGTGGGCGAGAGCGTGGTGCCCCTGGCGCGTCACTTCTCCTCCAAGGACCTCCATGCCTCCTCCTCCGCCTCCTCCCTGCTCTCAGGCCACTACTCCACCCCCACTGTACGTACCTGCTCCCGGACCCTCCGTTCTTGTCAAGTTCCCTCTACCTCCCCCCTACCTCCCTCCCTTTCCCTCGGTTACTGCTTTCCCTTATACCCATCACTCAGTCTGCCCTTTTTCACTGTGATCTCCTTCTTGCACACTCCTCCCTTGTGGTTTCCACATCCCACCGCCCATGGCGATCAGAAGGTGCCTCACACGGACCCCAGCTCCTCCTCCTCCGCCGACCCGCTGCTAGACTCGCGGCTGGCTGCAGTGAGGCCAGCGGGGGGCAAGCCTGCTGCTGACAGCGCCACCACCAAGGACCCCGAGGCAGCGTCCTTGCTCAGAGCAGCAGACACCAGTTCCGCTTCAGTCAAGTACTCTGGCATCATTGCTACTGGTGCTGCTGCTGGTGGGTCATCTGCTGGTGGCAGTGCCAGGAAGCCCCAGCGGCCTCCTGCAGGAGGTGCTTCAGGTGCTTCGTCAGGTGCTGCCTCGCCTGCAGCAGGTGCAGCAGCCAGGGTGGGGCTGGAGGCGAGCATCAAGTCAAGCTCAGCGGGCGATCTGCTTCCCCTGGGCCGGGAGAAGTCAAGGCAGGCTTCTGTCCCGGGCAGTCCCCTCTTGCTCTCTCAAGCCGCCTCTCCCCTTGTCACTGCCAGGCTGCCACCCATCAGCACCTCTGCTCACTCCACTCCACACCACCTTTCCACTGCTGTAGCTGCTGCTCCTGCTGGCAGCGTAACACCCACGCGCCCACTCTCGCCTCCCTCTCTCCTCTCATCCGCTCTAGGCCTAAGCTCTGCAGCAATGGTGTCAACCCCACAGCGGTATCTCTGGAGTGGGCAGGCCACAGCAGCAACGGCAGCAGGTGCCGGAGAGCAGCAAGAATTGGGCACCCGGCAAGGAAGCAATCATGCAGTGGGTGTGTCTCCTACAGAGTCCCCGCTAATCTCGGGCCAAAGAGGTGCAGCAGCAGGTGCCGGTTCAGGAGGGACCATCCCTGGCAACAGTAGCAGCAGCAGTCATTGGTCGCAAACACTGCTGGAGTCGCGTTGGTCTCAGGCTGTCACGTCCCGGCTGCGTGATGCCTCATCCAGCAGCACAATGGGCAGGCTGAGGGACATTCTAGGCAGCCCACGGCAACTACATAAGGATGAAGGGGATGCAGATACGACGGTAAGGAGTGGAGGCGGCTCGACACAAGAGGCTGCTCCGGATCTGGACAGGATTTTTGAAAGCTTGCATGCACGGCGAGCTGCTGCACACACGGAAGATGATATGGATGATTTTGAAGATCAACATGGATTGCTACGGACAGGAATGGAGCAGCAAAGTAGACGAAAGTGAGGCATTTTTGTGTTGAAGCCATGTAAGCAGACACACAGTGTGGCCAAGTATGGGGTGTTTGACAGTTGTTAGCTCAAACATGTATCAAACGCAAGCAAGCCTCTGCTTCTGTGTTTAGGTAGCATGTATTGTAATATGACAATGTAAGGCAGTGTCGAGTACAGTGATCGCGCCTCGCTTACACCTGCTCTTGCACAATCGGATCGTAGGAAGTTTGTGGCTCGCCTGGCCTTTCGGGGCCATTTTCGGCTTTACGGGATTGTCTTTCCTCCAATCAGAGAGCCTGATCGCCTTTTCGTGGCGTGGAATTGGTCCCTGAAATCAGCAATTAGGGGCCACAAGGGGTGACTGGCCAATGGAGGTTTGTCCGCCCCAGAAGCAAGCCCCAGTCGCCGTGCGAGTGGAACCTGGGGTTGGGCGAAGCGTCGCCGTAACATTGCTGCGTTTGGTGATCTGTTGCTGTGCTGTCAGTTGCCTCTGTTGTTCTGCTCCAGCAAAGAAAGGCTTGGTTCCCGCCACTGCTCCGCCATTCATGGAGTGCTCGCATTGCCAAAAGCAATGCTGCAATCCCGAGCGCTTGAATGCTCCACAGCCCCTTGCGCCTGGCGGGATGCGTCTTATAGTTTGTCTTTTTGAAAGCGATAATCATCGAGATGTGTTTCTGTAACAAGACGAGGACACTCTTATACTAGTGGGTGCATAATCTCGTAGCTTTCATGGCGTCGTCGTCAAGACCGATCCTCTCGTTTCAGCCGAGGCTTTCCCTTACCTCGCTGCAAGGTAGCAGCCTCTCAAATGTTCTAGTGCTCGTCCTTGATATTCTGTTACCATTTTGTGCTAAGCTCGAGGTACTTCCTGCGTACAGGCTTCGAAGAAGCTACGTTGCGGGTCAACCCCCCCAGGTGAGCCGCCTCCGTTGGCTTTCAAAACGTGCTGAAGATAACTCTTTTAGGCGGATGGAAATGCTGACAGCGTCCGTTTGTTTGCAGCGTTGTTTTCGACAACCAATCTGACCCAGTCGCAACTCTGGTTAAAGTGGACAGCGCAAACAAGCAAGGTTGCCTTCTTCAGGTCGTACGGCTTCTGACTGACCTCGATCTTGTAATTTCTAAAGCTTACATTTCTTCTGATGGTGGATGGTTCGTTGATGGTGAGTAACTTGCAGACCACGTTGTGGTAGTGTTGTTGGACATTTAAAAATCATCCGCTAATTGTCCTTCAATTCTTCGTGTGCAGTCTTTCATGTCGTGGACCAACTGGGGCAAAAGGTGACAGACGAGAGCCTTATTCAATTCATCAAGAAGGTGAGTGAGACCACAATAAGAAATGTTGGTAATGAGCGTTTGCGCATCTGCTAAAAGTCGCACTCTTTCTGTGCAGGCGCTGGGTGCTACCAAAGACCATCCGGATCCGGATGCAAAAACTTGCCTAGGAAAGCCTGTCGCGGACGAGATAGATTTTGAACACTCGGTCATAGAACTCACAGGATATGACCGGCCTGGGCTTCTTTACGAGGTGTCCGAGGTGTTGACAAAACTGGGATGCAACGTGGTGGGAGCAGAGGTCTGGACGCACAATAACCGTGTGGCTATTGTCGTTCACATTACCCACGCAGTCAACGGCGGACCTGTCACCCACCCTGCTGCTCTGGCCGAAATGCACGACAGCTTATGTTCGGTGATGGAATCAGACAGTATCAGAATTGAGGCTCGAAACAGCTTTTTTGTTGGGGAGGCCCAGACTGACCGGAGGCTGCATCAACTAATGTTTGCAGACAGGGATTACGAAGCCGCTGGGATTCATGTCTCCCCTGCTGGTGCAGCTGACGAGAAATTGCGTCCCAGTGTTTCTGTGGGAAATCTTCCTGGGTCGCAGTATACAATAATAAAGCTGAGCTGCCTGGACCGACCGAAACTTTTGTTTGACACGGTCTGCACACTTACGGACATGCAGTACATCATTCACCATGCTACCATAGAGTCAGAAGACGATGTAGCGTTTCAGGTGAGCACACCGTTTGATCTTCATGAAATCTGAGACTTTGGCTGAGCATGTTATTGTCGGTATGGCCTTTTCATCTGGTTGGATTTTGTATTGCAGGAACTTTACATCAGAACTACAGATGGCTCCATGCTGGACACTGAAGCTGAGAGGGAGCGCGTGGTTAAGTGCCTTGAAGCAGCTATCTTGCGTCGCACCCCAAAGGTAAGTCACCTCATTAAGACATATGGCTGCTGCATTGGGGACTGCCAACAACCTGTTCTGCTTTCGTTGGCTGTTTTGTCACGTCACCTGAATTCCTGTTGTGGCAGGGGATGTGTCTGGATCTCTGCGCTGGGGATCGAGTTGGTTTGTTGTGCGATGTCACACGGGTTTTCCAGGCGCATGACCTCTCCATTACTGCTGCGAATATATGCACGCGCTGGGGAAAAGCAGTGAACGAGTTTTACGTCACTGATTCGTCCGATCGACCTGTTGATTTCAGTGCCATCGATGCTATTCGCCAGGAAATCGGCCCTGAGATTCTGACCATTCGTAATGTGGCAGCTCCCATTCTTAGCTGCTCGCCTCCGCCCCCGGCGCCTTCGTTTTCTTTCACCGGATTGCTTCGCTCATTCTCTTTCAGTCTGTCCAGAGAAACCCCCATGAAAGGAGCTCCACTTTCAACCAGCCTCACTTGAATGGGCCTGTGTAAACATGGCTTTATGAAAATGGCCAACGATTGTTGGCCTGATAGGGCTGGATGTATATATTCAACTAATAAGTTTTTGGCGTCAGGGTTACTCTATCCAGCTACAGTTGTTCCCCCTCCCCACCCTTCATCTCACCCCTTGCAGCCAACCCCTCTACTTCCATGCCCCCCCACCTCTCTCTGCCTTACTCACAGAGTCTCTCTCACCTCTCTCATCCACCCTCACACCACTCTTCTCTCTCGCCTTGCAGCCAAACAAACTACCCCACACCCAGACCCCTCTAGCCTCTCATGCACATCCCGGATCACATCTACATCTCTCTTCTGACGGAATCGTCGTGAGTGAGAGCATCAATTGTTGTATATACACATATAGTCCTTCGTTTTGGTAAGGCTGCTGGCTGGTATTAAATTCAGCTAAGATCTTCTTTATTAAACACATCATATTCCATATCTCTATGCTGTGGAACCTTGGCTTATTGTCTGTCAATATATGGCACGGTACGTGCAGCAGCTGTTTATTTGGCACTGTCGTATCTAATGCGTTTACACATTCCTAGATGACCAGGAAGAAGAGATTGTGGTCCAAGAAATGTTAGAGTGCATGGAAGCAAGAGACGGTTTTGAATCAGCACTTTAGAACGTGAGAATGTGCATGTAAGGTTAGATGCAGTGTTTTCAACTGGAACCGTTAGGAACCTCACTGCACCACCTGTACTGAAAGCACCTACGATGCACACCCCCACCAACGAAGGGGAAGCGCAAGGTGGCGGCAGGCAGGCATTCGAGGGTTTGGTTTCGCGAACTCGTTACTTCGTCGGTTTTTGGTTGGGGTTGCTGTGCTGGATCCAGCCAGTAGACTGACGTGAAAGCAGGGAATCGTGCTTACGAGTTGTGAAGGGGATCCCTCCCTGTCCCCTAAAGTATCCTCTGACTGCGACAACCGACGATAGGAGGCGTGATCTAGTCAGCTCTAACAGCTATTGTACACTGAGCTGCATAGTTTGCCACGTTGCATGTTCCCATCATTTCCGATCACTGTTAGCCACTCGTCTACAATACAGTGCCGGCGCTCGATTTACAGCTTAGCGCTTTTGGCACCACAATCCTGTAGTTAATGTCTCACGAACGGCTCGTTGAAGACTTGGGCACGTTTGCGGACGTCAGATGAGGATTTGACAAAGTTGGTCGCGTGAGATAAGGGTAACCGTGTGTGTTTTCCTTAAACACGCTAGAGGGAAACTTTCGGAAAAGACTGGCTATCACATGGCATTGTCTCCATCGCCAATCTCATTCGAGCCGAAGATTTCAATGGCAAGATCTTCAGGTGACTAGTCTTTCCACCGTTGTTAAGAGAGTATCGTTTCAATCCGTGGCTTAATGAGGGTGTATCTGTTTGCAGGCTTCGAAGAGGCTGCATTACGTGTCAATCCACCAAGGTAAAGCTTACGCGCTTATATCCACACAAACACAAAGGTTTTCCCCTTTTTGGCGTCGACTGATTTCTGTACTGTCACCTGCAGGGTTGTTTTTGACAACCATTCTGATCCAGTCTCGACCCTTGTCAAAGTGGATAGTGCAAATAAGCAAGGCTGCCTTCTTCAAGTCGTGCAGCTTCTAACTGACCTTGATCTCGTGATCTCCAAAGCTTACATTTCCTCAGATGGCGGCTGGTTTGTGGATGGTACGTACCTTTGAATCCACATGAATTCGTCTCGTTTACCCTTTATAGGAGAGCTTTGACACCCTTTCAGTTCCCCCCTTTCAGTTTTTCACGTCGTGGACCAATTGGGACAAAAAGTAACTGACAAAAGCCTTATTCGGTTCATTGAGAAGGTAGGCTTCATTCTTCGGTTAGCGTACTCGTGGACCTCTGTTTACATGCTGAAATGCTTTCCCATTGCATTTGCAGGCGCTGGGTGCTTCGAAAGAGCATCCTGTTCCCGATGCAAAAACATGCTTAGGAAAGCCTGTCGCTGATGCAATAGACTTCGAACATTCCGTCATAGAGCTCACGGGATATGACCGCCCAGGGATTCTCTACGAGGTGTCGGAGGTGTTGACTAAACTGGGATGCAACGTGGTGGGAGCAGAAGTTTGGACGCACAATAACCGCGTAGCTTTTATCCTACACGTAACCGAGGCTACAAATGGCGGACCTGTTAGTGAAGCTGCTGTCTTGACCGAAATGCGCGAGAGGCTGTGCTCTGTGATGGAGTCAAATAGCATTAGGATTGAATCTCGGAGCAGCTTTTTTGTTGGGGAGGCGCAGACTGATCGGAGGCTGCATCAGCTACTATTCGCGGATAGAGACTATGAAACCATGGGCCTCAATGCCTTCCCTACAGGTGTGGTTGAGGAGAAAGTGCGGCCCAGCGTTTCTGTGGCGAACTCCCCAGAGTCTCAGTACACAATCATCAAACTGACTTGTGTGGACCGACGGAAGCTTCTGTTTGACACGGTCTGCACACTGACAGACATGCAGTACATCATTCACCATGCTACGATCGAGTCTGAGAATGACATCGCGCATCAGGTTAGAACTGCTTACTGTGCCTTGTTGTTTATATGCATTTCTGCCTTTCTAATGATATCGTTTGTCTGCCTGCATCTCAGGAGTATTACGTCAGAACCATGGATGGGTCCATGCTGGACACTGAGGCTGAGAGGGAGCGAGTTGGTAAATGTCTTGAAGCTGCTATTTTAAGGCGCAGCCCAAGGGTGAGCTACATTTCTAAACCCTAGTTATGCTCCCAGATTGAAAATCAGGGTACTCAAATCTTTTCCTAACTGCATGTGGCTTGGATATGACGTGTTGCATGGCTCCTTTGGCAGGGTTTGTGCCTTGACCTCTGCACTGGGGATCGTGTTGGCTTGCTGTGCGACGTCACACGCGTATTCCAGACCCACAACCTCTCCATCACTGCTGCTAATATATGTACACGCTGGGGAAAAGCAGTAAATGAGTTCTACGTCACAGACTCTTCCAGTCGCCCTGTTGATTTCAGCATCATTGAGGCCATTCGTCAGGAAATTGGCCCCACAATACTGACAGTCCGCAATGTGGCCCCTCCACTCTTCAGCTCTTCGCCACCTCAGGAGACCCCATTTTCTTTCACAGGATTACTGAGATCCCTTTCTCTAGGGTTTTCCAACATGTACCAGACCAGGGGAGCTCCACATTCATCTAGCTTCACCACAAGGAGGCTCTGATTGCTCCTTGCAGGTTGGCTCAAGCTGTAATTGAGACGGAGGAATCTCCTCTGTACATAGGTAATTGTAGCACATATACCGCATTCCATTGGTGTACAAATCATTTTCTCATTGTAAGATTGAATACAAACATACTAACATATGTCCCTAAAGAGCACAGACAAGCTCATTCAGTGCTCATGATATTATCAGCGAGGTACGGTATGTGACAATCAGAAAGTAAAGACCAACAGAGGAATGCAATGCAGGAGGAAGTCTGCAAGTAAAACATGAGATATTAGGCATCATGTCAGGTTGTAACTAGAACTGAACCTTGATTAGTGTAAAAGCACACATGACCTGCAGGTTTTTCTACACTGAAGCAAACCAATGTCATGTCAGCAACACAGAGGTACCACCAACCTCCATGTCCCTGTGTGTGTTATCCACAACAAGTCTCTCTTCATCCCCTCACTCAATTGGCTACTTCTCTCACTCGGTACACAGATCTCCCTTGTGCCTCGTAGTACGTCCTCATACACAGCTCTGCCACCAGGCCTAGCCCAAACAGCTGACTCACAGGGAAGCATTGAAGGGGTATATAGAACAGGATGGGAATGATGTGGGGCAGCATGAGTACGGGATACATGGGGAGGGGTAACAAGATAAGCCCATGAGCAAGGGCTAGAGAGGGCAGAGGAACACAAGCCAAAACACGGCAAGCCACAGGCAGAGAAGGAAGAGAGGGGAAGGGCCGGGAGGGGATGTTAGTAAACGGAAGGAGGAGGTGCAGCAGTGATGAACTCACCACAAATCCAGCAACAACAAACTCAAGAGACGCCACCAGGTGCGCTGCCCCCACCACCATGGCCATGCCCACCCCATACGCCGCAGCCGCCTTGAGCGCCGCAGCACAGAAGAGGACAAAAAACACGGCAGCAGCGAGGAGCGCGAGGGCGGCGAGGGGTCCGAAGAAGTGCATGGGGCGGTCTCGGAAGCGCGTGAGGAAGGCGACTGTGAGCAGATCCACGAGCACACGGGGCGTGCGTGAGAGATTGTACTTTGATACCCCCACTTGCCGCGGATGGTGCTGCACCTTCAAGAGTGTGGCAGGGTTGGGGAGAGGAAGGGGGGAACATGGGCATATGTACAGGGTGTGAGTTGCTGTACCGCCACATGTGGAAAGCCGTGCTGCCAATCCACAAAAACACAGGGCGTGCTTGAGAGGCTGTACTTGGATACTCTCACTTGCCACGGATGGTGCTGCACCTGCAACGCGTGCGGGAGGGTGGGGGAGAGGCAGCATACAAGGGACAAGGTACATGGGCACATGCACAGGGTGTGGCCTATTGTCCCGATACATGTAAAAAGTCTTGCCATTAACCTGAATGCCCTACATGGACACGTGAACCGGACGGTGCGCCTTGCATGCACTCGCTTCAAACTCTTACCCTCCTCCTACTCTCTCCTCCCTCCCCCCCACCCCGGTACCTCGATCTCGGAGATGGAGGCGCCCTCCATGGCGGCGAGGGCGGGCAGGAAGCGGTGCAGCTCGCCGTACAGGCGCATGGAGCGCACCAGCGACCCGCGGTACGCCTTCAGACTGCACCCGTAGTCGTGCAGCCGCACCTGCTCTCGTCGTGGGAGCGCGCATGGCGGAGGGATGAGAGGTGGAGGAGGGAAGTGAAAAACACGGAAACAGAATGGTGCAGGCGGAAAAGAACAGAAGCAGGTCCATGTGGCAGATGCATACACCCTGTGTAACAAGCACAACCCCTTGCATAGCAGAGAGACAGGTTCTGGTGAAGGAGCACACCCCTGTGACGGCGCCAATGAGCAGATTCGCCATGGCAGAGGGCAGATTGCGCGAGAGCAAGTCGTCTCTCCGTGTGCGCCGCCACCCACACACCATGTCATACCCCCCGCCATCGCGCTCCCTGCCCGTCACCCACCGCGCCCCCGCCTCCTGCCCCACGGCGCCCTTGCGGCCCAGCAGCAGCAGGCGCAGCAGCCGCGGAATGTCCGATGGGTCGTTCTGTAAGTCGCCGTCCAACGTTACTATGAAGTCACCTGGGGGAGGAGTGGGGTTGGGGCGTGGTGGGGAAGGGGGAAGGGTGGGGGAAGGGGGGAAGCGGAGGTGAGTGAAAAGAGAGGGAGGGGGGACAGAGGGGAACATGAGGGAAGACACGTTGAGGGTCAGAGTGTAGGCATGGGAGCGGAAAAGCAGGGGCAATGCGAGGAAGTGAGAGACGCATTTGAAAGCAGACGGTGTGCAAGGCAAGCGCCCATGGCTTGCTTGCAGGAGGCAGCAGGGGGACAGAAGCGGGCAAAAAAGGGCAGCAGGGGGGGCAACAGGGGTTAGCAGGAGAGCAGCAGGGGGGCAACAGGGGGCAGCAGGGAAGCAGCAGGGGGCAGCAGTGACCTGCAGCGTAGTCAAAGCCAGCAGCCATGGCGGCAGTTTGGCCGAAGTTGCGACGCAGCACCACGACCCGCAGCTCCGGCCTCTCTGCCGCCATCGCCTTCAGCAGCAGCGACGTGCCTGGTGGTGGGGAAGGGAGAAGACGGGAAGAGGGGTGGCGCGGATGGAGAGGCGAGTGGACTGTGAGGCGGGATGTCGATGGACGGGGAATACAGGGACGGGGATGGGGGAATGGACAAGTGGAGGAGGTGCGGGAGAGTGCACCACTTGAAGCAAGAGCGCGACAGTCTGCATTGTTTGACATCCCCAGGGATTGCCGACGATGCTGCTATGCTACCATGCTGTCATGCTAACTATGCTGTCAAGCCTCCCATGCTGCCATGCAGACAAGCTGACATGCTGTCATGCTGCCATGCTGTCACTCACCATCAGACGACCCGTCATCCACGCAAATCACTTCGTGCGGCCACCCCGCGCGGCTCAGAACGTCACCGACCCTTTCCACCAGGATCGGGATGCTCCGAGCCTCGTTGTAGAGAGGAATCACCACCGACACTGTCGGCAGGTCCGGCACCGTTACTAGCGGGCCTGACGTCCCTGGTGACGTGGCGAGGGTGCTGCGAGCTACGGATTGGCGGAATGGCGGTTGGCGATGGACGGTGGAGGGCGTGTACGGCGAAGAGAGCCGCGAAACGTCAGGTCTGCACGAAGGAGGAGCGGCGGAAAAAGGCGAATATACGTTCAGTGTGGGAAAGAGCAACTGCGGAAATACGACCAATCGCGCAATAAGGAATAGGAGAGTCACAGGAAATCCTAGTGTGTTTGCGACCCTGTCGTCCGAAAACAGAAGGGCGAACAGGAAACCCCATCGCCCTTAACGTCTCGCGCTCAAGGACCTGTGAGGCAGCGCAGCGAGGTAGCTCAGCGCAACCAGATACTCCGGAGGCGGAAGCTAGACAGACGAACGCGGAGCTACGCGAAGCTGATAGCACAACGCGATGATGATCGTCCCACCTTCTCCAGGAGTCGGACGGAAAACGGCTGAGGACAGAATCCCGTGCTCTCGTGATGCTCAAAACTGATCGCGACGTTCGGGCATGAGTAGTTCTTGAAGTGGCGGCAGCATGCTTTATCTGTAACGGCTCTACTGACGAGTGCACGCAATCTAACGCGGCTCGTGCCGCGGACGCCATCACGCTCGTTGCGAAGAAGACACTGAGGTGCTCGAGTTATTATGTTCTGATTTTTGACGGAATACACAGGTAGAGCTGCATCCTCAACCACGCCTGGTTCTAATCAAGCTCGCGCCCTTGGACCACCTGACAGCGGCTCCCGTTACTTCGGGCTCTAGAGACCTCAGGCTCAAATAGCTGACATTCACTCCAAAAAAGTGTCATACTACTACTAGGTTTATTTTATTCAGAGGGCATAAGGGCGTGTATGATTTTTGAAAATGCCTAAAGTTTATGTTTTTGATTCGACTGTAGCAATTGAACACCATGTGAACTTGACTCGATTTAGAGCATCTTGAAAGTTCGAACCGCGGGTGCCACAGAGCTCGTTTCACAATCACACATGCAAGTGCGAATTTGCAGGTTCGAGCAAATAGGGGGTGAAACGAGCCGCATATAGGGTGCGTAGGTTACCCGGTACTTCCAATCTCATGTTGCGACACGTCAACGAAGCGCACAAATTATTCGCGAACGTCGCTGATTTCTCGTACGTGTGTGGAATCACACACACGTTCAGTTCAAAATGTCGAGCCTAGTTTGAGTAATTTTCGCGCACATGTTCACTTTTGTAGATTCGAACAGGGATGTTTGATGAACATCATCACCATGAACGAAATTTAATAGCGAAATCAGCGAAACGAGATACCACCCAAAGTTCGATCTGATTTACGAACTTACAAAAAAATCATATCGCCCTAAGTCTACGGATGGATGGCCCCATGCGAGTGATTGGCGAAGGCACAATCGAGTTTAGCGAAGATGTGTCGATGACGACGTGGGATGGCTGAGAGGACTATAGGTGGTGGCGAAAACGGCTCTGTAACCTGAGTCTCGTGGACACGAAAGATGCTGCACACACCGAGACCTCCCGCGCTTGTCGCGAACACTTCGCGGCCCGATGGTTCTTTCCCGCCAACACCTTGATTTGCTTGATGCGTGTAACGGGGACGAGTGCACTATCGAAGTTGGAACAGTGAATAGTATTTAGGCAGGCCGTTCCCGAGTTTTATAGAAAGGAAATAAGGCAGTAAGGACTAGCTAGTAAGGCAATAAGGGCCAAGCCAAGAAACGTGCCAGGGCTCGATTTCCCAACCCCACAAACACACACTGCAGGTTGCAAGGCTTTGAGTTGGCTCAGTACTGTTAACTCCTCCGTAATAACCTTCCTTACGCTGGATTTAACCAGACTGGATGTTTGAATGCCTGAAATGCTGACAAAATAATCAGTAACACTATGAAATGTTGAAAGAGCAGCGGTTTTCACTGCAAGAAGAGTCTTAAGACCTAGTCTACTTGGCAGCTTGCTTTGCTTTGGCAGGAGAAACATTGGAGGCAGGAGCTTTAGCGTTAAGCTCAGTCCAGGCCTCAATCCAGGTCACCATAGCATCCGCTAGCTTGGTGAAGTACGGGTCCAGCGAAGAGAGCTTGTCCTTCACTTGCTTAGCGAGTTCCACGTAGCATTGCTCCACCGTTGTCGCCTCCTTGGGCAGCTTCACTGATTGGAAGAAGGGGATGATGTCTTCCTGCCAGAAGATACCCTTGTACTCCTTCTTGAGGTTGACAAACGGATTGCTGGCTTTGCTATGCCAGATGTACGGCAATCCTGTCTTCACTCCAAGGCCCAAATGGTCGCAAATCACCTGGGAAAGGGTTGCATAAAAGCAGGATTTCAAAAACGGTGATTCACCAAACCAACCACGAGCAAGAAAGTCAAGGGCACACCGTTGAAATGCAACAAGATTGCAATCGACGTTCTTGCCAACTACTACTTGCAGGCACCGCCACGTTCTTTTCCACGTAGTTTTGCCACGTTGGAATCGAACGAGAGAACCAAAGCAAAAGCGAGGAAAAGGGCACGTAGTAATTCAGGGTGGCTTCGGCCTTCCAATTACGTTAAGTGCTTAGCAGACAGTTCGTTCTGGAACTGACAATGCAGGTGTTACCCTTGTGTTACCCTTAAACGACACACGACCTCAGATTTCATTCCGTACAGGTTCCATCATGACCCTCTAGAGCTCTCATAACAGATAACATACCTTCATGCACCAGCCCGCCCACATGTCGTCGTAGCGTCCGATTGGCTGCCCATCGCCCATGAGTCCGAAGTACATGGCTGGTCCGATGAGCTCCCGATCGAACGCCAGATTCATCCCGCACATCGGGAAGAGGGTTCCCTTCGGGACAGTCATCACCGCGTCGACGTATCTGCAAGGGCGTGAGCGTGAACGAGTTAATCACACAATTTAGAGAGCTAAATGTTATTAAGTGAGGCAAGTTTGGAGCTTACCTTGTGTTTCTCTCGCTTGGCTTGACGAGCTGCGTGGGTGCATCGTAGTCGGGGATGTTAAGCCACAAGCCGTGCGACACCGCGGTCGAAACTCCCTCCCTAAGGCTGAATGGGTAGCCTCGGACGAAGTCAGCACCCTCTCTGTACGGATCGTACAGCGTGTTGAAGAAGTAAGGCGTGGACGGACTGAGCAGGTTCTTAATGTGCTGTTGAAGCGCGTTGATGTCCTTCCCTGAAGGATCTTTGGCAACCTGTAGATAACAGAATATGTACGAGAAAACGTGTAACGTGCATACTAATTAGTCACCATTCACAGGGGAAAGGAATCAGAAAGTACCAGCCAGTCAGAAATATAAGGACGGATAAAAGTCGCAATGAATCAACTTACAAAGCAGTCGTCGTCGATTGTGTAGATGTACTTCTTCTTCGACACCATGTAGCCGAAGCACCTACACGCACTGTCCTTAAACGAGATGCACGACGCTCTCGGGCCAAGGATCCGGTTGATGTCATTTCTGTTGTACAGCTCATAGTCAAAACCGGGAGGGACCTTGATAACCTTGGTTGGATCTCCATCCTGGACTATGATGAGATGGTAGGGCTGAAAGAAAGGCCGCCACTGCTCGAGGAAATCGAGGTTGCGAATGGTAGGAATGACGATGTCTAGCTGATCTTTGAGAGGGATATCGTCAGCCATGGCGTCTGAAATTTGACTAACGAATGAGCGGGTGAAAGAGATAGAAGCAACCCAATGAAGGAGATGGGAACAATTCGGAAACGAGAAATACAAGAGAATGAATGTGGTTTGATGCCAGAACTCGAGGATTCAGATCAGAGGTGTTTGAGATTGTTTGAATGGTGGCTGTGGATATTCCCGACCAAATTTAGCGGGGACAAGCAAGCACGGCAAGGAATCGGTTTGGACTCTGGGTTCCGGGAGCTGGTGATTGGGCTTGGCGGTGCAACGCGTCAGAAAGCTAGGTTCGGTTGCGAGTCTCGTGTCAGTCGAACGAGACGGAAGGGAAGCAGCTCCTCCGACTGTGGAACCCGACAAATAGGCGGGATTGACGAAGCGCGAAGGGTCGCCTAGCGTAGGTCGCACCGTGTTGCGAAGGGAGGCACAGAAAATGCGGAAGACTCCACCGTTCAACCACGCGCAACTCCTATATGCGCTGGCTTCGTTCGTGAGCGAATATCCTGATCAATACATTCGTACGGTAACACTCAAACACCTGAATCACAGAATGGCTTCATTACATTACAAGCTCCAAACAATTATCAACATTCATGCACCAGAAATACGGAGATCTATATCAAAATAAGTCATCATAAGCAATCATTGAGCGCCACCCACCACTAGTGCTACCACCAGCTGCAGCGCCAGCATTACTCCATGCATTTCCTCTTGGCCCTGAGTGACCTTCCTGCATGTAGTGCTGATTGCCATGTGGCTCAATCTGGTGGTGAAAGCCCATGTGACCCATAGGAGCAGGGCCCACAGGCATGGGGACAGGGGCAGCACCGGTCAGCACTGCCATGGCTGTAGCGCTGGCAGCTGCTGTAGCTGCCAGCATCTTCATGCGGCCATTCTGCAGCTTCGAGGAACCTTCCGCAAAGGAAAACCCACCCACCCCCTTCTTCCATTCTGGCAGAGACCCGTGTGCCCATGAGACCCGCACCTGGTGGGAGGCATGGGGGGAGGATGAGAAGGAAGGAGGAAGCATATGAGGCCTGCTGAGTGCTGCTAGCACAATTAAATGACAAAACTGGCAGCACACATGGGTACAGAGACAACCAAAAACAGTAACTCCTTACACCACAGATCAAGCTACCCATACAGAGCACAGCCCAATGGTTCCCACAAAGCAAGTCCCAAAACATTCAGGAGCCTCATCTCACCCGCTGGCCCCGGACAATGATGGTCGACCGGCCGTCCTCCCCAGCAGCGATGGCAGCCTCGGCCTCGGAGCGGTGTTTGAACCCCACGAACCCGTAGCTCTGCAGCTCCACCATGCGCGCGTGCACCACCGCCCCAAACCGTGAAAACGCCTCCGAGAGCTCAGCGGCCGTAGTGGCGGGGTCCAGGTCGCCCACGAACACACGGTGCTGCTGCCCTGCCGCACCACTGCCTGCGCTGCTTGCACTGCTGCTCTCCTGCACCGCACTCCAGCCCCGGTTGCGGCTGCCCTGCCTCTGCTGCCTGGGCTGCTCTTTGCAGTAATCCCTGTTACTTTGACCATGACTGTGACTGTGGTGGCGCTGGCTATGGCTGCGGCGATCGTAATCACGGTGATAATCGTTGATTCTCTCCCTGTCACACTCCGCTACCTCGCCTCTGCTCCCATCCCTCCCCTTGTGCCGCTTCTCGTCCCCCTTCTCTTCCTCACACCCCTCCCTCGCTCCCCTCTCATCGCTCCCATGCCTTTTCCTCTTTCCTCCTCTCTCATCCTCCTCCTCTTCCCCCGCCCGTCCCCGGCCCCGCCCCACGTCGCCCTCGCGACTGCCCATTGCGCGACCTCTGTCCGCGCCCTCCCCGCCCCGCGAGTCCCCGCCGTGTGCCGGCGCTGCTCTGCGGAGGGGCGCGGGGCGCTTGAAGCTCGCGGCTCTGCCCACCTGCGGCGCAGACGGCGTGGATGGCGATGCGAGTGCAGTGGTGGTGGCGACGACAGGTGTGGCAGGGGAGGAGGGCGACGAAGCAGGCGACGAGGAAGTGGGGCTCGCACGTGCTTCCTGCTGGGAAGGAAGCGGGGTGGTTGGGGCGGGGTGAAAAATGTGGGCGGCTTGTGGAACCGTCGCTCCTCTTCCCTCACAAATCACTGCGACAGCAGCATTGTTCACATTTCTCTGCAAAAGCATTACCATTCGCATCTCCCTGCGACAGCATTATCGTGCCTCTCATTGCGACAAAATCGCTCACCTTGCTCTGCGACAAAAACGTTCACCTTGCTCTGCGACATTATCCCTCACCTTGCTCTGCGACATTATCCCTCACCTTGCTCTGCGACAGCACCTTCCTCGCCTTCTCCAGCGCCTGCTGCAACCGACCGCGCTCGTCCAAACCCTCCCTCCGCGAAGCGCGCTCCATCTTCTCCCGCTTCTCCCGCCTCTCCCGCTCCTCCCGCTCCTCCCGTTTCTCTGTTTTTTCCCTCTCCTCCCGTTTCTCTAATTTCTCCCGCTCCTCTCCTCCCTCCTCCGATCGCGCCCTCGCTCCCCCGCCCGTCCGCTCTCCCTCCCGCGCGCCCGTCCGCCGTTCGTCTATCGGCGGCGTCTGCAGCTCCCACCCTCCTCCTTCCGCCTCCGTCCTTCCCTCCTTCTGCGAACCTTCCTTTTTAGCGTGTCTATGCTCCTTCGCATTGCGACGAATATCCGCAACATCCGCGTCCTTAGATTCTATACGCTCGTCACAATCCGTGAGCACATCGGATCTGATACGATCCTCGCGGCTGCTCACGTTGATTGCACTGCTTCCTCCGCTCCCCCCGCTCTCCCCGCGCGGCGCACTGGGAGCGGCACGCGAGACGCCGACGACCACGCCGCCCACCTTGAGGCGCAGCTTGAGCGGACGTCGCGGCGCAGCGGGCGCCGCCGCCTTGCCGCCCTCCGTATCTAGATCGGACGCCATAGGGAGCGATGTGCGCTCGCGCGCCGGCTTAAGGTTAACCTACCAGATGGTTGGAAATGGAGATGGAAGCGAAGCTTCCAGCGATGCGATTGTTGCTTGCGGCGCCAATTATGCTTTTCTCCGCCGGCTCCCAGAGGCTAAAGACCGGCGCGCACGCGCACACCACGCGGACAGAAGCAGTAAGAGCGCTTACGGCACCGGAGAGACTCGCGAAAAGGTCAGCGCAGCAGCAGCAACCAAGAAGCCATCGAGCGCGAAGCATCTGCCATGTACTATTGTTTTGCTGAATGAAATATCTGGGAGAATTTGGAGAGACGAGGGGGGCTGTTTTGGAAGGGACAAACGCTGGCGATGCAAAACCCCTGAACCTCCCATTTTGAGCGTGAGGGCGGGTGCATGAAACGTGATTTTCAACCAATCGGAGACGTCGAACAACAAGGCCAGGAGTTGGAACCGCCAAAAACTGGTGCGCTACAAAGCATAATAGTATATGGATCATTCAGGCGTCCCTAAAATGGTCTGAGGCTACAATAAGCTCATGTGTGATTCCTGGCTCGTACATGGAGTGACCTGCATTGGGAACTGATGTCCAGGAAAATGAAGGGATTATGGGAAAAAACTATTTTAAATAACAAAACATAACATGACAGCAGAACGTTGAGGTGGACTGAAAACGAAAGTGAGGAAACATCCAACAATACGTACCAACTCGAAGCTGGGCTTCTGGCCATGCATAATGCAGGTCAATAGCGTTCTGCACAGAACACAAAGAAAACCAGGAGAAAATAAGCTCATGCAAATGGGTAAAAAGAAAATGCACTGCCCGTAGCGAGGAGGCTTACAATGAGGGGGCAGACGAAGTCGTATCGGCCGTGCACAATGACGGTGGGGATGTGCCTGATGGTATCTATATTATGCAGCAGCTGGTTGTCGGCCAAGAAGCCATCGTGATGCTGCCCTCAGAGCAAACACATGGGATGGATACACAAGCCGAGGTCGGGGTTTCTCATTAGCGAAGTCACGCTGGGACAGATATGCAACCGGTATTGCCACGAACAGAGTATGCTGTTGTGATGAATGCAGCCACGTAGAGTGTGTGTTACAGGGAGGGAATGTGAGGCGTGGGCGTGGCGTGGTGCCGGGTGCAGCAACTCACAAAGTAGTGGCACTCAATGCGTGCCTGCGCCACAGATCCCGATATGTGTGGCCCTCCCATCAAGTCCCTCCCTCCTGCATCACTCATATCCTCCCTACTCTCCTTCCCTTCCTCAGATGCCCCCCCTCTCTCCTCTGCTGCCGCTACTGTCTGTGTAGATGCGTGTGCTGTTGGTGCTGGTGCTGGTTCTGCGGCTGCAGCTTCTGGTGCTGGTGCTGGTTCTGCGGCTGCAGCTTCTGGTGCTGATGCTGGTAGGGCTGGTGCTGCCGCTGCCGCTGATGGTGCTGGTGCGGTTTCCGGAGGAGAATCAGAACTAGAGGGGTGGCCTGGGGAAGAGGAGGTGGAGGAGGAGGGTGATGAGGAAGATGTGGGGGCGGAGGGGGAGGAAGGGGAGGACGGGGGTGCTGACGAAGGCGGAGATGAGGGTGATGGGGGAGGGGGGGGGGAGAGGGGCGAGGGGGGGAAGGAGTAGGCGGAGCCATCCCAGGCGAGCAGGGCAGCAGGGGCGGAGGGGCTGGGGAAGTGGCTGAGAGAGAACTCCCACCGCATCCATGCCCTCGCCTGGTGGGATGGGAGGGGAAGAGGGAGGTGATGGCAGCAGAAACTGAGTACACTCAAATGCCAGCAGGGGCGGAGAGGGTGGGTACGTGGCTGAGAGACATCTTCCACAGCATCCATGCCCTTGCCTGGAGGGGAGAGGGGGGAGGGAGTGCGGATGTGGGATGATGATGGCAGCAGACTTTTGAGTCGACTCAAAAGGCAGCAGGGGCGGAGGGGCCGGGGAAGTGACTCAGCGGCATGAGTGGCCACACAAGGAGAAAAGGATGCAGCGGCATGTGACACGATGTGTGGAGCATGTGACACGATGTGTGGAGCATGTGACACGATGTGTGGAGCATGTGACACGATGTGTGGAGCATGTGACACGATGTGTGGAGCATGTGACACGATGTGTGGCGCATGTGAGAGGAGAGGACTCACAGCACTGTCTCTCGCGGCTGCGTTGGTGCTCATGAGTCGCTCATAAAATGCCGCCACCACACTCCCACCTGTTACCCCACTCCCATCTGCACCCCCACCTCCATTCCCACCGCCATCCCCATCGCCATGCGAGCGCGTGGGAGCAGGGGAAGGGAGCGCGGCCATGAGGTCCCGCCATGCGAATGGGAAGAGCGCCTCTGCCCCGCCCTGCCAGGGTGAATGGTGCACGGTGGAACAGGGAGGGATGTAAGTGGTGGGGCGAACACAAACATGTGCGCATGTGGGAGCAGGGGAAGGGAGTGCAGCCATGAGGTCCCGCCACGCAAATGGGAACAGTGCCTCTGCCCCGCCCTGCCAAAGAGGGGTGAAATGGTGAGGGGAGAGAGAAGGGATGTAGGTGGTGTGCCAAACTCAAACGTTACTCACACCACCAAATGCTAGAAAATACAGCAAACAAGTTCATTTTTAAGCCGAACAAATGCAATGGAGGACCAGGCAGGGCATCCCTACCGGGCGGTAGAACCAGTCGATCTCTCGGCGCCGAAGCAGGCACACTCCTCACAGCGTTGGAGTTGCTTTTGAGAATTCTCAAAAGCAACTCCAAAATAGCAGTATACAGTGGCACTCCCTACCGGGCGGTAGAACCAGTCGATCTCTCGGCGCCGCAGCAGGCACACCCCCCGCAGCACCATGCCCGCCACTCTGTCCGGGTGTGCCTGCGCGTATGCCAGCGCCAGTGTGGTGCCCCAGCTGCCGCCCTGCACCACCGCCCACCTGGTGTGGCCGCACAGGGTGGGGGCACGGTTGAGGGGGTGAGAGAAAGTGGGTGAGCGAGGGAGCAATAGTGAGGGAGTAATATGATGGAGGGTGAGAGGGTGAGGGAGTGAGGCACGGAGCCCCAGCTGCCAACCTGAGGCCCATGCAGAATGCAGCAAGCAAGCACCAAGAGGCCCTCAACTGACCTGATGGGGCACCTCAACTGACCGCGCACTTCTCCTGCACGCGCGCCCTGCAGGCTCACGTGGACCTTGTGACTCACGTGGACCTTGTGACTCACGTGGACCTTGTAACTCACGTGGAAGCCACCAAACCCTCACCTGTCCTGATGGCGAACCTGATGGCGAACCTGATGGCGAACCTGATGGCGAACCTGATGGCGAACCTGATGGGGAACCTGATGGGGACGAACCTGATGGGGACGAACCTGATGGGGACGAACCTGATGGGGACGAACCTGATGGGGACGAACCTGATGGGGACGAACCTGATGGGGAACCTGATGGGGAACCTGATGGGGAACCTGATGGGGAACCTGATGGGGAACCTGAAAAGGAAACCACGCACCCTGGAGGCCTAAACCACTCACCTGTCCAACTCAAGGTGCTCTCTGAGTGCTTCTATATCCCCCACCAGCAGCTCTCTGCGGTTGTCCACCACGCACCCTGCAGGGGCGGACGTTGCAACTCGAATCACATCAAGGGCGGGCCTCACCTGTCCACCTCCAAGTGCTCTCTGAGCGCCTCCAAGTCCTCCAAGAGCAGCTCCGTGCGGTTCTCCACCACGCACCGCACAGGGGTGGACCTGATGTGTACGATTCTCCACCACACACCCCGCACGGTGTGGGCCTTGCAACTCAGGTGAACGTGAAAGGCCACCCCCACCCTCACCTGTCCACCTCCAAGTGCTCTCTGACAGCTTCTATGTCCCCCACGAGCAGCTCCGTGCGGTTCTCCACCACGCATCCCGCAGGCGTGGGATGAAAAGAAGTCTCACCTGTCCAACTCAAGGTGCTCTCGGAGCGCCTCAATGTCCGCAACCAGCAGCTCCGTGCGGTTCTCCACCACGCACCCTGCAGGCGTGGATTTGCCCGCCCCCCGTTGGTCGCACAGCACGATGCGGTACGCTGCCGGGTCGAAGAAGCGCGCGTGGTTCGGCCAACACCCTGCGCCTGGCCCCCCATGCAGGACTGCGGGAGGGAAGGGAAGTGGAGGGGAGATTGGGAGAGGCTGAAGGGGAGGCGTTTTGTGCGGTGCACGGTAGGGGTGGAGGGAGTGAGACGAGTGAGGGAGAGAAGGCGGGCGGAAGGATGGTGTGAGTGAATATGAGTTTGCGGCATGTGAGGGAGAGAGGGGAGAGGAGGATGGGGGAATGGGGACGGGAGAAGAGAGAAAGAGGGGAAGGGGGACGCTGAAGAAAGAATCCAGACTCCGGAGTTGAAGGAAGGCGAGGGCGCGAGGGAGCCACTGACAGAGGGCAGGTTTGCCGGCTGGGTTGCCATAGATGCGGTAGTAGAGCGAGTGGATGGCGGAGACCTTAATGTTCCCCTCCGCGTGGTGCGCGGTGCGAGAGCCCAGACTTGGGGTGGGAGAGGCGGCACTGAGGGGACGCTTACAGAGGGCAGGTTTGCCAGCTGGGTTGCCATAGATGCGGTAGTAGAGCGAGTGAATGGCGGAGACTTTGAGGTACCCCTCCGCGTGGTGCGCGCATGCGGGGTACATCCCGCGCAGGGGCGGAGCTGCGGGTGGCGCTGCGGTGGGGGGAAGCGGAGAGGGGGTTTGGCTGGGGGGTGGAGCGGAAGTGGGGGAAGGAGCGGGTGAGGGAGAGGAGGAGGAGGAAGAGGGGGAGGGAGGGGGTGGTGGTTGTTTCCAGGCTACAATGGCGGCAAGACCTCGTCGCCTGCCATGACACGTCGCATGCCTCGTCGCATGGGTCGTCGCATGCCTCATTGCATGCGTCGCGAATGACAGTCCAGCATCGCGCTCGCCCCAACTCCTGATGCTCCGACGCGCGTCTCCCCCGTACGCAACCATGCATCTCGCGACGCTGCTTGCCGCGCAGGGACCATGCAATGGGATTGTTGGGGAGCGGGCAAACGAAACGGATGTTCTATTGAAGGGAGAATCAGACGTGCGTCCGCACGCAGCAGCCGCGCGTGCCTGACACGCGTGCGCTGCCCGCGTGAGCGTCATGGAACCCACAGCAGGTCGCGATCAGGATTCAAGTCAAGTCAGGGTAGCAATGGCTACTCGTAATCGGCGATCTCGAGGTGGACCAGACCGTCTAGGACTCTCAGCTGACAGGTGATCATGCGCATCGTATGTGAGAACGGTTGGGATGGATGGAGAGGACAAGAAATGGCAGCAGGTTGTCGCTCTGGCGAAACTGGAAATGCACCATGGGATGGACGTGACGAGGAAGCGAAACTGGCTACAGTGGAGAATTCGGCGTTTGGTTACAGCTCACTGCGAAATTTAAATCTGCGACATGATTTTGGTAACTGCAGTCTCTACGTTTGTGAATATTTCGTGGGGCTCCCACCTTCTGTCTGCTGATCCACAGGATGCAGTTCAGCAAGCTTCCTCTCCACGCATCTGCTAGTATCGCCCTGAATCGTTTAAGAACGTATAGTACAAAACGATACCGTGGTATGCCGATCAGAACCGAAATCTCGGGTGTACAGCACCCTTGTATCTTGACTTTCAGTCACCTCCATCCGGAAGACCCATTCCCTCCGACGTGGGGGATTCCCTCTCCTTGAATCTCCCCACGTGCTGCCATATCCACCCATGTGATTCGTTCACTACCACTTCCCTGTATCACTCCGCGCTTTATTGACGGTCGATAGTGGCTGAATAACCGCCACGTGGATGGATCTGCGGCAGAAGATCCTCTCGACGGTGCACGCCACGGTGCACGACCACCGCCATCGCCCCCACAACAATGGCGATCCTCCCGGGACGAGCTTTTCAGAAGTAGAAGGTGCGCGGAAGATCCATTCACAGGAATTCCCATGTTAGCGCCATTGTTTGTCGTTGTAGAAAGACTGTTGGATAGTACCGCGCCGCGGAAATGCGAATGAGCCACGTGTCACCGCTGGTATGTGTCCAGTACACGTGGCACGCGTGGATTCACGCCACCGCGGCGCGCGCGGTTACTCTTCTCTCCTAATGCGAGCACGCTCTGCCGTTATCCTGTGGCGCGTGCGTGTGCATATATCGGGAGTCCAACAGACATACAGGTGACGGCGACTGTGCCGGCAGACAGTGACAATGACGGGGGAAATGCCGACGGTCTTCCGCAAACCGCGCAGCAGGGTGCGCAGCAGGGCGGTCAGAAGGGCAAGTGGACGGAGCAAGAAGTCTGTGAGCCTCCTCCCTCCCCCTCCCCACTCTTGGAATCGCGCTTACGATTTATTAAAGGAACGAGAATCTTTTATCCTCTCGTTTCCCTTCTCCCTTCCTCCCTTGCTCCGCGCGTCCCCCCCTCTCTGCGTCACAGCCTCAGCACCCAATCCTATCGCTTCCCCCTCATCGCTTGCCCTATCTATTCTTTCCCCCCGCCTCCCCCCGCTCCCAGTGAGCGTGCTGCGCGAGGCCTCCGCGGGCAGCAGCGCGTCCGCGCCAGCCGCCGCGCCGCACAGCGCCAGCTTCGGCGCAGCAGCAGCGGCCTTCCGCGAGGCCGGCGCAGGGGCGGCAGGGGCGGCAGGGGCGGCCGGCGCGGGCGGCAGCAGCAAGCCAGGAGGCCACCCGGGCGGGGCGGCAGCGGGCAGCTCCGGCGATGATGGCCCGACGCGCGTGCAGCGGTTTCTGATGCGGCTGGCGGTGGCGCTACACGCGTACGGCAGTTCCGCCGCCCGCACTGAGTTCTTGATCGAGCGGGCCGGGCGGCGGCTGGGCGTGGACGTGAGCGTGGCTGTGCTGCCAGATCTGATTCTGCTCGCCTTCAACCGCGTGGTTGGGGACGATACTGCTGGGTGAGATGCGGTGAAAGGTGTGGTGCACGCGTTTGGTGCTGTGGGTGGGGTTACATGGATGATGTATCTACGGGCACCACCTGTGCTTCCAGACCTCATTCCGCAGTGCAGTGTATGAGCGGGCGGTGCAGCGCATGAGCGGGCGGTGCACCCCTTGCACCCCTCCCCAGGCAGCGCACGCTCATGCTGGCAGTGTCCCCAGACATGGATCAGGATAACCTAGGCCGCGTGGACGAGCCAGCACGCTGTGTGGGGTTGGGGGAGGCGCACAACCTCATGGCGGCCTACTGGCAGCTCCGCTTCCCTGTACAGCCGTCTCATTCTCCTTCTCGCACCCCTTGCACCCCTCTGCACCGCTCCGCACTCCCCAGGCAGCGCACGCACATGCTGTCAGTCTCATGCGCACATGCGCAGTGTGGGGTTGAGGGAGGCGCACAACCTCATGGCAGCCTAATGGCAGCTCCAAGCCATCGCCAACGCACCCCTCCGCACTCCTGTTCATCCCTCCGCACCCCTTGCACTCCCAGGCAGCGCACACACATGCTCTCAGTGTCGCCCGATATGGACCTTGATAAGCTAGGCCGCGTGGACGAGCTAGCGCGCTGTGTGGGGTTGGGGGAGGCGCACAACCTCATGGCCGCCTACTGGCAGCTGAGAGCCATCGCCAACGCACCACCCACCTTCTCCCCGCCCATGCACCTCCTTGCCATGGCTCTCATGTCAGCCAGTGCTGCTGTGCTCTTCTTTGGCGGTGCGTGTTCCATACTCCTCGTGTTTACCTCCCTTCTAGTGCACCTCCCATGCATCCCGCATGTGCTGTGCCATGTATCCCTTTGCTCCCCATGCGCCCATGCACCTGCTCGCCATGGCGCTCATGTCCGCCAGTGCTGCCGTACTCATCTTCAGTGGTAGGCCTTCCGTGCACCTATTGTGCACCTCCCATGCGTCCCGCATGTGCCTTGCTGTGCCGTATAACCCCTTGCTGCTCATGCGCCCATGCACCTGCTCGCCATGGCGCTCATGTCCGCCAGTGCTGCCGTGTGCTCTTCTTTGGCGATAGGCGTATCATTGGCCTCTTGTGCACCTATCATCAACCACCTCGTACTCCCACCACCGCTCTGCACCTCTCTGCACCTCGTCCACATGCTCGCATGCGTTGACTATGCCATTCACACGCCCTCCTTGCACGCGCCTGTGTCTCACCCCCTGTGGCATCATCGCCTCCTCGCTCCCCTCCGCTGCCTGGCAGGCAACATATGGGACGGGCTGGTAGCGGGCATCCTGGGTTTCCTCGGAGGCGCCATGGAGTTTTGGGCCATCTCCAACTCGCAGGTGCTCTTTATTCCCCTCTCACTCAATCATACGCCCGTTGCTAACCCTCTCCCCCTCCCTCACCAACAACAACGCCTCTGCTTTCCCTAAGCCAACTCGAAAGACACTGCTTTCCCATGTCACCAGTCCCCTCCATCCATCCCCACCTACCCCCTTACCACCCCCACCAGGCAGTGATGTCCATCCTCGAGTTCCTGGTGTCGGTGCTAGCAGCCTTCACGGCGCATCTGTGAGGGGTTCTCACATGCACTTTTCCTCTCTCCACCGCACCCCCCTTCCACCCACCAGGCAGTGACGTCTATCCTCGAGTTCCTGGTGTCGGTGCTAGCAGCCTTCACGGCCCATCTGCTCTCATCCACGCTGCTCAGCGGGCGCATCTGCATCTTCGCCACTCTCTTCGGCGCCCTCGTGTGGTTCCTCCCAGGTGCGCGGCTCTGCTTCCCCCCAGTCTGCCAGGTGCCTAGTGTGCAGCCTTCACCGCCCATCTCCTCGCATCTGCTCGCTGCCACACTGCTCAGCGGGCGCATCTGCATCTTCGCCACTCTCTTCGGCGCCCTCGTCTGGTTCCTCCCAGGTGGGCCACTCTTCTTGCAAGTTGCGTACAGTTCGTCTGTTGCCTCGTATGCAGGCTGGCAGGGGGAGCGCATGCAGCTTGCTGCCTTACCTGGTAAAGGCCTCGTTCACACTCCACAGTGCTCCACTCAATCCTCAACTTCCCCCGCGCCCTCCTTGCCCCTCTACCTGCCCACCCTTCGTCCATGCCCCCACCCCACCCTGTTGCCACTGCTGCTCCTGCTGCTCCTGCGGCCCTGTTTAACCTTCACTCTCGTTCCCCCCCATCTCTCCCATCTCAGGAGTGACACTCACCTTCGGGGTGAACGAGCTGGTAGCGCGAACGCAAGTGACGGGCACGGCAAGGGTGGCAGCGGCCATATTCACATCGCTGCAGATCGGATTCGGCATCTCCGTGGGCATGGGCCTCTGCTTCTGGGCCGCCTCGCCCACTGCCCTCTCCGACTGCCCGCCCTCCAACCTTCCTCTCTGGACCAACATCTTCTGGTGCGTGCTTGTGCTGGGCTGCTTTACTACGTACCTGTTGCCCCCCCCTTCCCCCCACCCCCCCCTGCTCGTCCGTTCAACACGGATCATCTCCCATGTTGGGGCTCATCCGTCGGGAATGGGGCTCTCTGTCCGTCCCCTCCCCCTCCCCCCTTCCCGCCTTCCCCTCCAACCCCTCAGGTTCGCCATGTACGTGGTGGCGAGCAACATTCGCTGCAACGCGCGGCTGGACCAGTGGGACGGCATGACACTCGTGGCAACGCATGCAACCCCTGCCTCTTTGCTCCATGCGTCATGCCCAGTGCTTTCCCCACACTTCCCCCTCTCTCTCACCCTCCCAGGTTCGCCATGTACGTGGTGGCGAGCAACATAAGGTGCAACGCGCGGCTGGACCAGTGGGATGGAATGACGCTCGTGGCACTCGTGGGCTACGTGGTATCAGAGCTGGCCTATCGCACCATTGGCAACGACACTGCCTCTGTGGTTGCTGCATTCGCCGTCAGCACGTCAGGTACGTGTTTTCAATACTCACCTCACTCGTGGGCTACGTGGTGTCAGAGCTGGCATACCGCACCATTGGCAATGACACTGCTTCCGTTGTTGCTGCATTTGCTGTCAGCACATCAGGTGGGTGAAATCAGACCTCTGCTCTCCTGCTTGTAACACATCATATGCCAGAATTCTTGTTCTTGTTCTTTTTTCTTGTTTTTTTTCCACTTCTGGCCCCCCTCCCTCCTTCCCCCCTCCCCACCCACCTTGCTCACTTCTACCTTTCGCCTTCTCTTCCCTCTCTCTCCCCCCACCAGGCACGCTCTTCTCACACTACGCCCAGGAGTTCCCCCTCGCAATGAAGATATCGGGAATCCAGCTGCTCGTGCCGGGCGGCATAGGCGTGCGCGGCGTGGCGGCCATCCTCAACCAGGACGTGATGTCGGGCATCGGGTTTGTCTTTGAGATGCTCACCGTTGGACTTGCCATTACCATCGGGCTCATTCTCGCGAACCTTGTTCTGCCCGAGTCCATGTTTGCGCACGGCAGCCGCCCGCATCATAATAAGAGGAGGCTTGCCGCGGATTTACGGGCAGATTCGATGGCACAGAGTGGGATGGGAGGCCGGGGGGATGGGAATAGAGCGAGAGATGTCGCTGATGGGGCTGGGGGCGGTGGGGTTAGGGGAGTGTTGGCAGGAGTGCTGGGTTTCGCTGGGTTGCGGAACCGGGGAAATGGGGAGGACAGATTAGCTTCCGCATTTCTTCCCCAGGTGAAAGAAGAGGAGGATGCAGTAGCATTCTAGTAGTATAGTAATAGAGCAGTTGAGGGGGAATTTGGCGGTTCAACATCGAGTTGTATCACATTATGCAATTTTATAAGTTCTGCAATGTTACCGATAATTTGTAACCTTGGGGTTACGCAGTTTGTCACGTCAGCAGCACGACCATTGTCCGTGTCGTGTCGGGGATGCCGCACGTGTGTTTCGGAATTCGTTTGTTGACTTTATGGAATGAATTTCGTGCGCTGTGCAGCTTTCGTGGCAAGCCGCCTATCGATGATTGACACGGGATCCATAGGGGGCCCATCAGGAGCCCTCGATGCTGAAGGCCCCTGGCCTCAACCCCACGATGCTGACGGAATACTGCTTCAGCTATCGCGGCGCGCGATGGCGATTTCTCTTCGTGTGCGACACGATTCTTGCACAAAGCTGCATCTCGGGGGGCATTGCTGTCCAATGTCCTCGTGGGCAAAGCAAACGGTACCTACCCATCACTCCTCCCACAGTCCCACTCGATCCCGAATCCCGTTTGCCAAACTGTGCCGTGAGGCAGGCATAGACTCTTCAAGGGGCACTGCGTCTGACAGATAATATCATTTTCAGGGAGCGAGAAAATCATGTTGTAGTGTCAGTAGATTAGGACTCACTCACTTTTGCAAAAACAGAGAAATCATAGCAGACTCAGAATATACATTCCTATTTTGAATATCGAGCACATGACTTCGCGTAGACCGCGCAGCAGTGCACGGATGCGCAACGGCGTTATCCTCGCACTCGCGGGGCTGCTGCTGGTTTCGGTCGTTAGCTTGCCCGCATCGGCGCAAGCGGATGAGGAGGCGGGGGAGAGCGCGGCGGAGCAACAGGCGGAGGTTCCGCGAACCATCACCGCGAAGGGCCCGATAGGACACCACCCGGCGGATGCGGCGAGGGACTCGGCAGAGCAGGTGGCGAAACGGCAGCAGCGGACGACGTCGCCCAACCTTCGCCGCCTGGCGCTCTTCGTCGACCCGCTGCCCATTCCGCCCGTCGTGGACGCGTCCAAGCTGCCGCGTCGCAACGGACAGTCGCCCAAGGTCACGATCGGCGTGTACAATGTGAAGCGGGTGAGTCACCGTCAGTGCCACGTGCTGCTCTCAACGCTACCAGAAAATGCAACAAATCTAGATGCACCTGCCCCGGTCGCTTATAGTCCGCCGCCCCGTTCCTCTGTTTTCTGAATTTCCGAGTTTCTTCTCCCCCACTGGCCCTCTGCCCCCGCTTCCCTTCACCCCGCGAGCAGAAGTTTCACCGCGACCTGCCGGCCACCAAGGTGTACGCGTTCGGGCTGTCGCGCAGGACGGCAAGCGTGCCGGGGCCAACGATCGTGGCGCGGAATCGGGAGGAGCTGCGCGTGGAGTGGGTGAACAACATCACCGACAGGCAACACATGCTGCCGCTCGACCGCACGCTCATGGTCCCCCAACTCAAGCTCGGCGGCGTCCCCATCGGTGAGTGCCGTACTGCAAAAGTTTTTTCCGTGCTCTGCATATCTCGCGTCCGCAATAATGCGGCTGCTGCCAAGCGAGTGTGGCCAGTGGAGCTTGCGGCTCGGAACTTACACGCTGTCTCTCCCTCCCCCCGTCGTATCTCTGCCTCCCCACAGCCGTCCACGTGCACGGCGCGCAGGTGTCGAGCAAATCCGACGGCCATCCATTCGCGTGGTGGACGCATCAGGGAGAGCACGGCCCCACATTCACATCGAACACGTACACGTACCCGAACGGGCACGCGGCGAGCACGCTCTGGTACCACGACCACACGACCGGAATGACGCGCCTCAACGTTCTCGCGGGCATGTTCGGCGCGTATATCATCAGCCACCCCGAGCTGGAGCAAAAATTTAACCTGCCCGCGGGCAGGTACGACGTGCCGCTGGTGATTCAGGACCGTTCGTTTGTGAAGAACGGATGGACGTTCCTGCCGAGCCAAGGCGTGTCCAAGGTGCACCCGCACTGGATGCCCGAACAATTCGGCGACTTCATGACCGTCAACGGCAAAGTCTGTCCCTCTTTTCTCGTATCCTTCCCGTACCCGCACTTTACTTGCGCCTATTCCGCTGGAATTCTACCTACTTTCGCACTTGACATGGTGCTTCTGATTTTGTCCGCTGCATTGGACAAAGCACCACACTCACCATCGCATTTGCACCCTATGCGCGCAGGTGACCCCTTACATGCGCGTGGAGCGCCGCAAGTACCGCTTCCGCATCGTCAACGGCGGCACCGCGCGCTTCCTCGAGCTCGTCTTCCGCGCGGCCCCCGCCAACACAGACCTCACCCTGCGGAATGCGCTCTCCGCCTCCCCGCAACTCCCCTTCCTGCAAGTCGCCGCGGACGGCGGGTACCTCAACGCGCCCGTTCCGCTCCGCCGCTCCGTGCTGGGTCCGGGGGAGCGCGCGGACATCGTTGTCGATTTCTCCAAGCTCCCCGCGGGCACCGCGGTGTACCTCACCAACCGCGCTCCCGCGCCTTACCCCGGGGGCGCAGTTCCGCAAGGCGACCTGCGCTTCGTGATGCGCTTCGACGTCGTGCCCGCGACGTCCGCCGACACGACGCGCGTGCCAGCCACGCTCCTCAACATCCCAGCCGTCGATCTCACCAAAGCCGTCAATCTCAAGGCGCCGCGGATCATCAGCCTCACAGAGGTCGAAGACCCCGCGTCTGGCGCGCCTGAGTCGGGGCTGATGGAGGGGAAGCATTTCAGCGCGCCTGTGACGATTAAGCCTAAGTTCGGGACTATGGAGGTATGGTACATAGTTAATTTGTCGGAGGACACGCATCCCATCCACATTCACTTCGCGCCCCACCGCGTTCTCTTCCGCCGCCGCCTCAACACGACGCTGGTGGAGGAGAAAATATGCAGCATGGCGGGCGGAAGCTGCTTCGTGGGGCGACCAGTCGCGCCGCACCGGACGGAGCGCGGGCGGAAGGACACGAGCAAGGCGCCGCCTGGGTGGGTGACGGCGGTGGCTGTGGATTTCGCGCCGTGGCAGGGCAAGGCGCTGCCGTTCGATCCGCGCGAGGGGCCGGGATACGTGCTGCACTGCCACATATTGGACCACGAAGACAACGATATGATGCGGCCCTTCGTGCTCGTGTGACCACGAGTTTTGGCTATATCCTCGTTACACGACGATTCCTCCTCCATAGAATAACTAACCATACTTCAGCATACTGTTCAATCCGCTAATAGGGAATGTTGCCCCAGCAGGTTGCACACCATATAATAAACAAAATTTACGGCACAACAATTTGCAAACCAATGTTTTCTGCTAAGATAAAAAATGCATGCTACACCCTGAGACACAGGATGAAACACCATCTATCAAACCGCCATCTATCAAACAGCCAGTCTTTCCAACATCATAATGCATAGTAAGCAAATAATTCAACCCTGAGAGTGTAAGGATTTTTCTCGAATTCCTTATCGGGGTTGACTGCTGCGCGTACAACCCGATTTTCGGAGTTCGCACGATCGGGCGATTTCCACGCTGCCGAAGCTCCTCGCGTCGCCTTCGGCATTCCCATCGCCAAACCTGCACCCAACCTCGCTCGTCCGAGGTTTCCTCCTAGCTAGGCTAGCCTACATTAGTTCTCGCATTCATTGTATTCTCAGATTCATTCAGTCACAGTCTCGTTATTCGTTTACCTGCGCACTCTCTTTTACAACTCATAACACCTGGTATCAGAGCTACTTTCCTAGTTCACCCCGCTTTTCAAGGGTAGTTTGGTGGCATAGGGTGTGGTTGGTTTAGTGACTACACGACGGTTGGCTGCAGAGGTTGTTAACTCAACCCTGCCCGACTCCGATAGTTCGTGTTTTCACTTGCCGGGCGGCCACGGGTACCCAACTGCCCACCAGACGTAGTGCTAGAAACATGGATCAGGAGGCTGTTAACCGACTGATGGCGCAAGTGGCAGAAATGGCGAGGGGCATGGAATCGCTGCAAGCGGAAGTGACAACACTGAAGGAGGAAAACGCCGAGCTACGCCGGACGCGAGGTGAAGCGCGTCAGACGTCGCCTGTGGACGAAGGCGAGGGCAACAGTCAAGTGATGGGCAATCCTCTGGACGAGCTCACACGCGACTTCGAAGAAGAAGATAGGCAGCGAGCGGCGGCAGCGCCAGTTGCAGTTACGACGATCAAGATCAAGCCCGTCAACCCGCCCCCGTTTAATCCTACGGACAAGACGACTACAGTGAAGGGGTGGCTGTTCGGGGTTGAAGTCTTCTTCACTGCAGCCGGGATTAATGACGATGCCACGCGCATTAATTACGCAGTCTCGCTTCTTCGAGGTGCAGCACTTGAATGGTGGCGCCGGACCTTGGAAACAGGGACGTCGACAGGTGTGACACATGCGGCAGACGAGACCTTAACAGTGGTTAATCAAGTTGCAGAACCGATCTTCGGTGTGACCAAGATACGCACATGGAAGGAGTGGGGCGCAGCCTTACGGGATCGCTTCGAGCACGTATCCGCCTCGGAGCAAGCTCGCATGAAGCTGCGTGCATGGTCGCAGATGGGATCTGTCCAAGACTACACGGCGTCATTTATGGGCTTCGCCGACCAAATCGATGACATGTCGGAAGCTGAGCGGTTGGATAAATACGTGAGCGGCCTTAAGTACGAGATACAGTTCGAAGTTCGCCGCAGCCGCCCGACATCGTTCCTCGAAGCAGTACGCGTGGCAGAGTCAACGGATGCGCTGATGCAGTACGCGAGAACGGCTTCCAGGGATGGGAGAGGTTTTCGTGGCCAGACCCATCGGGCCACAATCAACGCCGTCCATACACCCGACCGCCCTCCTAAGGGTCAGTGTTTCCGGTGTGGGAAGGTGGGTCACTGGAAGAACGAATGCAAGGAGAAAATGCCGCTGACAGAGAACGACAGGAAGGAGCAGGGAAATGGGAAGAGTCAGTAAGTAGCGGGCCCTACACTGACTGTGCTCCGTCGCCCGAACACCACCATCCCCACCGAGTCGTGGTTCCGATTCATGCAATCGATCGCACTCGGCCGAATAACGGGGATAATCATGTGGATCACCCTGTGCTGGTCGCTGGCAAGGTGGGGAAACATCATTTGAAAATGTTCGTCGATGGAGGGGCCAGCCATAGCCTCTTCAACTTGGCGAGCGCAAAAAAATGCAACATGCAACTTGACAGGTGTCTGCCCGAAATCGACGCACGACTCGTGGATGGGACGCCTCTGATTTCGCCATCGGAGCAGTGCTTCTCCAGGATTTCGGGAACGGGCTGCAGCCGATCGCCTACGAATCACGCAAGCTGCAAGCTGCCGAACGCAACTACCCGATCCACGACAAGGAGATGCTCGCCATAATCCACGCGTTTAAACTGTGGCGATGCTACCTGGAAGGCGCCGACGTCACTGAGCGCACGGACCACAAGTCCCTACAGTACCTGCGAGCTCAACCGAACCTCAACCCGCGACAAATTCGGTGGCTGGATTACATGGAAAGCCACTTCACCTACCGCATCACGTACAAGAAAGGGGCGAATAACATCGCCGACGCCCTGACCAGACCGACCGTACAATCCGCTGCTGTACTGATCACCCATTCGAACCCGCTACTTACAGGACTATTCACCCACGGCTACACTACGGACCCGTTCTTCACGACAGGAAATCATCAGCAGGCCACGACGCAGAAGGGGGATTATTACCTAAAAGCCGGCACCGACAGGATTTGGGTCCCCGCTTACCGGCTGCTGCGTGAACTCCTCATCCAGGAGGTCCACGATTCGAACTACTCCGGACACTTCGGGGTTGATAAAACCCAGAAATTACTGCACCGTCAATATTACTGGCCCGATTCCTCTAACGACGTGCAGCGTTATGTGTCCTCATGCAGGGTGTGCCAAGCCATGAAATCGACACGTCAGCGACCAGCTGGGCTGCTGCAACCCCTCGAGCCACCCGAACGACCGTGGCAACAGGTGACGATGGATTTCGTCACGGGGATGCCAGCTGGGCCGTCCGGCAACGACGCTGTCCTCGTCGTTGTCGATCGCTTCACGAAAATGGCGCACTTCGCACCATGCCGAACGACGATCACAGCCGAAGAAACTGCGCGCCTCTTCATCTCAACGGTCGTGCGACTACACGGCATCCCTTCGGCGATCATCACCGACCGGGACCCGAAGTTTACATCCAAGTTTTGGAAGGAAACATGGGCGCAGTACGGCACGAAGCTACAGTTCTCATCGGCCTACCACCCACAGACGGACGGACAAACCGAGCGAACCAACCAGACGATGGAGCAGCTGATACGGACAAACTGCCCCGACCCCGCACGATGGGAAGATTCCCTCGCCATGTTGGAGTTTGCCTTCAACAACGCACCATCGAGCACGACTAATCACTCCCCGTTCTTCTTGAATTACGGGATGGATCCGACGGTGCCCACGGCAACTTCGCTCGACAACCCGGTCCCGCGATCACAAACTTTTGTGACGGAACTTCAGCACATCCGCGAGAAAGCAGCAGACGCAATTCGCAAAGCGAATATTACTTCCCGCAAGTACACCGACCTCCTACGCCGGGAACTCGTCTTGACCACTGGGCAATTAGTGCTCCTCGACACGAAGAACCTGCATCTGCCCGGCCCATCGAAGCTACGGCCCCGATTTTGCGGACCGTTCAAGATTATCAAGATGGTGACACCTGTCACCGCGAAGCTGTTACTACCGGACGACTGGCGAATTCATGACGCCTTCCACGTCAGCCTGCTTCGCAAGTTCGTGCCAGCCACGACCGACATCGCACGTCGGCAAGCCGTCCCGACAGCTCAACCTGTCCCGGAGCTGACACTCCATCCATCGAAGATTCTCGCTCATCGGGTTCGACTTGACGCAGCTGGCCGACACGTGGATTTCTTAATCCGCTGGACTGATCGCACCAGTGAGGACGACACGTGGGTGCCATCCGCCTCGCTCGACGCCTCGCCACTTGTTGGTGATTATTTGGCACGCAAGCGTGTTTCGGATATTGACCGCCTTTCTTAAGGGGGGGGGGTTGGTGTAAGGAATTTTCTCGAATTCCTTATCGGGGTTGACTGCTGCGCGTACAACCCGATTTTCGGAGTTCGCACGATCGGGCGATTTCCACGCTGCCGAAGCTCCTCGCGTCGCCTTCGGCATTCCCATCGCCAAACCTGCACCCAACCTCGCTCGTCCGAGGTTTCCTCCTAGCTAGGCTAGCCTACATTAGTTCTCGCATTCATTGTATTCTCAGATTCATTCAGTCACAGTCTCGTTATTCGTTTACCTGCGCACTCTCTTTTACAACTCATAACAGAGAGCTGTTTCCAGGGGACAGACAACCTTCATTTTGTGCCGAATGTCATTAGGGTGATTTCATCATGGGGGGGAGGGTCGGTTTCTTCAGAAAGTCATCAGCCTGCTGCCAGCGCGCCTTGATCTCCTCCGACGCATTCTCCATCCGGTTAACCGTCTGCGAGATCATATTCCCCACCGCCGTCTGCTGGATTATCTGCCCCACGCGGGTGGCGAGCGACGTCTCTTCTGCGACCTGCGAGGCGTCGGTGCGGCGGTGCCACTGTAGCTCGAGCTGGAGCTGGCCCTTGGAGTCAATGAGGGGGTAGAGGTCGTTGATTCGCCCGTTTATCACCACGTCGCTCAGCTGTATCTCACAGTACCCCACCGCTTCCTGGGGGAGGGTGGGAGGAAGGGAGGGGCGAGGGAAGTGCATGAAGGCACGAGAGGGGTCAGAACTGAACAGCCAAGAGGGAGAAGGACGACAAGAGAAGCATGCGGTGGTGTAGAGGCAGGCAAGTAGGCGAACGGGAGTGTGGGTGGGGGGCTGACCTTGGAGAGGACGGAGAAGGAGGAGAGGGACTTGGAGAAGGAAGCAAGGACGTAAAAGACTCTGATGTGCAGCGAAAGGAAGGAAGAAGATACATGCGGCAGTGGGCAGGCAGACGGGCAGGCCAGCAGGCGGGCGGGCGGGCAGGCAGGCAAGCAGGCAGGCAGAGGGGGAAGGGTGGCGGGGGCAGTACCTTGGAGAGGACGGAGAAGGAGGAGAGGGACTTGGAGAAGACTTTGATGTGCAGTGTGTCGCTCACTGGTGGCTTCTCCAGAAACACCTCGAATGGCTCCTCCTCAAATACCACGTCCGCTTGCTTCTTGTAGTGCTGCCAGGAGGAAAGGAGGGGGAGAGGGGTGGCGGGAAGTGGATGGGTTGTGTGGGTGGGGAGGGTTGAGTCGACAAGGAAAGTAGCTTCTCCCAAAAACACCTCAAATGGCTGCTCCTCAAACACCACGTCTGCTTGCTTCTTGTAGTGCTGGCAGAGTGGGGGGAGGGGAAGGGGTTTGTGTAGGTGGAGAGGGGTGAACTTCTCAACACCTCAAATGGCTCTTCCTCAAACACCACGTCTGCTTGCCTCTTGTAGTGCTGGCAGAGTGGGGGGAGGGGAAGGGGTTTGTGTAGGTGGAGAGGGGTGAACTTCTTAACACCTCAAATGGCTCTTCCTCAAACACCACGTCTGCTTGCTTCTTGTAGTGCTGGCAGAGTGGGGGGAGGGGAAGGGGTTTGTGTAGATGGAGAGGGGTGAACTTCTCAACACCTCAAATGGCTCTTCCTCAAACACCACGTCTGCTTGCTTCTTGTAGTGCTGGCATAAGAGGAGGAAGAAGGGTGGAAGGGGAGGAAACGAAGGGGAGGTGGATGGGAGGAGGGTGCTCAAGGGGAGTGATTGGAGAAGGGGTGTGATTGGAGAAGGGGAGTGATTGGAGAAGGGTTGCAAGAGCGGGGACGACCAGCAGGTGCTTGGCATTCCTGGCAGCAATAGTCTCAAGGTGGCTCAAGAATCATCCTCTCCCACCCACCTGCCTCTGCCCCAAGAAAATCTCGGCCCACCTGGCTCAGCCAATCCTGGCTGCGGAAACGAAGGGGTTCGCGTGCTGCCGTGCCTCCAGCCTCTCACCTGCTTCACTCCTACCTGCCTCACACACGCGTGGACCAAGGAGCGCGCGTGGACCAAGGCGCGTCGCTAGCACGCTCAGCTGTGTCGCTACCACCCCAAGCTGACATGCTAGCACCCTCAGCTGCGCTGCTAGCACCCTCAGCTGCGTTGCTAGCACCCTCAGCAGCGTTGCTAGCACCCTCAGCTGCGTTGCTAGCACGCTCTGCTGCGTTGCTAGCACGCTCTGCTGCGTTGCTAGCACGCTCAGCTGCGTTGCTAGCACGCTCAGCTGCGTTGCTAGCACGCTCAGCTGCGTTGCTAGCACGCTCTGCTGCGTTGCTAGCACGCTCTGCTGCGTTGCTAGCACGCTCAGCAGCGTTGCTAGCACGCTCTGCTGCGTTGCTAGCACGCTCTGCTGCGTTGCTAGCACGCTCTGCTGCGTTGCTAGCACGCTCTGCTGCGTTGCTAGCACGCTCTGCTGCGTTGCTAGCACGCTCAGCTGCGTTGCTAGCACGCTCAGCTGCGTTGCTAGAACCCTCAGCTGCGTTGCTAGCACGCTCAGCTGCGTTGCTAGCACGCTCAGCTGCGTTGCTAGCACGCTCAGCTGCGTTGCTAGCACGCTCTGCTGCGTTGCTAGCACGCTCTGCTGCGTTGCTAGCACGCTCAGCTGCGTTGCTAGCACGCTCTGCTGCGTTGCTAGCACGCTCAGCTGCGTTGCTAGCACGCTCAGCTGCGTTGCTAGCACGCTCTGCTGCGTTGCTAGCACGCTCTGCTGCGTTGCTAGCACGCTCTGCTGCGTTGCTAGCACGCTCAGCTGCGTTGCTAGCACGCTCAGCTGCGTTGCTAGCACGCTCTGCTGCGTTGCTAGCACGCTCAGCTGCGTTGCTAGCACGCTCAGCTGCGTTGCTAGCACGCTCAGCTGCGTTGCTAGCACGCTCAGCTGCGTTGCTAGCACGCTCAGCTGCGTTGCTAGCACGCTCAGCTGCGTTGCTAGCACGCTCTGCTGCGTTGCTAGCACGCTCAGCTGCGTTGCTAGCACGCTCAGCTGCGTTGCTAGCACGCTCTGCTGCGTTGCTAGCACGCTCTGCTGCGTTGCTAGCACGCTCAGCTGCGTTGCTAGCACGCTCTGCTGCGTTGCTAGCACGCTCAGCTGCGTTGCTAGCACGCTCTGCTGCGTTGCTAGCACGCTCAGCTGCGTTGCTAGCACGCTCAGCTGCGTTGCTAGCACGCTCTGCTGCGTTGCTAGCACGCTCAGCTGCGTTGCTAGCACGCTCAGCTGCGTTGCTAGCACGCTCAGCTGCGTTGCTAGCACGCTCAGCTGCGTTGCTAGCACGCTCTGCTGCGTTGCTAGCACGCTCAGCTGCGTTGCTAGCACGCTCAGCTGCGTTGCTAGCACGCTCAGCTGCGTTGCTAGCACGCTCAGCTGCGTTGCTAGCACGCTCAGCTGCGTTGCTAGCACGCTCAGCTGCGTTGCTAGCACGCTCTGCTGCGTTGCTAGCACGCTCAGCTGCGTTGCTAGCACGCTCAGCTGCGTTGCTAGCACGCTCTGCTGCGTTGCTAGCACGCTCTGCTGCGTTGCTAGCACGCTCAGCTGCGTTGCTAGCACGCTCTGCTGCGTTGCTAGCACGCTCAGCTGCGTTGCTAGCACGCTCTGCTGCGTTGCTAGCACGCTCAGCTGCGTTGCTAGCACGCTCAGCTGCGTTGCTAGCACGCTCTGCTGCGTTGCTAGCACGCTCTGCTGCGTTGCTAGCACGCTCAGCTGCGTTGCTAGCACGCTCAGCTGCGTTGCTAGCACGCTCAGCTGCGTTGCTAGCACGCTCAGCTGCGTTGCTAGCACGCTCAGCTGCGTTGCTAGCACGCTCAGCTGCGTTGCTAGCACGCTCTGCTGCGTTGCTAGCACGCTCTGCTGCGTTGCTAGCACGCTCAGCTGCGTTGCTAGCACGCTCAGCTGCGTTGCTAGCACGCTCAGCTGCGTTGCTAGCACGCTCAGCTGCGTTGCTAGCACGCTCTGCTGCGTTGCTAGCACGCTCAGCTGCGTCGCTGCGTGGGCCAGGGCGCGTGCGTGGACCTTCACCCCTACCTGCTTCACCCCTTGCCTGCCTCTGCCATTCTGATTTCTCCCCCCCGCACCTGGCTCTGACCACCTGCCTCTCACCCCCCCCCCACCTGGCTCTGCCACTCCTGGTTCCGGAACTGAAGCACAACGAATGGGTTGGCATGGTGCCGTGCGTCCAGCCCCTCCCCTCTCTTGAGAATCACACGAGCCCACCCCCCAACGGCACCCACTCTCGCACCCATCTCTGCCACTCACCTCGCCCCTCTCACATCTCACCCCACCTGGCTCTGCCACTCCTGATTACGGAACCGCAGCACAACAAACGGGTTGGCATGGTGCCGTGCCTCCAGCCCCTCGCCTCGCTTGAGGATGACTCGCAGCAGCCCGCCCCCCCGGCACCCACTCAGGGAACGCCTCCGCCTCCTCCTCCTGCATCTCCTCCACGTCCATTGGCGGGGGGGGCTCATTCTCGCCCAAGGGACTACAGGAAGAGTAGCACGAGAAAACAAGTCAAGGGAAAGGGAATGAGACGGGGTGAAGGGAATGAGAAGGGGTGAAGGGGATGAGAAGGGGTGAAGGGGATGAGAAGGGGTGAAGGGGATGAGAAGGGGTGAAGGGGATGAGAGGGCGGGAAGAAGGGGAATGCCTCCGCCTCCTCCTCCTGCATCTCCTCCACGTCCATTGGTGGTGGGAGCTCATTCTCCCCCAGCGGGCTGGTGGGAATGAGGGCGGGCAGGGGAAGAAAGAGGCTTGTAAGGCCTCGTCCCACTCGGGAAACGCCTCCGCCTCCTCCTCCTGCATCTCCTCGACATCCATCAGTGGGGGGGGCTCGTTCTCACCCAAGGGGCTGATGGGAATGACGGCAGGCAAGAGAACAGAGAGGCTTGCAAGGACTCGTCGCCCTCGTCTTTGCCTCCGCCTCCTCCCCCTGCATCTCCTCCATGTCCATTGGCGGGGGGGGGCTCGTGCTCCCCCAGAGGGCTGGTGAGGGGAGTGGGGTGGGGAACGGGAAAGGTGGCAAAAAGGGGTTGTAAGCCACGCCTCCGCCTCCTCCTCCTGCATCTCCTCACTGTCCATCGGTGGGGGGGGCTCGTTCTCCCCCAGAGAAATGGTGGGGGGAGTGGGTAAGAGAGGGGATTGTACGGCCTCGTCACGTTATTCTATTTCTCTTCTCCTTCTCTTCCTCGGCACTCACTTGTACAGCAGGCGGAAGCTCACACTCCCAATATCGCGCCGGCTCCTCCCCCCCGACTGTCCCCCGCCCAGGTCGCTGAAGCGCGGTGCCAGGCGCAGCTCAAAGGCCTTCTCCTCGCCCACTGCCAGCTCGCTCAGTGCCACCACCTGCACGCCCATCAGCCTGTCCGCCTTGCCCTGGGATGGGACATGGGGAGGGTAGAGAGAAGCGGAGTGAGAGAAAAGGGAGGAGAAGGGAGTGAGTGCGTGGAGATGGGGGGTGTGAGTGTTGGCCGTCAAAGTCCTTAGGCCTCCCCCACTGCTAGCTCGCTCAGTGCCACCACCTGCACGCCCATCAGCCTGTCCGCCTTGCCCTGGGGGCAGGCAACGAGAGGGTGTGGTGGAGCGGAGGAGAGGGAAGGGAGGAATAACGGAGAGTGGGAGATGAGGGTTGGGAGAGGGGAGTATGAGTGTTGGCTGAGAAGGGGGGAATAAAGGGAAGTGGGCGATGAGGGCTGGAAAGAGGCGAGTGGGAGGTGTGAGTGTTGGGCCTCACTGAGGCAGGTGAAAGTCCGAGGCTTCTCCCATCACAACCTAACTCAGCGACACCTCCTGCACTCCCACCACCCATATCCCTAGCCAGAGCGGTAATAATCGGTGTAGAAATACCAACAATCCCACAGTCCCACCAACAGTCCCACCAACAGTCCCACAGTCCCACCAACAGTCCCACAGTCCCACCAACAGTCCCACAGTCCCACCAACAGTCCCACAGTCCCACCAACAGTCCCACAGTCCCACCAACAGTCCCACAGTCCCACCAACAGTCCCACAGTCCCACCAACAGTCCCACAGTCCCACCAACAGTCCCACAGTCCCACCAACAGTCCCACAGTCCCACCAACAGTCCCACAGTCCCACCAACAGTCCCACAGTCCCACCAACAGTCCCACAGTCCCACCAACAGTCCCACAGTCCCACCAACAGTCCCACAGTCCCACCAACAGTCCCACAGTCCCACCAACAGTCCCACAGTCCCACCAACAGTCCCACAGTCCCACCAACAGTCCCACAGTCCCACCAACAGTCCCACAGTCCCACCAACAGTCCCACAGTCCCACCAACAGTCCCACAGTCCCACCAACAGTCCCACAGTCCCACCAACAGTCCCACAGTCCCACCAACAGTCCCACAGTCCCACCAACAGTCCCACAGTCCCACCAACAGTCCCACAGTCCCACCAACAGTCCCACAGTCCCACCAACAGTCCCACAGTCCCACCAACAGTCCCACAGTCCCACCAACAGTCCCACAGTCCCACCAACAGTCCCACAGTCCCACCAACAGTCCCACAGTCCCACCAACAGTCCCACAGTCCCACCAACAGTCCCACAGTCCCACCAACAGTCCCACAGTCCCACCAACAGTCCCACAGTCCCACCAACAGTCCCACAGTCCCACCAACAGTCCCACAGTCCCACCAACAGTCCCACAGTCCCACCAACAGTCCCACAGTCCCACCAACAGTCCCACAGTCCCACCAACAGTCCCACAGTCCCACCAACAGTCCCACAGTCCCACCAACAGTCCCACAGTCCCACCAACAGTCCCACAGTCCCACCAACAGTCCCACAGTCCCACCAACAGTCCCACAGTCCCACCAACAGTCCCACAGTCCCACCAACAGTCCCACAGTCCCACCAACAGTCCCACAGTCCCACCAACAGTCCCACAGTCCCACCAACAGTCCCACAGTCCCACCAACAGTCCCACAGTCCCACCAACAGTCCCACAGTCCCACCAACAGTCCCACAGTCCCACCAACAGTCCCACAGTCCCACCAACAGTCCCACAGTCCCACCAACAGTCCCACAGTCCCACCAACAGTCCCACAGTCCCACCAACAGTCCCACAGTCCCACCAACAGTCCCACAGTCCCACCAACAGTCCCACAGTCCCACCAACAGTCCCACAGTCCCACCAACAGTCCCACAGTCCCACCAACAGTCCCACAGTCCCACCAACAGTCCCACAGTCCCACCAACAGTCCCACAGTCCCACCAACAGTCCCACAGTCCCACCAACAGTCCCACAGTCCCACCAACAGTCCCACAGTCCCACCAACAGTCCCACAGTCCCACCAACAGTCCCACAGTCCCACCAACAGTCCCACAGTCCCACCAACAGTCCCACAGTCCCACCAACAGTCCCACAGTCCCACCAACAGTCCCACAGTCCCACCAACAGTCCCACAGTCCCACCAACAGTCCCACAGTCCCACCAACAGTCCCACAGTCCCACCAACAGTCCCACAGTCCCACCAACAGTCCCACAGTCCCACCAACAGTCCCACAGTCCCACCAACAGTCCCACAGTCCCACCAACAGTCCCACAGTCCCACCAACAGTCCCACAGTCCCACCAACAGTCCCACAGTCCCACCAACAGTCCCACAGTCCCACCAACAGTCCCACAGTCCCACCAACAGTCCCACAGTCCCACCAACAGTCCCACAGTCCCACCAACAGTCCCACAGTCCCACCAACAGTCCCACAGTCCCATTCAACAGTCCCACAGTCCCACCAACAGTCCCACCAACAGTCCAACAGTCCCACCAACAGTCCCACAGTCCCACCAACAGTCCCACAGTCCCACCAACAGTCCCACAGTCCCACCAACAGTCCCACAGTCCCACCAACAGTCCCACAGTCCCACCAACAGTCCCACAGTCCCACCAACAGTCCCACAGTCCCACCAACAGTCCCACAGTCCCACCAACAGTCCCACAGTCCCACCAACAGTCCCACAGTCCCACCAACAGTCCCACAGTCCCACCAACAGTCCCACAGTCCCACCAACAGTCCCACAGTCCCACCAACAGTCCCACAGTCCCACCAACAGTCCCACAGTCCCACCAACAGTCCCACAGTCCCACCAACAGTCCCACAGTCCCACCAACAGTCCCACAGTCCCACCAACAGTCCCACAGTCCCACCAACAGTCCCACAGTCCCACCAACAGTCCCACAGTCCCACCAACAGTCCCACAGTCCCACCAACAGTCCCACAGTCCCACCAACAGTCCCACAGTCCCACCAACAGTCCCACAGTCCCACCAACAGTCCCACAGTCCCACCAACAGTCCCACAGTCCCACCAACAGTCCCACAGTCCCACCAACAGTCCCACAGTCCCACCAACAGTCCCACAGTCCCACCAACAGTCCCACAGTCCCACCAACAGTCCCACAGTCCCACCAACAGTCCCACAGTCCCACCAACAGTCCCACAGTCCCACCAACAGTCCCACAGTCCCACCAACAGTCCCACAGTCCCACCAACAGTCCCACAGTCCCACCAACAGTCCCACAGTCCCACCAACAGTCCCACAGTCCCACCAACAGTCCCACAGTCCCACCAACAGTCCCACAGTCCCACCAACAGTCCCACAGTCCCACCAACAGTCCCACAGTCCCACCAACAGTCCCACAGTCCCACCAACAGTCCCACAGTCCCACCAACAGTCCCACAGTCCCACCAACAGTCCCACAGTCCCACCAACAGTCCCACAGTCCCACCAACAGTCCCACAGTCCCACCAACAGTCCCACAGTCCCACCAACAGTCCCACAGTCCCACCAACAGTCCCACAGTCCCACCAACAGTCCCACAGTCCCACCAACAGTCCCACAGTCCCACCAACAGTCCCACAGTCCCACCAACAGTCCCACAGTCCCACCAACAGTCCCACAGTCCCACCAACAGTCCCACAGTCCCACCAACAGTCCCACAGTCCCACCAACAGTCCCACAGTCCCACCAACAGTCCCACAGTCCCACCAACAGTCCCACAGTCCCATTCAACAGTCCCACAGTCCCACCAACAGTCCCACCAACAGTCCAACAGTCCCACCAACAGTCCCACAGTCCCACCAACAGTCCCACAGTCCCACCAACAGTCCCACAGTCCCACCAACAGTCCCACAGTCCCACCAACAGTCCCACAGTCCCACCAACAGTCCCACAGTCCCACCAACAGTCCCACAGTCCCACCAACAGTCCCACAGTCCCACCAACAGTCCCACAGTCCCACCAACAGTCCCACAGTCCCACCAACAGTCCCACAGTCCCACCAACAGTCCCACAGTCCCACCAACAGTCCCACAGTCCCACCAACAGTCCCACAGTCCCACCAACAGTCCCACAGTCCCACCAACAGTCCCACAGTCCCACCAACAGTCCCACAGTCCCACCAACAGTCCCACAGTCCCACCAACAGTCCCACAGTCCCACCAACAGTCCCACAGTCCCACCAACAGTCCCACAGTCCCACCAACAGTCCCACAGTCCCACCAACAGTCCCACAGTCCCACCAACAGTCCCACAGTCCCACCAACAGTCCCACAGTCCCACCAACAGTCCCACAGTCCCACCAACAGTCCCACAGTCCCACCAACAGTCCCACAGTCCCACCAACAGTCCCACAGTCCCACCAACAGTCCCACAGTCCCACCAACAGTCCCACAGTCCCACCAACAGTCCCACAGTCCCACCAACAGTCCCACAGTCCCACCAACAGTCCCACAGTCCCACCAACAGTCCCACAGTCCCACCAACAGTCCCACAGTCCCACCAACAGTCCCACAGTCCCACCAACAGTCCCACAGTCCCACCAACAGTCCCACAGTCCCACCAACAGTCCCACAATCCCACCAACAGTCCCACAGTCCCACCAACAGTCCCACAGTCCCACCAACAGTCCCACAGTCCCACCAACAGTCCCACAGTCCCACCAACAGTCCAACAGTTCCACCAACAGTCCCACAGTCCCACCAACAGTCCCACAGTCCCACCAACAGTCCCACAGTCCCACCAACAGTCCCACAGTCCCACCAACAGTCCCACAGTCCCACCAACAGTCCCACAGTCCCACCAACAGTCCCACAGTCCCACCAACAGTCCCACAGTCCCACCAAGAGTCTCACAGTCCCACCAACAGTCCCACAGTCCCACCAACAGTCCCACAGTCCCACCAACAGTCCCACAGTCCCACCAACAGTCCCACAGTCCCACCAACAGTCCCACAGTCCCACCAACAGTCCCACAGTCCCACCAACAGTCCCACAGTCCCACCAACAGTCCCACAGTCCCACCAACAGTCCCACAGTCCCACCAACAGTCCCACAGTCCCACCAACAGTCCCA